TTCTCGGTTTCCGATTCTCGGTTTCCGATTCTCGGTTCTCGGTTTCCGATTCTCGGTTTCAGGTTCTCGGTTCTCGGTTTCCAATTCTCGGCTCTCGGTTTCCGATTCTCGGTTCTCGGTTTCCGATTCTCGGTTTCCGATTCTCGGTTCTCGGTTTCCGGTTTCCGATTCTCGGTTTCCGATTCTCGGTTTTTTACGCCCTGGCCATGGCTTAACTTGATATATAAATCCAGCTAGAATGTAGAATGGAAAGCTACTATGCAGTTGGCGCAAGCAGGAGACATTTTCTTGTTGTGCGGTATTTGTCATTCAGAACTACCAAATAGAGGGCGTCGCGGCGATCTTCTGTACGCGTGATCGCGTATTGTTTGAATATGGGGGCGGGAATCAAGATCGTGGATTTTGATGCGCGTGTCTGTACTTTATTTGTTATACGAAACAAACTTTTATACCCCCTGTCTTGCCACCACAAGCTTATGGTTACATTTATGCAAAGCCATAACCTATGCTTGTTGTGACGGGTGTTGGGGGCATAATAGCTTGCGCTGCATACGTCTTTGTGACTTGTACCACCAGACGAGGAAGCAGCTTACACGACCTGTGCTTTCATCTACTATTGAGGTAGGAGGCAGCACTTGTGTCGCGGAAGTATAGTTCTGTTGCAAAATGAATGTATCGATTTGTACACATGCCTTTTGTTTGTGCACTCTGCAACAACGGGCGAAATTTTGATTCTCTGTTTCGTGCAGCAGAAAGGAAGGGAGAAGTTGTTGCCTGCAGCGGACGAAACTTGTTGGCCGCGCGTGGCCAAGCACTTGATGTGCCAGAATGGACTTAGTAGCTGCACGGCAAAGATTTTTGGCTTTTTTGGTGTTCGTCGATCCTCAGGTCGGTTGAGTAAACTTGTTTCAAGTTCCTGCAGGACTCCTTAGGCCGTTCTCCAGTGCCTATCCCAGCAGATACGACCAGATCCTTGGTGTCAATATTTGAGATCCACTACGCACGAACGAGCGATGTGCGGCGCTACATTCTGAAATTTTGACAAGCAATTTTGGCCCGTAGCAGAGGCATCGCTGCTCTAGTATCAAGGCAAGCTACCGATACCATCTTGTGTTGCAGCGCTACAACTCAAAACTTTGCGCCCCGAGCCATCCGAGTGGTTTGACACACATCGCGGTATAGTAGCTAGTGTGTTGTGTTGTCTCTCGTCCATCGGAAAGCTTACAGCTGACGATGTTTGAACGGCTAACGGCAACCTTTTGTGGCCTTCACGCACAAAAGCATTTTTTCCGAACAGCAAATTCACAGATATCTAGAATTTTGCTACTCGCAAGAAGTGTTCTGTTTGTTTTTCAAAAACAAAAGGATTATACATTTTGAGTGAACACGGTGCGGTCGTATATTTGCGTGGTTTGTGCTTGGTATTATATCATGTTAGGTCGAGAAAATCGAAACGTAGTAGAACGACACTACACAAAAATGATTTTTGTTTTCGTCGTTGTCATGGCAGCCAAGAATTGATGACTCCTAGACCTACCCCCATTAATATCATAGGACCCCCACGGCCGCGTTTATTTCATACCAGTCGTGCATTTTCCTCAACTTAAATAGTAGTCGAGCTTGTAGTGACACCACAACGACGCACGAACAAACTAAAGTTGCCTGATGTTTCTACCCTTGTATGATTTTACGTATCGGTTTGTTCTTTGCAATAAAAGTTCTCCTCCGCTTGTGCTTCTGTAAAATATAAATCGATTGGAAAACGAAAAAAAAAACCCGCAGGATCTCACAAAGTTTATGTTTGTTGCTTTGAGCGAACTTAAATGTAAGTAAATACTCATTGTAAAGAGACAAACTCTGTGTACACGCACGAAGTCAATCCGTTAGACTGTTAAGACCTTGCTCCCGCATTCACCTTTTTTTTTTGCTCCTTTATGTTTTAATAGTTGTGCATCATCTTATGAACTTTTTTAGAATAGTAGTTTACATGCTCAATATCTAGATCCGCTATGTTCTCTGTTCACAAAAAATTTCTAAATCCTTTTCCTCACGATCCCGCATGGCAGATATGGTCCCGTACATCAATACAGCAATTTGCTGCGCTCATTAAACGAGCAAATTATAGTAGTTATCCTGCGTTTGTTTGTTTGAGAACGGATACTACCCCTTTCCAAATCAAAACACATTAGGACCCGGGGGGACAGGAAGAGCCCCCCGGTAGCGCTAGTCTCACATGGGTGCACACATAAGGACGTTGACGAAGAAACACACACACACACGCAAAAGCACGTCGGCCAAAAACAAAAATACAATGCGTCCTGCACAAACTGCCCTCACTCACTCACCGGGTGGATGCGCCGCCGAGGTCTGCAGATAGCTTAGTGAGAAAAAGAATAAGACTAGTAATAGCTTAGTAAGAAAGAAAAAGATAGAAGTCGCAAAAACTACTACTAATGTTTTTGTGCTAGAATAGCCGCGCCGCTGAACAACGGGAGACGGCCTGTCCGGTGAGTGAGTACGCCGTCAACTGCTCGCCGGGGCGCTGCGCGGAAGGGCAGCGTCGCCGCATGTCGAGCCGGGGAACTAGTTTGCTTTCGACTGCCTTTTATTTTTTATGTTCCCCGTCATCTCAATTCCCCCTTAACTTGCCGCCTTACTCTTCACGGACATCTCGCGGATGACATCAGCGCGTAGAACGGTTCGAACCAGCCTCGGGCTACAAGGCGACAGGTAAACCATCCCTACGCCCTCCGGTTTGACCTTGACGAAACTGACTACCAAACACTCTGGGGATTTCTATCAGCAACAGCATTGCCGACACCTAGGGCCACGCCGCCGCGCTTTCCGAGGGTAGATCAGACGGACCACAGAAGGGCGTTGCGAGGTGGCAACGACATCACTGAAGCGGGAGAGCGGATACAAGGCCTTCGTTCAACTGTGTGGTGTGCGTTGTTTACTAGTCCTAGTTTCATCGAAGTGTTGTTTTCTTACTCGCTGTTGCTTACTACTGGACTGCCCGTTCCTTTTGCCCCCTCTTGCATGCGCCCCTGTAGACTTTGATCTCTACCCTTTTATCCTGCTTCTCCCCTCTAAGTCTGTTCTCTTTACTTTTGCAACCTTTGTAGCGCTAGTTGCGGATCCGGGATCCCGCGCACTCGCAGGGGCTTTGTTTTTTCCGCCTTGCCAGCGGGTTTGTCCGGGGGGGCGCGACAGTCTTTGGGGATTCTGGCACTTGACGTTCACCAACGTGTTGCCGGCGGGACGTTGCACAACTTTTCGTACTACACCCCTGCGGTCCGACGACCAACTTCGTGTTGATTTTCCCGGAACCAGATGGGCGCTTTTTTCTGCTGCTGTCTTTCCGGCGAACACCCTTTGGTGCTCGTCAGTCTGCCAGAGCTTGTTTACATGCGCGCGCTATCTGGTGGTGGTGAAAATGTGCCACGAACGCGGTGCCCGCGACCTCATCTTTTCGTTCTTTCTCACTCGGGTTCCGCAGTTGATATGAATGACATTTATATGATGATCGGAGGCTAGTTCGTTGTCTGCGGAGTTCCATCATGGCGTCTGATCGTAGATAGCTTTGGGTCAGGTCTGCGAATCCTGGCAAGTAGTTTCATATGGCGCCGGAGCTCTAAACAACTTACTTGCTCCTCAGCGCTATTGCGCTTGCTACTGCTCTGCTTGTGAAAAAGAAAGTTTTACTGTTTGATCTCCGCTTGTGGATGATCGGCGATTCGCGCCTGCTCTGGTCTGCTAGCCGCGCGCTACTCTTTCAGTTCGTGTGGGCTCCTGGTGCTGCGATCACCGTCGGGAGTTGAACAACATGAGAACATAAGGACGTCGGTGTTTGAGAGCTATTCAGTATTCGACTTCCTACTACGTTTTGATCCTTTTGCATCCCTCACGCACATCCAGGATCTTTGTGTAGTTCGAAGCCCGCCGAATTTTTGCGAGCGGATTTAGCTTTCTTACCCCCTCGAAAAAAGGGGAGTCTCCTGACCCTTATGTTCGTCCCTGCCGCCGGTGGTCACGTCCGCGTGGCGCTATCAGCGATCAGCGAAAATAGGTTATCTCTCTCTCTCTCTCTCTCTTGGAAATAGTACCTGTACAAAGAAGTACTGATGTCGACCCATACCGTTTTGAATTTTGCCTCCACATTTACCATCGACGAGGTGCCGTCTTTGGTCGCCGACCGCTGGGCGGAAGTGGACGTGGAGTGCACGTGTGCGGGCTTTAACCAAGTGTTTCAATCCATCTTGAATGCCAGCAGTCTCTTCTACGTCGATCCTAACACAACGTTGCCAAGTCCGACCTCCGACCCAAATCGCAAAGCTTTAGCGATCAACATCGCCCTGATCCGGCTTTCCGACCTCCGTGACACCGCTGTTACCAAGGACAACTTTGGGAACGATGTCGCAAGCACCAACGCCGGCGAGGAATTGGCCAGGGCCTGTCGGGCCTACCAGAAAGCGGAAAAAGCAAAGGGGGTATTGTTGCTGGTGTTGTGTCCAGAAGACAGAAGAAAGAACTCCAAAAGTGCTGCCTCATCTTCGGTGCCGTCGCGGGGGGTGATAGGGCAGTGGGTGACAGCGTTGAAAACCGGGCTAAAGGATTGCAGTAAGGTGGTCTTAGTGGATGACTTGGTGAGGGACGAGACCAGTGTCTTTACTAGCGACCCGGAAGAATATTTTGACAGTGTGTCGGATAAACTAGGGGCGATTCCCTACACGAAGAAAGGGTATAGTGCGATGCTTTTGATAAGCGAGAACTTGAACTTCATCGGCTCTATTCCGATGCCACTGCGGCCTGTCTTTCTTGTTCTGTTGTGTATGGGGGTGGTCGACGGCGACCACAGACACATTCTTGCTCTCTTTGCAAAATAACACAGCCAAATGCAAAGCACATTCAGACAAGCAAAAACAACATCCCCACAGCTACGATCTACTCGCCTACTACACCGCTCGCGCTCTTACGGACATCTGCCGGCCACCAACCAAAGTGATTGTTTGTGACTGCGACAACACGCTGTGGGCCGGGCAGGTCGGCGACTCGGAGAATGCGCCGTTTGAAGTGAAGGCGAACCTCGCCCTGATGAAGCTTCTGAAGAAGCGCAAAGACGACGGGGACATTCTGTTGATAACCGCCTCGAAGAACAGTGAAATCGACGTAAAGAAAGCCTTCGATTTTCATAGTAAAGGCTCCGGGAAGATGACGGACACCAGCACTAAAAACCCACCAGCAGCAGAGCCCTGGCCTCTCTCCTTCGACGATTTTGTGCTTCACAAGATCAACTGGGAGCCGAAGTCGCAGAACATTCTAGCCGCAGCGGAGCAACTGAATCTGACCGTCGACTTGAGTTGGGTGTTTTTAGACGATAACCCGATGGAACTCGCGGAAGTCGGCGCCAACCCAGCGACTGCGAACGTTACCGCGATTCAGGTGCCAGCCTTTCGAAACGTCGAGGCGGATGTTGAGCAACAGAACAACATTAGTCTTCAGGCCGGAGAGGTTCTTTTGCCTGGAGCTGCGAGGACGACGAACAACAGCAGTAAGATCATGGTCCCAGAATTACTAAAGCAGAGGGACAAACAAGCGCAGCAGTTCGCAGACCACTTGTGGCCACTGGACGACTTTCGAGGAAACACGAGAGGAGACGGAGCAGGAGGTACTACTACCGCTGGTACTGCGAGCAAGTCGGACCAATACAGGGTGGAGTTTGCGCGGCAGGAGCAACAGAAATCTGCGACCAGTTTCACGGATTTTATCAACAGTCTGGACTTGAAAATCAGAGTCGAGGCGGTAAAGCCAGAAAACGAACCCAGGGTGCTGCAGTTGACGCAGAAATCCAACCAATTCAACTTCACAACGAAACGGCACCTGACTATGCCGAGCGACTTGAACTGCAGCGTGGTCTTTGTCTCGGACCGGTTCGGGGACTACGGGTTGGTCGGCGTCCTCTTCTGGTCCGTGGAGAAAAACCGCCTCGTTTTGGACAATTTCGTGATGAGCTGCCGAGTTCTGGGTCGCGGTGTGGAACACAAAATGTTGAAGCATTTGGTAGATGGCGCAGCTGCAAATAAAAATATCACGGAAGTGAAAATCCAGTTCCAAAATTCCGGAAAAAATCTCCCGGCGCAGAAATTTCTCCGCTCGCTCGGCTTAATCACACCAACGGATGTTGACTCGCTCGAAGCCGTGGAGAGCACCTGGTCCGGAGTTTTCGACCGAGACAGGATTTTGCAAGTCGCGGTGTTCGATCCAGAGAACGTAAATACCTACGGCGCTTCTGTCAACGAGCCCACGAGCCCGGGGAAGAAGACGTCAGCTGCAAGTGCAAGGACATCAAGCGGTTCCAGCAGACCGAGTACTTTCGCAGCGGTGGATGTGCCGGCCATGATCCGGAAGAGTGTGGAGTTGGCGACGAGTTCAGCAGCTGGTGGCAGCGGGGCACAAGAAGAAGCAGAATTACAGCCGATAGATCGAGATGCCTTGGCCGCCGGGGTCACCGACGCGTTGATTAGTATTCTCGGGGAACTTTCCGTCGACAACATTTCAGTCACTGAAATCCTCACCGGTCCGAATGCGCACACGAGGTCCTTAACGACTCTCGGGATGGACAGTTTTCTCGCGGTCCGGTGTTTGGGAGAAGTCGCGAGAACCGTGAAAAAGCGGTTTGACGTGAAAATCGACCTGGTTTCGAAAGTGGACAAGTACCAGCGGAATCCGCGGATAGAAATCTGGCTCGATCTGCTCCTGCAAGCGATCGCTGACTCGAGAGCAAGCCAGAGCGGAGAGGAGGAAGTGGTATAGGCCGTCTTGCGTTTATTTAGATCGTGCACTATTTGTGACCACTTCTCGTTTTTTCATTCTTTGTCGGATCGATACTTGTAGACAGTGAATCAATTTCAATGCATGCTTCTGGGAGCAGCACCACCTCAGCTCTCATCGGAAGGGATGCGTTTGGGCGTAGGAGTCATGCTGGGAAGTCTTAATCATGTAACATCATTGTAGCGGTGCCAGTTTCTTTCTACCATTCGGTTTCGGGTAGGGTAAGTCGTCGCCATGCTTGCTGCACTAGCGAGTTTTAGTTTTACTCCCGCAACATCCAATTATGCGAATACTTTTTCTGCCGGAACAGCTGATGACGTCCGCAAAAATCTCGATGAATTCATTTCACAGAACAGGCAAAGAACTACTGTGGTAGGCAGTTGCGAACCACAATCAGTAGAAGTTTTTCACCGTTGTATAAACAACTGCTACGAATAAGTAGAACTACATTCTTTATGCAAACAAGTTAAACCCTCGAAAATGGCATCCTCTCCCCAAAAAAAGGTCGGCGGAGTTGTCTCCAAATTTCCCTACGCCATGCCGCCGACGGACGCGACCGGAAAGCCCATCCCGATCAAAAGATCCTCCCTCGACTCGGAGGGGGTGATGTTCCAGGTGCAGAAGGGAACGAAATCCGACACCATGGCGCCCATGGTCTTCGTCCACCCGGCCGGGGGAGCCACCCGACCCTTCCACAAGATCTGGAAGGCGCTGGGGATCGAGCGGGATTTGTGGGCCATAGAGCACCCGTTCATGACGAACATCGACTACGATCCCAGGACGATGTCATTGGCGGAGATCGGCGCGCTGTACTCGGATGCGATCATTGAGAAGTTAGAGTTGGCCGGTGCGAAGAAGGGTCGGAAATGGGTCTTGAGCACGTATTCGGCGGGAGGTATAAGGGAGTAAGATCTTGTAATTTGGTTTCTTTGTGGTTCTCGTTGGCTCTCTTTATCTCCGCCGTGGCAGCTTTTCACTATCGACGTCGACCTCGATTAACAAGATAAGCATGTAATGTACAAATGCTTTACAGGCATGAAAAGCTACAAGTTGAACTTTCTTTAAGTTTCGAACATCTTCCACCCTTTGCAGGCGTCTACATGAACGAGACCTACCACCAATTGCGTATGAAAAACCAGTGCCCCTCCCTGGTCCTCGGCCTCGACTGGATTCAGAAGCCCATGCCCCACTGCCCGCTCTACTGCCCGGCGCAGCCCTGCTACTTCCCGCAGATTCCGTGCGGCTGCTGCTACCAGTGCTTCGGGCTGCAGGAGCTGTGCAAAACCGCGAACTGCCTGTGCGTGATGCCCTGCATGACCTGCATCAACAACGGGAGGAACCACGACAAGGTCCCGATCGAGAAACTGCCGCAGAGCTACAACACAAAATACACCGGGTACATGATGCCGAAGTTCCTGGCGCACGGGCCCTTGTTAGAGTCGGCCTACGACTTCTTCCGGATGGGGTTTGAGAACACCAAAGTGATTGAGGACCGCGCACCGGTCCAGCAGACCATGAAGATGAATAAGCAGGCGAAAACCTGGGACCAGAAAGTGGAAGCGGTAAAGATTCGGCTGGACGAGAAATTGCAGGAGGATGGCATGGACGAGGACCAGCGGAAAATGATCACGACCAAGTGGGAGCGGAGTGCGAACGTACAGATACAACAAGATTTTTCAATACTTACCTCCATTGCTGTGCGACGTCTTTCTTGCTTGACTGAACGTGTCTGTCATGCGAAAAACGCATTCCAGCATGATCATACGAAAAAAAATTATCAGGTCTTCATCCAGCAGACCGCCCCCAATCTGATGTGCTGCATGTTTACCCCCGTTTCCTACGGCAACACCCCGTTCGCCGACTTCGAGGTCGGGCGCCAGGGCCCGGGCGGGTGCTGCGCGAACCGGCCGATGCGGGGCTGGGACACACTGAACCAGGGTGGCATGGCCTACAACGTCGTCGGGTACGGTAACCACACGGTAAACGCGGTGACATCGAAGGTGTTCAAGGAGGTATTCCCCGCCGACCCGCCGCACATGAAGGCGCACCAGCTGGTCTTGCTCGATCCGGAGTGGGTAGAGTGGGTGATGCCGAAAATCGCGAAGGTGTTTGAGGATTTGAAACTGGACGAGCCAATATGAGAAAGGGAGAGACGTTCTGACTATAATCGCCTTCACTGTGATGGTGCGTGCGCAAACTTGTGTCATGTATGTATCGAAATCAAACAGAGCACTCCGTATTTTGCCGCAGCTCATGTTGTCTTGCGCCAGCTGCATGAGACAATCGCCAGATGCATTTCTGATCATGTTGTCAAGCATGACTACAAGTATCAGCAGGGTTGTGCCGGCGCAGTGAGGCTGATTTTTACTTGGAATACCGTAATGCTGTGTCGCCGTCACAGGTTTCTGTGTATTCGAATGGGGTCGACGCGAAGTAGCATTGATGGTGTTGGTTTCAAAGTGTCATTTTTAAGTGAGACACACTTGTGAACGGATGATTAAACCTAAAGTTCTTTCTTTTGCTATACTATACAGTTTTTGTCTGTCAACTGCGACAGGCTCAATATTATTTCGCAACGACTTAGTACACACAAAAGACGTGTCCAGATCTAGTCGTCGTAGTAACCGAGAGATACAGTGCTGCTTGTTCTATACTTGTAAATAACCTTTCTGAACTAGAAGTACTGCACTGCTTTTATCGTGTAGCCCCGAGTTTCCTTGTCCGGTTGCCCACTGTAGAATGTTTCCTCATGAACATATACCAGTACAAGAAAGACTATCGACTTTTTTTCTGTGCTGCGCCCCCGGAATGTCGACCTCAGATCTTCTACGAGCGTTGTAAAAAATTTTTTCATTGTCGATGTTGTATTGCAATATAGTGAAGTTTCTCGTCGTCCTTGTAAAGAGGTACCTAAGACGAAATAACGTGAGTGATCTTGTTCTTGATGCGCACGCACTGATGTTCTGATTTTCCAGCGCAAAAATTCACCTCCTTCGGAGGCGCTTTTGTTCCCTTTCGATTTTCGGATTGCAGCGAAGAACCACTTCTCGTATTTGTGTTCAGAAGAGTCGAGATCAAACGCGAAAATTGGAATAAGTAGCGAAACCATGAGGATCACCCAGCTGCACAAACTTTGACGCAGCAGCTGCAGCAGCGTTAGCGATGCGGATTTCTTTTGCGTTCATTTTCCGGCTGCGGCTTTTTTGTCAAGATCGTCACTTTGATTTTCCTTACTCTTTGGTAAAAAACAGTGCGGCCCTCGTTTTTTGCGGTGATGGACGAGGTAAAGAGCAAGAAGTCTAGTAACTGAGAAAGCGATGCTGGACGGCTCTTGCAAAAGCAATTTGTTAGGTGCATTGGCAGAAGATTAGCGTACAAAGAGAACAAGCATATCACATCATTCATGGGCACTTTTTTAAAAAGTATAGTTAGAAACTTTTTTGCTTCCGTGATTGCATTTTGATAGAAGGTCTAGGTTTATGTTTCCGATCACATTGTGGAAATTTTGTACGAATTATATCTGTGGACAATATCAATGCAATTTTTTTCGACGCACGTCGTTGCTAGGTTTTTAATTTTACGTTTCTTTGTTCCATTTGTGTGCGATAGATTGATGTGGCTCGTGTTTACAGGTACCAGTCTCCACCTAATATTTTTTGTCTTTAAAGGAGGCGCTGTGGTATGATAGTTTTGAATCGAGCGTATTGCACTTTGAAATATTGTGATTAATGACAGAGCTACCGCTTGTTGCAGTTGCTTCTTCTAAGACAGCATCGCTCTTCCGGAAATAAGTAGTACCCAGAGAGAGGGCCACAGATCTTTGCAGGCGGCGTTGGAGATAGCTGCAAGTAGGGAAGATCTTTTGGCGTTGAGGCAACGATATGTTGCGAAATTGTCGTTTTCGCGGCCGAAATTGAATACATATGATCCAAACGTTTTTAATGAATTTAAACTGAACGTCGTGCTTTTTGCACCGAGTTTTAATCTGCATATTACGTGCAACTCTTCCATAGTCGTAGTTCTAGCCAAGAAGAGCCGCCTTGCAAAAAGTGGCTGCTAGTACTCGGACATTTTTTTTTGTTTTGCACAAGCAATTCAAAGATTCTGCTCCTGCAGAAAGCAAACCATGAGACGAGTTTCATTTCTGCCGTCACTGGGTGCTGCCGGCTTGCTTTCGGCAGCTGGATTTATGCTTTTGTCGGCTGAGGGGACAGGGGCAGCGCAAAGCAGTGCTGGTGGAGCAGCTTTCAATGCTGGGTCCAACGGCGGGGGTCGAGGAGGAGAGCAAGAACGACCAAATACAGGTAAGAATTGCGCCAGCTATTTAAGTTCATCTTCTTCACGCACGACACTTCAGCACATGATTTTCGTTTTCCTAGTCGCAATACGTGCAGTTGTGCGCAATGCAACGGATAAGCAAGTGCCAGAATTCATACAAAAACTCGATAAACAGGGAACAAGCAAGGCGGTTCGACAGCCCCTACTGCGCGACGATTCGCCTCGACTGCTCATCGTGAGAGCAGGACTGACAATAATTTGGCTAGCACAGCAGAAAGTGCGGCACGAGCGAAAAGAAAAGGGCCGCATGCACTTGAGTCTCTAGAATCCGAGGTTCTTCTACGGAATAACCCACGTGAAGAACAAGAAGAATCAGTCTCAAGAAAAAAGAGTAGAACCGATCTTACCCTTACTTCCTCGCGACGGCGGCGAAAGGATGTGAATATGCGCGGAGCGTCAAGTAGAACAGAATCGTTGTCCAGCACGAAGCAAAAATTCACTTCCCCCCCAACCGACGCTGGCTTCACCGAAGCTGAAGAAGCGAAAATTGCCGAGCTGACAAGTCGGAACTCAACTTTCGTGAGTCCGATTACGTCGAAACAGAGGAGGCGAGCAGTGAACTCGTTGCGGTTAGCGGGCTGGAACGTGGCCACGGCAATCGAAGAAAACAGAAAAAGACGGAGGAGTTCCTCGTCTTTCAAAACCGGCCGCACAGGAACGCACACGGCAGCTCCGAGCACCACCACTTCAAGCAGCGGAGCCGGCACGAGCGCCACGACTACCGTTATAGCTTCAAGTCAGCCTCTGGCTCCAGTTCCCGTAAGAAATTCCGTTTCCACAGCGGCAATTATATCCAGCTCGTCCTCTCCTGCACAACCTCTATCCACGCAGCAGGATCAGGAACCCGACTACACAACTGTCCACAGTCGTTATTTCAACCGGAAGGCGCACGAGCGCAGGATGTCGGCAAGGGAACTGCTGGAAAATTACCGACTGCAGGGCGACCGAGACGAAGATGTCGTGTTGGTGAAAACTGCGGAGAACGCGATCGCGGACGTGCTTTTTTTCAATCCGGTAGAAGCGGTGGAGGAGTTTGGGGACGTAGATGCGGAGATCATTGAGAAGGAACCTGTTTCACCCGTGACGTCAGTCCCAAGTAGGCAGCGAATGAATTCGATGGCTTCGTCTTTTTTGGAGGACGATAATAGCAGCACAACCGGATCGACGTCGAGGAACTCAATGTTGATCAATCCCCATGCACTTATTTCGGGGAACGGGAAGAACAAGAACAGAGCCAGAAGTTTCTCCAACGCGTCGACGACTCTTCCGCCGAGCTCTCCTCTAGCGGCTTCCTCCGCTGCAGGGTCGAGTCCATCGTCAATGGCTCACTTGCTGCCACATATCTACAACTCCATGCCGCAAATCGAGCTGCCCCCAAGGGAACATCAAGACACAGAAGATGATAAAAACGAAAGCGACATGCAGATCCAGGCGGCGGTGCAACAGGAAGTGGCCACTGCAAACAAGAAATCTTTCTTTTTCGGGTCAACAGACAGGGGAGCACGAGCAACAGCTGCCGCTGCACCTTCGTCGTCTTCGGCCGCAAATAATAGCAAAAGAGACACCAAGCGCGCCGCTCCTTCATTTGGAGATATTGCAAAAGAGCCCCATCCTAGTTCCCTGCTTGTTCCCGTGAAGCTGGAGCAGCTCGAGGAAGAAGATGATGATGCAATGAATTCGCCAAACCTCCTCGAAGAGCTGCTCCCGTCTGTCTATGACATGCCGGAGGCGAGTCACGAGTGCTCCGAGGAAGCAGCGAAGTTTGCGAGAAGTTTTCTGGCGAAAAAAGCGTTGAAATTCGGCGGCGATCAGGCCGAAACCAGCTCGGTTACCAGTACGTGCATGACAGACGTTGCGATTCGGAACGACACAAGCTCGCGTCGAGGGAGTCGGGGCGACACAAGTCACTATGCCCAAAATGAAAGCGCCGGTGATAGAATGCAGCAAGTCGCGTCGGATGAAACCATCTCTGTCTCCTCCGGAAGCGCTGCCGGGACTTCGTCATCTAGTAGTTCGTCCTCGAGTACTAGCAGCAGCAGTAGTTCAAGCAGCTCTTCCTCCGCCACACATGCCAAATTTTCACAAAATAAAAAGACCAGCATCGCTTGGAGTGACAGCACGCCCCTCTCTGTGCTCATGACATCTCTGACTCTCACAACAACTTCAATTCCCGAAGTGAACACGGAGAACGACTTCAGCCGCGCAACAAGGTCTGGCGTGGAAAACAAAAAGAAAGTTCTCCAGTATTTGAAAGACGCCAAGCGGTGGATCGATATTGCCATGTGGGTCATGACAGACAAAGACGTGGAACAGGAAATCAACAAAGCGGTGATGGACAGAAAGGTTCACGTACGGATTTTGGTAGATTCTCGTCAGGCGAGCAACCCCGGCATGCGCCAGCTGTACCAACGGTTTCTGGACAACGGGATTCCGGTCACGCTGATTTACCAGGGCGAATACCGAGGGATGCACAGCAAATTTATCATCATCGACGGCTTGTTCGTGCTGACCGGGAGCCTGAACTTGACAGGTATAATGCAGAAGCTTGTAATTATGCTGTAGTAGTGTCAGGACCAGGAATGCGAGCGCTGCTATCGCGGAAGTTGTGTAAAAAAACACAATGAAAGCCGCTCTATTCTGGTTCTTGGTTTTGTTATATCATGTATATTTTGAGTGCAATGGTACTAAAAGTGTAGAAATCAGCTGTAGAACTACATCTTCACTGTCAAAAATCCCACATAAACAGTCCCGGGCTTCGAGTGGAACCGTGAAAACGTTGTTGTTCTTCGTGACGAGCACGCGATTACCCGCTACATCCGCGAATTCGACATGCGGTTCCGGGACCCAGCGCACTTAGCAAAATACACCCTCGGCCACCGCTTCTTCTACGCGGCTTTCGTCCGGGAGCAGGAGATGCGAATGGCTTTGTGCGAAGATGAAGCAGTAGGCCACGACGCAACTACGGGTCTTGAGCAGCAGCAACGGGTAGACAACATGATCGATGCAAGAGATGAAACATCACGACACCAGTCGTGCCGCACCAGTGAAAACGCGCCGAGGAATTTGACTCTGAACAGCGAGGGCGTGCTGCTGCATCAAGATCATTCTAGTACTGCTCTAGAACAACTTGTTACAACATCAACCGACCGTGGTGGTGACCCTGCAGGCTCCACCACTTCCCTGGCGCTAGTTGCCACCTCTACAACAGCTTCCTCCACGACCCCAATTCCGGTGATCCGTCTTCCTCGTCCCGCCCAGCTCCGGAGATCTTTCACGAGAGACGGGCGGCTGACAAAACAGGCACAGGAGACGATTTTAGTCGAAACCTGGGAATCGATGACAGAAATTGTCGAGAAAGACCGAACACTGATCGACCGTTGGGCGGCAGCGAACGTGTACAATAGGAGGACGTGCGTGAAAAACGCGTTTGATACTGAAAGCGGTGTCGTGGCTGCGGAGGTACATGATCAGAGCGAGTTTTTCTAAGTCGCCCGATCCTATGATTCAGTTGTCTGCATTTGTTCTTTTTTGCATTTGGAATGGTGAAGCAACAAATTTGCTCAGCAGGATTCGTGCATTTGTTGCACATTCCTTCTTAGTCTTACTAGACTTGCTTGCTTGGAAGAGGAAAATGCTTCATCTCATGACCAAGGGTTCAAATCAATACAGGCTCCCGGCTCATCAACATCCTCTGCACGACCTGCGACAAGCAACAAAAACCAAGTCGTCGAAGACGTTCTTTTCTTCCCGGAAGACCGGGTTGCACATAAGCAGACGAAAGCAGAGAAGGACCAGGTGGATAAAAAGGCCATGCTGAACAAATTGAAAAGAATCTTTTGGCAAGCGGAAGAGTCCATTGACATGGCTATGCACCAGTTGGAGGAAGAAGAAATGGTGGAAACTTTGACGGATTTACTGTCCCACAGACCCTGGCTGCGGGTCCGGATCACTGTCGACAACAACATGCTGACGGAATCAAAAACGGAGCGGGGAAAGGCGAAGACACTGGTATGAGAAAATATGGAAGTCAAAGTTCTTGATGATGACTGTCATTAGCGTCTGTCTATTTATTGTTTTGCGTCACGCATGGCGATAGCTTTTGCAGGACTAGTCGCTACGTTGCCATTGGAGAAGTAGGGGTTTTATGGAAAAAATAAAGATCGGAGATGTGGCCGTGATTTGGACTGTTCATCAGGTCTATGAGCTGCGAGACTCCCTTCTCGCCGAGCAGAAGAAGCTCCGGCATCAGAGCAAGCACCGCACCGGCCCGCTGAACATGCTACGAAAAGGCAATCTGGAAAACGAGATTTACCAGCGGTGGACGAAGCATCCGGACCATTACGACTACGATCTAGATGAGGAGGACCAAGAGGAAAGCGTCGTGACGGCAACCGAAGAGTACGCGGAAAGACTGACCAACTTTCTGAAGTCCTTCGAGAGATTCAATTTCGAGATCCGGCGGTCGCACACCCAGGACTACGAGGAACATTACGAAAACAAAGCCCGGATGCACCACAAATTCGTGGTGATTGACAGAAACAAATACTTGATCACGGGCTCTTTCAACTGGACCAGCGGCGCCGCCAACCGGAACATGGAGAACATTGTCGTGTTGAAGAACCACGAAATCCTGTTTGAGAAGTTCAACCACGAGTTTTCCCTTCTCTGGCAGGAGTACGAGGGCGCGAAGAAGACCGAGGGACGGCTGACATCGGGGCTGCAATGTGGAGGCCCACAGGCGGTTACTTCGGTATCTGCGGGAGTAACTGCTGCCGGGGGTGCAGCAGGAGAAGCTTCAGTGCCGGCCTTGGCGTGATTGGAGTGCAGTTTATTTTCCGGGTTGATGGATTTTTTTAAACCTTCCGCTGCAGGTGCGCCGACAAACATCGACATCATGATGCCAGGAATGTGATCAAATGTTCTTTCCAGCTGCAGGAGCGTTTCAATTCAGACGCCGCTACTAGAAACACGTATGTACAAAAAATGTGACAGAGTCCTTTCTCTTCTACTCGTTTATCGCACTGCTTGGGCTGACGACTCCTTCATTGAAAATTTGCCGTGATATGATTTTGCAGTGGCCACCAGCTAAACCAAGACCAAGCGATTCACAGAGGAACCTTTTACTGATGGTTTCGCTTTAAAATACCGCCACCACAATTTTGACAATCTTGTAAATGCCTAGGATAATTGCTTGAAGCTGTAAAATCACGGAAATATATGATACTACAAAATTATTACAACCCAGAGATAGAGAACGAGGAAAGGACCACAAAAACGAAGCCTCAGCATCTTAGTCCTCCGTGAAATTACAACTCCTCGTTTCAATAGTCAGTTTCGAAATTATACAACAAATATTCAACAACGTGGAAAACAAAAATCTTATGGGACCTTCAACAACGATTTTTGTTGCTATTTATGTACATTGATGCAGCACATTGTCGTCCTTCTGGCGCCGACGTTCCGCGGAGATACGATAGGATACGACAGGAGAAGCAAGAACACCAACGTCGGGCCGCAAACCACGCCATGAAGGAGACGACATTAGTATTGACCTTCAAGAATACAGTGAAAAAATATCAGCCAGCAAGAAGGGACCAGCCGAAGCAACATCTCACATCACAAACCAAAAGGCTACCGAATTAATTTTATGTCCTGCCAGCAACCGCCCGAGTAGATACGATGCGATGACAGATGTACTATTTTTCGAGAATAAAGTTAAAGACAAAAACTGATGATACTGAGCAAGTACGTGAACCCTCCCCACGTAATGCAAATTCTAGATGTAGTTTCTTTAGTCTTTCAAGATCCAGTTTTTCTTTTTTGACAAGACTTTTTTTTTTTTGTTCATGAGACACTTCTATAGATGCTATTTCTTGTGCCTTGAGAGGTTTTCGTTTTCGATTTTGTACCTCCTTGTGGTTTAAACATCGAAAAGGATTTGGAAAATTTGCTGCTTGCTACACGACTGTTTGAAGAAGTAACTCGATCACTGTAGTCCGCGAACGGAAAATGTTGTATATGTGCAAATGCTTTTCTCTTCTTCATGAAATGGCACTTGTTGTCTTTTCGGGACCTCCGTACGAGATACTTGCTTGAGAATGAAACTGCATTTGCCCCGGGCGCCAAGCTGTCCATCCAAATGTGTTCCACCAGTTCGCAACTTGCGTCGTGATTCGGGTCTTTGGAAGTCTTCAGCGGCCAAAAGCCTGTCCGCATGTTAATGCTAGGCCCAAGCGGAGGGGCCAGCCTGCGCTTGGAAAAGTCGCGGCGCGCTCGGCAGATGTCCGCTGGCTTTGGCCAAATGGCGGGGGGCGCCCATGATGTTGCTGCGGCAGCGGCATGCGGCCGGGCCTCTTCCCGAGTGGGCGCGCGCGCGGCGGGCGGTCGGGAAGCTGCTGGCGGAAATGGGGGGCGCGTGGTTGATCCCGCATGTTCGCGCAAGCCGCCGCGGAGCCGGGCTGAGCGGCCGCCCGCCCCTCGCTCCCAGGCGGCGGCGAGCTTCTCCTGCCACGGTGCCACCGCTTGCGCGCCCCGGAAACAGCGCGGGCCATCCCGCGCACGCCGCTCTTTCTGGCGGAGGGGTTAACAGGCGGCCGGCATTGTAAAGATCTGGGAAGGCCGTCGCGTGCAGTTTGCAGGGCCTCGAGAAGGTGGGGCCGAGGGCGCTGGATTCCTTTCCGAAGCGAAGCGCTTTGGCTTTTAGACGGCGGGGCCAGCAAGTGTCTCCCTAGGCTCTGAAGCAAGAAAAATTCGCCGAAAAAGCAATGGGGAATTGCTGGCAGCATGCCCCCGCCCTGCCGAACGAGATGCGCCGCGCTGGGCACGCGGCACCGCGAGGAGCTGGCCGCAGACGCCGCGCGAAACAAGGCCGCCAAGCAGCGCGCCAGACTCCTGGCGCACAGGGCCAAAGCCCTGCGCAAAAAAGGCCGCAGGCGTTTCAGCCTTGGGGGGCCTACCTCCCTCGCGAAGCCGCCGCGACGCGGCGGGGCTGGCGCCCCCCTCGGCTTGCTGACTATGCTGGGGCAAGAGGGTTCGAATTGGCGCGGCAGCCGGGCGGCCTGCTGCGCTTTTGTTTGGCCCGCGGGGCCTTGGAGTCCGGCAAAAGGCATGCGCGCGGCCCGCGGGGGCCTTAGCAGCGCGCGCCGCACCGGGGCCGAGGTGTTCGGGGTGGGGTTTTTCTTCGGTGGCCCCGCGAAGGCCATCACGCCGCGGACACGGGACAGGGATAAAAAGGAGCCGGCCCAGGTGTATGCGACCAGCGCCCTGCGTGGTCCGTTGCGCAGCGACCCCACTTGGGGCGGCCCTCCAAGGGCCGCCCGCGGCAGGCCGGGCCGGGGGATCGGGGGCGGCCCTCCTTGCCGTCGACCTCCCTCCGGCCGATAGACTGGCGCGCGCCGCGTGTGTTCGGGCATTCATTGACTCGCAGACGCCGCCGGCCGGCCTGGCGGCTGGCCCGGGCCGGCGTCCGGCAAAAAGTAGGGGGGGAGCGATGTTGTGTGGCGCCATGGATGTTGCAGGCGCCCACCCTTCCCGGGGGTCATTCGCACACTTATTGGGACGGCTGCCGCCCGGTCGCGCGGTGGCCATTGGGATTGCTGCCGGCCGCGTGTCGGCCGTGGCTTGTGGTGTTTTCGGCCACTGCGCCGGCGGGCCCGATGACCTGCCTTGCTTGATATTGTCGCTCGGTTCGCGTCGTCTCTGCCGCGCGTTTCCTTTTCCTTCGCTGATTCGTGCGAGCGGTGGCGCGCCAACTTCGGTTGGAAGCCGTATGGAATCTGGTTCTCGAGGTGGGGGTCTAGAGGTGTTCGAGCTGCATGCGAAAAGCGGCAATACCTTAAATGATTGCTATGCATTTTTCGCGAAGAGCCTCTTCTAGAAAGCTTAACGAGTGGTGCAAGTGTTGCTGGTGTATATCAAATTCAAAATGCGTTTCGTGGTCTATCACCTTCGTTGCGGGCGAAGCCACGAATTTGTGTTTAAGTTTCTATTTTTCTGAGCGACAGCCATTCTATTCGGAAGAAAGATCTTCTTCAAAGAGAAATCTTTTTCCAGTGGAGGGGAACGCGAGTGGGCTCCTGCTGGAGCTGTGGCGAGCCTCTTTTTTTTCGTCTGTGTGTGTTTTCTTTGCACGGAAGTGGAATCCGAATCAATCTCAATGCCTGAAGGAATTCTTTGTCGCACGCGATTGGCCGCACCGGTTGAGCGGCTGCTGCGCAGGAGAAGCGCTCTGCTGTAGATTATGTACGCCTCTATTACGGAATAAACGCTTATATTGTGCTTACTGCAGTGTCGCGCGTTGCAGTTATTTCTTCAGCCTCTTGGTTTTGATATTGATTACTTTCGTCAATCTTTGCTGGTACAACTCATGACCGCCTTCACGACTCCCGGCCTCGCGGCCGAGGGAAACCATTACCACCCTCGCCCTACCGGCCCTCCCGCCACGACCGCGCACCCGCACCCAAACGTGTGGCTGCCGCCACCACAGCTCTCTACTTCAACGCAAGCGGGCGGCAGCTCCTCGTCCTCGTCTACTTCTGCACAAGTAACCAAACCGCACTACATGTTCTACAACGAGAAGCTGAATTACCGCATGAAGCCGCTGCGCGTGAAGAACAGCAGCACGAATGTCGTGCTCGCGCCGGAAGATGACGCCTTCGATTTTTACCGCGAGCTACCGCAGTCCTCTTCGAAGGGGTCTACTGGTGGCTATAGTCAGCAAGAGGTGGATATCGCTTCGAATCATTCGTCTCGACGAGGACTAGATCAGCTACATGATCATGATCCAGCGAATAGGACAAAAATCCCCCGCCCTGTGCAGGTCAGCAACGCAACCTCGAATCCGTCAGCGGGGTGGCTGATGGAAGATTTCGACGAGTTCCAGGCGGAGGAACTTTTGGAACGACAGGCGACCACGATGGGAACATCAATTAGTACAGGGAAGAACTACAACGGAAATCATATTAACGCAAGTCATGACATGAGCCTTGTTCAAGATCAACATCCGCATGACAACTATTTCGACGAAGAGATCTTGAACTACAATCGTCAGCAGGACACGTTCATGTTTGACCAGACGCACCCGTTTCTTGAGGAGGAGATGGCCGAGGTAGAAGACGAAATGAACTTCCTCACACCGTACGAACGGTTCCTCTCCGGGGGGCCACTGTTGGGAACGATGCCGATCAGAGCCCCATCGTTGCCGGTGATGCAACCACTGGTGCCGGGACTGGTCGTCAGTGGGGGGATGGTATGGTGGAAGTGCCGAGTTTTTTTTTGAGAAATCTGTGGGCGCTTGTGTTTGGATGTCTCATTACTGGGGCGTTTTGATAGGTCCTCTACCTCTTGTTCTCTGTCAGAATATTATACGAACGTGTGTACTTTTTCAAGCTGGAATTCGGTATCAAAACGTTTGCGAACTACATCAATCAGTCTCCCGCTGCCCTCACCGGGCACAGCCGCAGCTTCGCGGGTTCTCCGAAACCAATCACCCTGGACGTGGACCTCGAGGGGTTGCGCTCCGTCCCCTTCTCCCTCGTTCCCCCGAGGGAGTTTTTGCTCGAGCAAAGCCGTTTGGCCGGGGTGTTTGAAAAGTTAAACCGCGGCTTGTTTCGCTCGGCCGCGCGGAACAAGCTCGAGGCACTGCGAAGCTGCTTCCACGATTGGAGACTCCAGAAACTCTACCTGGAGCCGCTGCTGCAGAAGAACCGACAGGCGGCAAACCGGTTCGAAGTAATCATCGAAAACCGCGAGCGGGAGCGGACGGCGATCGTCCACAAGGTGAAGCAGACGAAGGGCTTGACAAAGCAGGAACTCACACACAGGCTGTTCGGAGTGGAGCAGGATTTCCACGAGAAGATCCTCACCGTGCGAAGACAACTGGACTTTCTCGCGGAAAAGAAACAGTATTTGCTGGGTGCCTCTCACTTAGGGGGGAAGGTGCTCGGGAAGCTCTTTCGGGAGCGGAAATTGCAAGCGTTTCTACACTGGCAGGACAACACGTCGGGGAAATCAGATGCGCTGTTGTCGTACTGTTGCAAGGGGAGGAACGGCTTCTTTTTTCAGCCGGAGTTGAAAAAGAGGGAGGAGCAGGTAGTTCGTTGTGCGATGATTTGTCTTGCATGATGCTGCTCGTGCTCTGCAGTCGTGAGTTACGATAATTGCAAGTGTGTGCGTGAATCTAGTTCATGTCACTTGCTGCAAGGCTCCTTGTTCATTATTTCATTTCACGCACAAAAACAAAATCAGCTTGCCCTCCACGCGCGTCGCAAAGCGGAGTATCTGGCCCGGGAAAAGCGCGCCGTGCACGTGAAGAAGCAATTGCCGGTTCTGGTGAACACTTTGCAATCCGTGACGAGCCGGGTGACTGCCAACACGTATTGGAGGTGGCGACACGCGCTGCTGCACTATCCAAATGCGAATTCTAATACCAAGATGAAAGAACCACGATCCAGAATAAATACCGAGCAAGTAGATGATGACGAGACTCACTCCAAGCAGAAGAGCAAGTCGCCCGCGTCTTCAACCAGAGCAGTCAGAACGAAGGCGGCGATACTCTGGAAGAAAGGAGCGGGCGCGGCGGTGCGGTCATCGAGAACGGATTTTATGCCTGCGGATATTAGTGGGGAATCTACTGCAAAAATATCGTCTACTTCTTCGCAAGTTCCGGCAAGCGGAGCCGACCCTGGGACTTTTCCGAGAGGAGCCGAAGGAGGATCATGCAACAAAAGTAAAGAAGACGCTCAGGAGTCCTCTGCTGCTGCAAAACAGGAACCCCCCGCCGCGGCCCCACCACTCTCCCCTAACCGGTACCTGCAAAACCAGCAAAAGGGCGGGTCGTCTTCCAGCAGCGCGACCAGTTGGTGGCACACGGCACTGGAGGGCATCAAACACCTAGCGTCGGCGTCGATGATCCAATCTTCCCCGGGATTACCGCCTCTGCCCGGGATGAACTCGCCGGACAGTGCTGGTCATGCGAAGGTAAAGGAGAAAGATGATTTCGAAGAAGATCAAGCGCAACATAATTCTCAACAGCAACATTCCGTGTCCGAAGTGATTTCCTCTGCGTTAGGCCGGTCGCCCGTAAAGCAGGAGCCCGAGGACTCGCCCGTAGAGCTGAGTGTGAAGACTTCTGGGCTAGAGCAACTCGCAGGTGGGAATGTAGCAGCATCCGCGTCTGAAGAAAAGCTTCAGGAGGTCGTGGACGGCAGCATCTCTAGAATCAGCGACAAGCTGGCCAGCCCGGTGGAGTCCTCGAACGGGGCCACGTCTACTGCACGGAGGTCGGGCGGAGAGACGGCGGCAGGGTTGTTCCCGCGACAACCAGGGGACGACCCGGACCTGGCGGATTTTGTGCAGAAAACGAATAATGGTCTTGACACCGACCTCTACTTGGCCGCGCACGCAGATTCGAAGGAGTATAAAAATCTTGGTGGCGTTTTATCTTCCAGCGTCCCGATTTCCTCCTCCTCTCCGGGTGAGGACTCTACTTCCCCACCGCCTGTGAAAATCGAAAACCAGTTTCTGTTCCACCAGGATAGCAAGGGAGAGATGAGCGATGGTACTTCCATGCGGTCAAGGTCGGAACAGATGAATTACTTGGCAAGTAAGAGTTCTCTGGCAAATAGTACCAGCAACGCAGATTCGCCAGGGACGAGGGCGAGAAAACACGTTGGGTTTTCCGGCCGGCAACCGTCCCAGTACAGTTACACGCATGCGTACACGGCTGCGGATTTTTACGACGAGAATGATTTGGATGAGGAAGAGTTTACGGAGGATGTGGTATCACGGTGTTTGTCTCCATTTTTGTCATTTGGAATAAAGACTGTCATGCTAAACGAAGCACTTGCAACATACCCACTGTCTTTTATCATGCGATATGATATGACTATGAGAAAAAAAATGCTATCAGGATCTACCGCCCGCCGCTTCGGGACGGCCATCCAGTGCACATCAGAATCACAACGCCTATTTCCACGCCGACTACCTGGAAGAGGAAGACTCGCTGGAAGAGGAGCTCCTCGGGAGTTGCATATCTTTAGACCACGACGCGCCAGCACGACCACATTCCGCAACAGAGGCAGCGAATTTACTGAACCAGGATCACCAAAAACTACGCCAAAAAAGAGTTGTTCCCGATCCCTCGCCGCCGGCCGAGTCTTCGACCAGATCAGCCTCAGCCTCCGCCTCTTTGAAACCAGGTTTGCCGAAGACCAGCAAGGACAGCTCGACCTACATTCCGTTTGGCAACACCAAACTTCTCGCCACGCCGCAGTCAACCTCTGTTGCGGATGAGGAGTACCACTTGAAGTCTTTTTCCGGCGGTGTGATGAACAATAGTAACCCGGACACGGAGTTTCTATTCGCGAAAAATACAAGCGGGTTACTAAATAACTCTTCCGGCGGTTTTCGGTTCTCGGACATGAACAAAGCGTCGCCGATTTCGAGCATCAACTCCTTCTCCGCCCGGGATGATCCCGAAGAGTTGGAATTTGACCACGTCGGGCGCCCGGTGCCAGGAAGCTCGACATTCACCAGCGACGCCGGGTCAAAAGGGTCAACTTCACATCAGAGCAACCAAAATAGTAACCGGAATCACAGCCGGCACGGAGTGGCGAAGTTGATGCAGTTCCAGAAGAAAAAATCGAGAGAGGAGTTGCAAGAGCCGGCGTACGCAGGGCGGGAGTTTGACGATGAAAAGTTACTACTTCGGAAAACGAACTCGACCTCTTTCGTGCAACTGGCCTCCCCGCCCGTTTCCCCCTTACCGCAGCTTTTAAGTTCGCCGGAAAGCAGCGGGAGTCAAAGCGGCCGCGGCGGTGGCCCTTATCTTCCGGGGGGTAGTCAGAGTGCGTCCAGTAGGGGAATCCGCAACGCGCGATCGAGTGTGGCCGTGAAGAAAACGTCGAACGATGGTGGTAGTTCGTCGATGAACTATGTTAGCAAAGTTTCATCTTCGTCGCGAAATGCGAATGCCGCTACTTCCTCTAGCGCATCCGGCGGGAATAAAGCCAAAGCGAGAAATGCATCGCCAAACACCTCCTCCACCAGACCCTCAGTATCAATAAAGCGACTCGAGGTGAAAGAAACGCAACGCCTGCTAGAGAGTCCGTCGGGCAGTAAGCTGCTCAACCCGGCGTTACCAGCGAAGCGGAACAGCCCGGACGAGATTTACTACGCCGATCCGGACCCGTTTTACCGATTGAGGTCCGGCGGCGAGGATGACCAAATACAAGGTTCCGGCGGTGCTCGCACGATCAGCTCAGGCACTACTTCCCAACATCGCACGATCTCCGCCGCTATCAAATGCAAATATGTCTGGGTCTGGAAGGATGTGATGAACTTGTGATGCATGTTGCGAATCATACAAAAAACTGTGTTGCATGACTTGCAAAAGCTGTCCATTTGTGGCCATGCTGAGACGCCATTTCTCATGCAGAATAGGCATCGCAAGGGGGCTGCAGAACCTGTGATGCTAGGCACTGCTTTCTAGATTTGGTGGATCTTGGAAAAACAGCATGACAAATTTCGGAATCTCCCAGACCGAGACATGTTTGCAGTTGATAGCCTCTTCCACAGCCTTCGACTCCTCAACGCATCCGGCTTACTCGAAAGAAAGTGCTGCGATGAACAGAGTAAGATCATCCGCTTCGACCAAGCCGCCTTTGATTCACCGGCCTGCGGAGCAGTACAGGAACGGTGAAGTTGTAGACAAGAGCGGTTCATCCTCGACCAGTAGCACCAACAGGATCGGCTCCAACGACCTTGACCGAACGATCCCGAATGGTGTGCAGAGTGTGTCTTTAGGTTTACTCACGGAAGGAGCTGCTGCCAATCGAGACAGTACAAGCTCCGCGACGACAAATGAACTGTTGCACGGGGCGGTGAACAGTGGCGCAACTGCAGTGTCGAACGCGATCAGCAGCATGAGAAATCCATCCTTGAGGATCGAGGAGGAATTCGAACTGCAGAGCCACCCGAAGTCGTCGTCTTCTGGTACTACGGCATTGTTGCAAAGTGCTGTGGAGATCCGCAATTTCCCGTGCTTCAACGCCGTTTACCGACAGGAGGAGAACGAGATGTGGGCGGAGAAGCCGGTGTATCGGTCGGAAGACAACTTAATCTATTGGAACGAGGATTACAGCATGTGGTGGCTCGGGCGGGACCCGGAAACCATGGACGATTTGTCGTTCTTGCAGGAGATGCTAGTGGTGTTTTCTACCGAAGTGGATTGTGGTGCTAGTACTACACAGCGCTCCTCAACGTCCACCGCCGAACGCGCGCCGTTTTTGCAGGGGATTTTGAAAGAGATAGCGGCTTCGAAGAACAAAGTGAAGACCGCGAGGACTTCATCCGCTGGTGGGGCCAGTACGCCCAAAAGCGTCGTCTCGGGCGCGGAAGGGGAGGAGAAGACAAATTCAAGCATCACCAGCGCGGATTTGCAGGAGTACCTCTCCAGCGCGGCCGCGGAAAGCAGCAAAGTCGTGCAGTACTTGCGACAAGTGTTTCAAGCGGGGTTGTTGTTGGAGGAGAGTGTGCTGCTGGTTGGAAGAACAGGGGAAGAACAGGAAACGGATCGCGTGCGGACTGGTCAGGAGAGAGCTTTGGTGGAACTTGATGCTCCCGAAAAACGGATTTACTTCCTCCGAAACGCCGATGCAGACCTGAGTTTGATAAGTCTGGACTTCAACGGCAGCGACGAGCCGAGTGACGGGCCACGGAGACTTGCGGATGTGTTTGGAAAGGAGGTGGTGAGGAAGTGTGAGATTCGAGTTGGTGCTGGAGGGGGTGTTGAGTGATCTGGTGACAGATTTCAGGTTGCTGCTACATCGTGAGTTTTCCCTTGATTTCTTGTTACTAGTGCTTGCAAAACTTCTTTTTCCAAATGAAATGCGTCTGCGTTTCGTGAACCACCGAAGCGTGAGCGTCCAGCTGTCCTACCCGAAAATAAAAGTCGTAGAACACGGCAACGCTTGAAAATTTGACGGACGGCGCAGGAAAGCCAGCAGTTGGTTGTTGTTCAGGCGGTAGCGAACAGCAGCAACTTGATTTCATGCTCGCGGCAGCGACGTGCGATCATCAGACAGATTTCGAAGACGGCTGGTGTTTTCGATGTCGCGACGATTATGCTCTTGCAACGTTGAATGATAGTGCGAGAGCGTTCGCGCTTCTTGCAGTTCCCGCGCCCTGTTGTCTTTGTGGCCGGCGGGCCCCTCTCCGGCCCCGGGCGGGTGGCCCCTGCGAGCTCGCCGGCAAGCCGGGGGCGGGCGCGTAGCGGTGGGGGGGGGGCACGTTTTCACTGCATGGCGGTGGAGTGGGCCGAGCAGGGGACGCGGGCGCTGGCCGCCCAGTTGGCGGCGACAGCGGAAGAGTGGGGCCACCCGTATAAGGAAAAAAAAAAAACGAGCCGGCGCCGCAATTTTGAGAAAAGCGCCTGGCCGCGGGCGGGCATTGGGTGACGCGCGCGAAGCACCGGGGGCCACGGCAGCGAGCGACATAACGCGCTGCACACGCAGGCAGCCAGTAACCGCGCCGCCGGCCAGCAAGTGGGTGAGGCAATTGCGCAGCGCCCTCGGTCGCGCGGGGCCCTGCCTGCTCCATCCGCCGCCGCAGACAGACGGCGCACGAAGGGCGGCGCCGGGGGTGTGGCGCCTTGAAAGCGCGGCGCGCCTTACCAGCGTGCTCCTGCGGCCGGGCCGGGCCGCCGTCGCCAGCCCCAGGCAACGCAGCGGGGCGCCCTACTCGCGGGCGCTGCCGGCAGCCCGGCTTGGCGCACTTGGAAGCTTCGCCCGGCGCCTCGGAGGGGGGTAGCGACGCCATCAAAGGGGGGCCGGGGAGGCGGAGCAGCCGGTTGCGGGGCGAGCAGAGGAAGCAGCTGGCTACGAGGTAGAACAGAGCCCAAGCGCAGGAGCTAGCGAAGGAACGAAGCCGGCAGAAAAAGGGTGCGCGCCGCCCCAGCTTTATGGAGGAAAGGGACGTGGACCGTTCTGCTAGTGCATAAGCTCTTCCGACTGGTTATGGAGCGGGCGCAGCTGACTGCTTCGAACGGCGCAACGCGTGACTCGAGTAGTGTTCGTGCTTCATGGCAAGGAATCGAGAAAATGAAAAAAAGCTCCAGCTTCCAACTGGTCGGGGACATCGCCCAAATACGCAGCACGACGCTGAATCTCAGCTGCCAGCAAGCACTGTTATTTGTCGGCGAGGTCAGCAGCTTTTATGCGGCGTGCGTGAGGGTGCGCAAGACGGTCTGCGCGGCCGTGCTGCTGCGGCCATCCGACAGCAGGGGCCAGTAGGCCCGGCAGGCTGGTCAAATTCGCGAGCGGGCGCCCCCTCTGTGGAAGCCCGGCCGCCGGCGGGCGCGCGCGGGGCTCGGCGGGGGGCCGGCGGAGGGCGCGGGCGCGATGGTTTTTTTCCCCGCCCAGCCTTCGTTCCCGGGCCGCCGGTGTTCGGCTAGGACCAGGAAGCGCCTGCGCCCGGGGAGGGGTTGGCGCCCGCTGTGTTGCCCGTGTTGCTTTCTGGGCGGCGCGACTAGGCGGAGGCGCCGGCCACCTTGCTTTCCCCCGCGCCCTCGCTCTGCTGTGGTGATGGCGCCAGCTTGTAATATTGCATTTGGGGTAGCCCCCTGGCCCAGGGAGGTGTGTCGAGAGATATTGGTGGCCCATCCCGGGGGCCGCGGCCTGGCTGCCCATTAAAGCCAGAACTGCCCCCGGCCCAGCCGGGCGTGGTGTCTCGCCTGAGCGTTTTCCCTGTTCCGGTGGTACTCGTGATTATGTTGCAGTGGTTGTTTTGCTCGCGCCTCCATGCCTTGTTTTTCATATTTTTGTAGAGTCTACTTCTGTAACTGTAGCTGTTCGAAAAGTGCCAGCATATCAAAATGCTTGCACCGAATCTTCGCCGGCCTCCGTAAGTGTAACTCAAAGTAGCTGCTCGGTAAATGGTAGTAACTTCTCGTAGTTATCGAAATGCGAAATCGGTGCGTGCCGAAGAAGCCACGTCGGTCCCTCCGTCAACGTCGGTCGTAGAAAATGGAAACTACAAAGTAAATCACAAAAAGTCGCGTAGCATCGTGCGCCCCGCGGCTGGTACGCAATTAGATGTAAATCAGGAACGAAGTATAGATGCGTCGGTGTGAGATTCTTAGACATACGTGAAGCACGTCGGTCAACATCACCATCACGAGGTGTGGCCGGCTCGGTGTCGTGAAAAACTTACACCGCTCGGTCCTTAGCCATGTGCTCGTTATGTGCAACGCGATGTGTGCCTCGTAGCGTAAGCCTTACACCCCCTGTAGCATAAATTAATACTGTTATTGTGAGGCTTTCCATCGTCCCGACAGTGTCAATGAGCAACCCTACCGGGTTTACTCCACGACGCCCAAGCACTCCACTTTAATATCGCGTTTGTAGTCTTCGCGACTCACTACCCTCACAAGAAGCAAAAAAGGACGTACAGTCTTGTCAAGAACGGCTAGGAGTACTAGAACTACGCGCAAAAGCAAATACTAACTCACAACCTTAACCCAAATCTAAAACTAAAAAGACACAAGAAGCTGGTCAAAAATAACCAGATCGCTTCTAATACAGTTATACCAAGTCCAAGTGTTAAAGAAACACACCAGGCGCAAATAAATAAAAACGGACCAACATCAAAGCAAAAGACCGCACGGCGTCAAGCGGATCCGTCTTTGACATGGGAATCGAAATGAAGAACAAGCTCCGCCTCGTCCTCGGGGCGGGCTTCGCCGCCGGCGCGTACGGGATCAAGCAAGCGTGCAAGTGCAAGTACGCGGGAGGCACCTTGCCGGCAACCACGTACAACAACTTCCCCACCACGAACCCGGGACAGCACAACTCCTCCGCGGCGATCTCGCTCTACGGTAATTGTTTCCAACGAAATGGAGCGGCTTGAGAATGCTTCCGTCCATTCTCTATATTAATTTGAGGCCATTTTTTTTTTACAATTTCATTGATTTTACCAGCATGCCCCGAGGACCATAGTTCCGATCGGTTGTACGTACTCACTCCAGCATCTGCTGCTTACCCTAGACAACTAAATCAGACATTGATCTGCAGCTCTTCACATCATGATCAGGTACTGCGTGCGCAGCGTGGGACAGCTTGCCCGATACCCCGTACTACGATGCGAACGCGACGAACTTCACGGGGTCGGAGAACTGGGTGGCGCAGCCGTGGTGCTTTGTGGACCCCTCCTGCGACTCCGCGATCGCTTCGTCCGCGTTTTCCGGCTCGGGGGAATACTATTCGTACGAGACGTGCGGCACCTTGAACTGCTGGGCGGCGGCGAACAGCCCGATGTCCGCGGGCTGTCCGGTGGACATCACCGGCACGGGCAGCGGCAAGGTCGACAAGGCGGGCTCTTGTGCCTGCCTCGGCGGGGCCTACTACAACAGCACCACCTCTACTCTGGAGACGTTCCCAACCATGGCGAGCCGGGTGAACACCACCTCGAACCTGATGTACGGAACCACGTGTGCCGCCTGGGATTTCGTGGCCGGTATACTTGTTTTTACTCTCGTCCACGACCACCCATTCCGCTCTTCTTGTTGTGGTCCACCAGCGTGGTCTCTCTAGTAAGTACTTGAAATATCGTCCTGAGTAAAAGACCTGATGAGAAAGTCTGAAAAAGAAGGACAACGCTGCGAAAAGTTAGTAGTGCGATCTGCCTGCGATCAAGATCATGTAGCCGTTGCTGTGAGCAGCAGCACGGCAGAAAAGAAGAAAGTTTTTTTTTTGCGAAAAAATATGAAAACAACTTCAGGAACCCCGTACATCGGCTCGTGCCCTACTTCTGGCAAGGATTTCTGTCATTCCGACAACAGCTGGTGTCAGGTATAGCATAAGCAGAATAACTCATACTGTTTCTAGTTCTATCTAGTGATGATCTGGTTCTTGCGTTGTTGTAACGACTAAATCTTCTTGTTGTTGGATTGTTGTTGCCTGTCACGTCGGGGTTTGGATGTCAAATCGAAATCGTGTATGCAAGTATGTAAATGTTGTTAAACATCAAATAGCAGTAGCTGCGCGATATAATAAAAACACACTGTCAATAAATACAAACAAATCAGACTCCGTGGTGTTACGTCGACAGCAGCTGCCCGAGTGCAGTGCAGTCTGATTTCAGCACCGACGTGTACTATTCGTACAACACGTGCTATCCAAGAAAAAAACATTGTAGGTGTAACTTTTATTTTGGCGGAATAGCATTACAAGTTTGTCTGGCATGACAGCAAAAACCTGTCATGCGCAGATAGTACGTGAAAACGCCCTTTAATGGACCCCACGATGCATGCCAAGCATGACAGACGCAATCACTTTGCATGTTGCGCATCACAAATTGACACTAACAGCGTTTTTTTCTTGGAATTCGGGGAATTGAACACTAACAGCGTTGGTCGGATTCGGGGAATTGAATAAATGGCACAGGCGCGCGGTGGTGGTTGCTTTGGTCCGCGGTACGATGTTGTATGGAGCGAATTGCCGGTCTTTTTCGGCGCAGGAGCTCAGTGACCTGACAGCCGCCGACAACGCAATCCTTCGGCGTTTGTTCAATCTGTCCCTCCCCCAGATGGAGGTCATGAAAGTTTCGCATGGCGACCTCCGGGAACACATCGGCGTTGCGCCGATCTCCGCGGAGATAGGCTATGCCAGGCTGTCACACGGCGGGCATTTGTTGCGGCGCGACCGGGACTACCTGCCGCGCAAGGCGTTTTTTGGCCGTTTTATCATCAGCGCCGCGGACCCCAACACGACCCCGGATTGCAGCCCCGAAATGTTCCTCCTGCCACGACGCCCATCGCGACTACCGTCGGTCTACGAGTCCTTCATCGAGGCGTGCGCGGCCGCCCGGATTCCGGTCCGGGAGCTCGCCGGGTTTGCTGTTCCGGAAACTCGCAGGGACTGGTTCCTGCGCACGAGGTCGTGGTATATCGATGCCACGATGCAGCATTGGTTTTTCGCGTCCTGGCGTGACGCGCTATCGCAGGCACGCGTTCTAGATGCGTACGAGCGACTTTTGAAGAAAAACGGAATTTCGCGCGAGGAGTTTGATTCGGCGTATGGGGATCGGGGCCGCGTCGGCAGTAAGCGGGCGGTCCTCAAAGTCACTCCGAGCTTGGCGGAGTTACGAGCGAAACAGACAGTGCTGAAGGGAGAAATTTCGGAGCGGCAAACGGACGACCTTGCGCGGAAATCGGGCGGGATTTATACTGGTTGCAAGGACGGGGCTGGCGCTTTGTGGTGCAACAAGTGCGCGGCGGCGCTTGGCGGATCTTTGCGGGCCCTGCGTGCCCACCTCAAGCTGCATCAAGAGGACGACTTCGTCCGCATCGTCGGTGAGCGTGACGGGTCTTACACACCGGCCGAGGAATACGCGTACGGGAAATCGGGCCAGTGTATTCTGAACAAATACAAGCCTTCGCAGCGTTTTGTTCTTCCTCCGCAGCGGTTTCTTAGCGGTGGCGACGTTTCGAAGTTCAGCGTCCGACAGCTGACTTGTCCGCACTGCTCGGAGCACTCGATTTCTTGGCCACGCGATTTCCAGAAGAAGGTCGGCGCGTCCCGACGCATGAAGACGCACGAGAAGAAGTGCGTCGCGACGAAGAAGCTCGATCTGAAATGCGATCCGATCCTCGAAGAAGAAGAAGAGAACGACTTCAGTGATGTTCAAGAGAGTTGAGCAGTTCGATACTCAGACTTCTTGATGTTAGTAAGCGACGATAAGCGAGGTGCGACGCTGCAGTGAGAAACCCTCGAGATGCAGCTTGAACGAACTCGAGCCCAAACCTCCGCACGCCCCCCCCTAGTGCAGGATAAATGATGATGATGATGGATACGTGCAAAGACACGCCGAACTGCTACAACCAGAACGGAAAAAAGATCAAGGACTGCCCGTTCGACTACGCGACGACGCTGATATGAAATGTAAAAATGTCTGGGTCTGGAAACTTGTGATGCTGGGTGGCGTCTCATGATGAGGCTACAAATGCTGGCTCAGCATGACAAGTTTCTGAGGTCCTAGGTGTTGCCTATTCTGCATGACAAACTGCGTTTCTGCATCACAGAAGAATGGGGCTCTGGGGTCACGTGCATGACTACAGATTTGAGAGTCATGCCAGACAAGCATGACAAACATGCATTCTTCCAGACCCAGACATTTTTACATTTGATATCTGAAGCAGATTCCGAACTCCGGGAAGACCCTCGTGTCTGGTTGGGCCACTCCGATGAAGTGCGGCTCCACGTACACGAACTGCGCTTGCAAATACAACGGGGAGGAGCTGGCCAGCAGCGTTTACACGAACTTTCCCACCAGCCAGCCGGGGCAGTACAAGGATCTTGCGTCGATCAAGGTGTACGGGACCAGCTGCAACGCGTGGGACAACACCGCCGGCACCCCCTGGTTCGCGGGCTCCTGTCAAGGGAAGAGCTCCTACCCCCTCGACGCGAACCCCTGGTGCTTTGACCCGTGGTTATGCATTGCAAAAATGTCTGGGTCTGGAAAGTTGAAACTTGTAATGCTAGCTTTACATTACTGAGAAATCTGTGTTGCATAAGCAACAAACGACGCAGCCACTTTTGTCATGCAAAAACGTAGTTTCTCATGCGGACTTCCTATGAAAAAGCAGTCTGGAAAGTTGTCATGCTGGGCTGCATGCGGAAGTTTTTCCATCATCCCCATTTTAGCATGACAAGTTTCCAGACCCAGACATGTTTGCATTTGATACTGGTGCTACGTCGACGATACCTGCCCCTGGGGGGTGGCGTCTTCCGTGTTTGCCGGAACCGGTTCCCCCGCGGCCAAGTACTCGTACCAGACGTGCGGGTTCAAGGACTGCTACGCGAACTCGACCCTCACCGACGGGTTCGGTACCTGCCCGAACGATCCGACCGGCACGCAGTCCAACCGCATGGACAAGAAGAACGCCGGCACTAGCACCGGGGATTGCGAATGCAAATACATCGGTGGAGAACTGCCGTCGGCCTTGTACACCGGTAGTGCCTACTATGGAAGGAAAAAAGTTGTTGTAGTCGGGCTCGAAATTGCATTACGCTGAGCAGACTGGTGTGCTGCAGTACTAGGGCCGGCAAGACAGACACGCTCTGTCATGCGTAAACCGCAAATTGCTCACCTGCTTTAGTTTTTATGCATTGTCTTTTGCCTGAATGAAAAAGCGCTCTCCGGCACTTATTTGCAGATTTTTTTTGTCACGGAGCAGTAGACCAAGCCTGTGTTGCTGCATCACTGCAAATAAAGCATGTCTTTGTAAAACCTGACGCACTTTTTTTCTTGGATACGCCTGCCAACATGACCAGCATCAAGGTCTACGGCACGTCCTGCGCGGCTTGGGACAGCGTGAGCGGGATACGCACGAAAAAAACTGTGTAAGTGTAACTTTGTCTTGCAGACGTTGCAATACAGTCACGCTTGTCATGCCGGATATGCATCAGAGGCTATTTCAATGCATGTTTTCGCGTAGTAGCTGCGCATGACAGGTTTTCTGTCATGCAAAACAAATCTGTGATGCTGTTCCCGCAAAAAAGTTAGACTTAAGCCGTTTTTTTCTTCGATACGGGACCCCCTGGAAGCAGTACTGCCCCGCCGACGGGAAGACCGATTTCTGCACCGCGGGGAACAACTACTGCCAAATTCCCTGGTGCTACGTGGACCCCGTGAAGTGCTCCACCGGGATCTCCACCACGGTCTTTGCCAGCAGCGGCACGGCCATGGCGTATTCCTACGACACCTGCCGCTCCGCGCCCGACTGCTACACCACCGCGGGGAAGACGGCGAACGCGGCCAAGTGCCCCTACGATTTATGCGTTGCAAATATGTCTGGGTCTGGAAACTTGTGATGCTAAAATGTGGTTGATGGAAACACTTTCGAATGCAGCCCAGCATGACAACTTTCCAGAACGCTTTCTCATAGGCAGTCCGCATGAGAAACTGCGTTTTTGCCTGTACAAAAGAGGGCGCGACTTTTGTTGGTTATGCAGTACAGATTTCCTAGGCATGGAAAGCTAGCATTACAAACTTTCCAGACCCAGACATATTTGCATTTGATACGATTCGAAGGAGAACGAGTTCTACACGCCGCATGTTTGCAAACTGAAGGGCACGTTCTCCGACTGCTCTTGCAAGGCGCAGGGCACCAACCACACCACTGCGTTCTTGGACATGTACCCGATTACTAACCCGGGACAGTACAAGAACCTGGGTGTATCTCAAGGAAATTTATTGATATTATACCGCACCGCGCGTAGGCGTTGTACTACATATTTCCATTGACATGCTGTTTCATCCGCATGACACAGCCAATGATGATGATCGTGATGCTTGTCGCAGCGTGTTTCGCCTGACAAGTCGCGTAGTGGGCGGCGGCTGTTAGGTAGTCCTTAGGTGATGTTGTTATGATGCATTTACTTCTATCATGTGGTCGTGCTCGTGGTGCCTGTTGTAGTTGTACCTGTGCGGCAATACAAATGAATTTCGCAGTGCATATGGGGCCGTCGGCATCTACGGGAGCTCTTGTGCGGCGTGGGATCGCGTGCCCGACACGCCGTGGGTCAGTTACTGCCAGACGCCAGCCAACTTCGGAACCACGGACAACTGGTGCACGTCGCCCTGGTGTTACGCCGACGAGTCGTGCACGTGGGGGGTCCAGAGCAGCGTCTTCCAGGGATCCCCCCTCGCATTTTACTCGTACCAGTCCTATCGCCCGAAAATAAACCTGCTTCGCTTGTTGAAACTTGCATAAAAATTGCGGACGAGGAATCTGTGTTTGAAGTCTCAGAGCCTTGCGAATCAATGTCCTTGTCTTCATGTGTGAAGTAACAGCTAAGTCGTCTCTATCATGCAAATTTTCACCAAAGTCCTCACATCACTGAAGCAGTTTTATTTTCCTGCCATAACCCCTGCGGCGTAAACAATTGCTACACGATATCCTATTCAAAAACGTCCCCACCCCATAGTTGTAATGCAAATCTGCATGCTGAAAATGTTTCTCATGCGGAGCCCCATGAGAAGCATTTTCCAATCGTGTTTTGCAATATGTCATGCTCCAATCGGCATGGTATGCTAGATCTGTGATGCTGCTGAGCTAGCTCAAACAGCACTACACTACGAATCCAAATTTGTCATGTAAAACAGCCAAAGCTTGTGGATTTGTCTAGCCGATTCCCCAACTTGACTATGGTGTGGGGACGTTTTTACTCAGGATACACGAGCGTGCCGGGCATCTCGTCCACCACTGCGACGGGGTTCTGCCCCAACGACCCCACCGGGACCAAGTCGAACAAGTACGACAAGGCCGGGTCCTGTGCGTGCCTGTTCGGCGGGGACAAAATCAACTCGACCATCACCGGCAGCTACCCGGCCTCCAACCCGGGCCAGTACCAGAACTTGAAATTCATCTCGTACTACGGCACCACGTGCGCCGCCTGGGACCAGATGCCCGACACCCCCTGGTACAGCTACTGCCCCGCTTCCCAGAACGACGTGGCCGCCCACCTGGGCTGGTGCAGCAAGGACTACAACTGGTGTCAGGTCCCCTGGTGCTACGTGGACCCCAGCTGCCCCACCGGGATCGCCAGTTCCGTGTTCGCGGGCTCCACGGCGGCGAAGTACTCGTACGACACCTGCCGCTCCGCGCCCGACTGCTACAACACGCCCTACGACACGCAGTGCCCGGCTGATGCCAGCAAGCTGAACAACTGGCACACGGCCAAGGCCTGCGGTACGACGACGTGGGCCGCCTACCTGATGAAGGGGTACGACCGCGCCACGTCCTTGGCCAGCTACACTCGCCATTCCACCCCGGTCACGATGAGCTTCGCGATGGATGTCGCCAGTTTGACGGCCGCCCAGAAGACCGCGGCCAAAAACAAGATCACTTCCACGTTGTTGAGCATTATGTGCGGGCCGGTCTCCGGTACGGGCAAGACGTTCAGTGATCTGGCCTCCTGCACCGGCGGACAAGTCCAGAACGGCATCTACGCAGAAATGGACGTGGCTTTCACGGGCGCGCTCGCTGCCCGCCGCGAACTTCGCAAGCAGCTGCGTCGGCAGTTGACGACCAGCTCGGCCGGGGCGAGCGGCTCATTCAACTTGTACGCGGACGCCAACAGTGCCACGAACCTCGCAACGGCGCAGGGGCAAATGACGGCTGCGGGGACCGCGGGAACGTTCGCCTCCGCCACCATGCAAACGACGCTGCAGACCGCGCTGTCCAACGATGCGGCCCTGTCCGGCGTCACCTTCACGGCCACGGTGGATCCGTATGAGACTGCACAACTGTACAGCCTCCCCCTCATTTGTAATGCAAAATACCACATTTTTCACACCTTGCCCGTAAGCACTGTTAGGCATGACAAATTTTGGGACCTCAAATAGTACTACTACAAGCCGCCTGCAGATTTGATTTGTCATGCGAAAGCCCCTTTTCTGCTGTTGCTTGTGTTGCTGTTCATGCCATACAAATGAGGGGGAGGGGGACGCTGTGCACGCTCATAATCCAGTTACCGTGCCCACCACCACGGCGACCGGCGCCGCGCCCGTCGCCGGTTCGACCACCGCCACGACCTCGTCCTCCTCCAGCGATGACGACATGGACACCGGTGTGCTCATCGCGATCATTCTCGGCGGTATCGCTGGCCTCGCTCTGATCGTTGTCATCGTGCTGAAGGTGATGGGGGCGGGCCCCTTCGCTGGTGGAGGTGGCGCGGCTGCTGCAAAGAAACCGGTTACGAGGGCGGAAGGCGAAGCTGCTCCTGCTGCCGCTGCTGCTGCTCCCGCTGCTGCTGCCGCTGCTGCTCCGCCGCAACTTGCAGCTGCAACGGAAGCCGCAGCTTCCGCCGACAATCAGGTGTAAGTGCAAAAATCGGGAAGATTTCTCCTCATGAAGTAGTATGGTCAACATACAGCTGCATCTAAAGTACTATCCCGCTTTTGTCCTCTACCTCGGAGATACAAAAAAGTCTTTCCTCCAAATGGAGTTTTGAAACAGGAGCAGGTAGAGGATCCGAAAGAGGCGATCACATCTTTATTCTATGGTTATATCTATGTAAAAAATAGAACAAGAACTTCAACTCAAACTCTGAAAAGTCAAGCGCTGGGCCGATGACTGGAAGTAATTGACAAACTGAAAGAATCGGCGACTCTTACAGTTTTGTAGTCATAGGGGTGCACTCGCATGACTGTGAACTAAGAAAAAGGAAATGTCTACTCCTCGTTAGAGAAGATCCAACAAGTAAGTCTACTTTCTTACTTCTCTACTAAACGTCTCATCTGCAGACGCCGGCGTTGCTCCTTTTGCTTGCGCCCCCGGTCGTCCCAGTGGGCGACTAATTATCTATACTTAATCCCGAATACACTACCGGCTTTTTGTTCTATCATTTCATTCTTGATCTCAATAAACGCATATTACTAAATATTGTACAGTTAAACTGCTCTTGCGACGACCTAAGGACTTTAATGCCGACAAATCTATTATGTACAATTTTGAAAATTTTCGGCTGTATTAGTTCTTCTCTGTTTGTTCAGTTTCTCTTGCGCCCGCAAAACCTCACAGGATGTTCATCTAATTACTTCCTCTATTTATGTGTCACATTTTCGACATCAGTGCCAAATTTTTCCCACTTTATTTTTGAATTTAAGGGAGCATCAGTATCGGTTTCAGTGCTGCGTCTCATGAGCTTGCGTAAGGTAAGCTAAGTTGCAAGTCAATTCTGACATGGGCACTTGTATTTGTGTCACCACGACGGTCCTACATCGCCTATGACGTAAGGGGTTTAACTTTTGCGAAAAACTTTGCCTTTGTTCTGAAAGGTCTCGACCTTACTGGTTCTGGCCGAAATTTAAACTAACAACTAAACAAGACGGCGCATTTGACGAACCAAAGCACAGACAAATCTCTCCAAACACACGCAGCAGCGGTCTATTGAACGGCGGGCAACTGTCCACGGCTTTTTGATGTTGCTTTTGTCTGAAAAGGTATCTGTTCGCCCGGTGTTGACGCACAATGGTACGACGTGGGGGACGTCGAGCGTAATTCGTTACTATGTATACTGTGCGTAGTTCTTTGCCTAACATCGTGGTCAAGCATGTTTCATCTGGGAAGCCATTGAGACGTAGTGCCGCTATGGAGCGGCCTCTACGGGTCTTCTTGTCCTTTGGAAACAACCGGGCGTAGAGTTTCGTGTGTAAACGTAGCCGCGGTTCGTTGTCTCACGGGTGTAGTTTTCTTCGTTCGAAGATGTAGTTGAAAAAAGTTCTACAACTGACCAAAACGTCGAAGATGCGTGTCTTGACATAAACGCATCATGTACACCAGCACCAGCTTGAACATGCGGGCGGCTACTCGAACCGTTTGGGCTTTGGCTTCCGGTCCGCTCTAGGCCCATTTTTCGCGCATCACCTACTTCTCGTCGTGTCGTGGTCAGTACCTAAATTTCCACTCCACCATTTTATCAAAATGGGTTGTGCCTTTTCTTCCCCCCAGCATCATCCCGGCAATGAGGCATCAACATCGCCACGAAATGGGGACGAGAACTCCCTACCCAGCACTTCTGCCAAAAAATCTCCCGGCACATCACACCAGCCACTGACTCCGTCCCGCACAGGACCTCCAGAATCCAATACAACGACCACCACCGGCGGCCGGCACGCGGGTAAGCTGCATCACAACCAGCAAGATTTCATGCTGGATGGCGCGTCTGCTATCGCGGGGGAGCGCAACGTTGCCGGGCACAAGGTGGCGAAAAGACCGAAGAGCAACGAAGATTTGGTCTTGATCCGGGAGTCGTTAAAAAAGAACAGCGTCATCAAAGCGCTGCAGGAACGGGAAGTGGAGCGAATAGTAAACGCACTGGAATTCTACTCCTTCGGCCCCGAGGAGACGGTGTGTCAGCAGGGGACGCAGGGGACATATTTCTTCATCGTGCACGAGGGGAAATTTGACGTATTAGAAGATGTGACTACAGATGAGATCTGCTGTCTGACCTGAAGCTGCATTTGAGAAAGTTTGTCTGGGCGATTTCAACTGCCTATTCTAGTACGATGATCATAATTTTGCAATGCAAACTACAATGTCAGGTTCTCGTGAACGGGAAGAAGGTAAACAGCCTAGCGCGTGGAGAATCCTTCGGCGAAATTGCATTGATCCACAACTGCCCAAGAAGCGCGAGCGTTGTTGCCCAAAGCACCCGATCGCCGAGGGAGCACCAGGGAACTACAAGTGCTGGGGCAGCAGTGACACTACATAATGCGCCGAACAGCAGCAACGATGTTGACAGTGCAATGGCGGGTGGAACAATAATTAACGACAGGACCACGCTTCTCGAGCAAGAGTCTCCCAGTTCCAAGCACTTCGAGCTGTGGGGGATTCCGAATCACGAGTTTCGGAGCATTATGCGGCAAATTTCGCAGGCTCAAGTGGCGGAGAACATGATTTTGTTGAACAAGGTCCCACTCTTCGACATGCTTCTGCCACAGCAAAAGAACATCATCTGCGACGGGGTGCAAGTCACGATTTTCCAAGCGTCTGCCACGGTGTGCAAGCAGGGCGAGAAGAGCAACAGTCTGTATGTGCTCAAGTCAGGGGAGATGAAAACGTACTTTTCGTTGACCTGAGTTTAGAAACCTTTTATCTACAACTTTTTGGCGCGGACGCAACGAACGCCACGACAGGTTGAGTGTTTGTGTTGCATGTCAAAGTAAGTCAACCAACATCACAGCTCCACCAATGAGATTTTCCGACCTGGTTCGTTTTTCGGCACCGACGCGTTACTCTCCGACTCCGCCGTGCACGCTTTCGACTGCACCGTCAGCCCCGACGGCCCGGCGGTCTGCATCGAGGTAAAGCGAAGTCGGATCGAGTTGCTTGACCAGGACAGTGGGTCTGCCGGGAGCTCGCCCAGGAGTTCACCCAGGGTGGTTGGCGGCGGGGCAACATCTTCAGTACCGCAGCAATCCTCGAAGTTCGCGACGGCGCTGCAAGAGTTGCACTTTTTCCACGTGTTGGAAACGGCTTTGAAAAACGATTTGGGCGTGCACGTGCAGGAATCAAGAGCGCACCTGCGAGATTTGTCAAACTTTGTCCACTTGATCAATCTGGAGGGAAACGGCGCAGTGACCGACGTGAAGAAGCTTTTCCCTCTCTGCCGCTTTTTCATCGTTCTTAGCGCGGTTAGCGGCCAGCTGGAATTAGTTGGGGATGAAAGAAATCATGGGGAGGAGGTGGTCGTGGAGAAGCTGGACGCCGGGATGAGTCATGGTATAGTGGGTGCGGCTGTGTCTTTTGATCTTGATGCGCGGGATGATGAACCGCCCACCATGCAGATGCCGATAGGGATAGCACGGTCTCCGCCTGCTAAGAAATCATTTTGCAAATTTAACTCAATTCAATGTTCAAGTTCTATTATCCATACTCCTACATGCCACAGGAAAACGGAATCTCCTTGACGCGAGCCTACCCTTCAGCACGCTGGTGAAAAACTCGGCAAGTGGAAAAGCCTTACTAGGGGCGTTCAGTGCCGACGCGTTTGCGAGGCTAGGTGTCGGCGACGCCGATTTCAACAACAGGCTAGCGACTCTGAAGAAAGTAACGATCTTCAGGTGAGCGGGATAATTTGGGTCGGGTTGAATTCGAAAAGGAAACACTATATTCGATTTGTAAAATCAAATGTAATAGAAGGCGCTATTAACAGGACCGATTAATAATGTGGTTACTGCTCTCGTCTTTTATTGGATTGGAGCAAGTGTGGCATTACTTTCGCCTCAGTTTCTCTTGCTGATGATCCTTTACGGCGCCTCAGGTATCTCTCCTCCGCCCAAACCGAGTCGATGGTGCGCGCGTTCAAAGAACTTCCCCCGATGGACCAAGGGGATTTCGTGTTCAAGCAGGGCGATGTGGGCGACAAATTTTACATCATTAAGACCGGCGAAGTGAAAGCGCAACTCGACGACGGGCGGGTGCTCCGGACGATGGGGAAATCCGATTACTTCGGGGAGCGCGCCTTGATGTTCGAGGAGCCCAGGTCCGCTTCCATCGTCGTGAACCAATCCAACACGGTCTTGTGGACGCTGGACAAGTCCGAATTCCTGAGGGAATTCGGCGCAACCCCAAGCACTTCCAGCAGCTCGGGCGGGACAGCGGGCGTGGGTAGTAGTTCAGGAGGTGCTGGTGGGCCAACAACTCTTGCACAACAAGCGACAGCAGAAGACACGACAGGCGGGACAAAGACCACCAACAAAACCAACATGCTGTCGCACCTGCAGTACAGGATTCAGTTGCAAAATACGTTTTTGAAGAAGGAGAACCTAACCACGGAGAAATGCGTCGGGCGAGGGACGTTCGGCACGGTGAAGCTCGTTTTCGACAAGTCAACAAACGTCCGCTACGCGCTGAAATGCGTCCGGAAGTCGGTTGTGCTGGAAAAGAAGCAGGAACAGTCCATCCGGATGGAGCGCGAGATTCTCGCGGAAAATGACCATCCTTTTATCGTCCACTTAGTCAGGACGTTCAAGGACAGCAAATTTTTGTACTTTTTGACCGAACTCGTGACCGGCGGGGAGCTGTATGACGCGATTCGGGAGCTGGATTTGCTGACGCGGGAACAAGCGCAGTTTTACCTCGGATCGATCTGTCTGGCGATAGATTATTTGCACGAAAAATCGATTGCGTACCGGGATTTGAAGCCGGAAAACGTGCTACTGGACAATTCCGGGTACATAAAGCTGATCGACTTCGGGTGCGCGAAGAAACTCGGGGATGCAGGTACAGCCTTTTATTAATAACAGGGTTTTGTTCTTCTTCCGTGTAGCTGCTCTATGTCGATATTCTGCTCAAGCCAAGGCAGACGCAGAAAGGAATTAAGTATGTTGAGCACCATCGAAAAGCTAGATCAGCACAACCCTCAAATAAAGTAAGTTAGTAAGTAATTCATAAACTACTATTCCTCCACAGGTAAAGCTTTCACCCTGGTGGGCACGCCGCACTACATGGCGCCGGAGGTGATTCTGGGTCGCGGTTTATCCTGAGTAAAAATGTCGCCACACCAGAGTCAAGATGGGAAATCCGCTAGACAAATCAACCAGCTTTCGCTGTTTCGCATGACAGGTTTGCCGTCATGGTGTGACCCTGTTTCGCTAGTTCAGCAGCATCACAGATGTAGCACATCATGCCGATCCTAGCATCACAAATTCCAAAACAGGATTAGAAAATGACTCTCATTGAGGTCAGCATGAGAAACTTTTTTGGCATGCAGATCTGCATGACAGCTCTGACCCACCCGCCCTGCGTGTCAAGCCATCTCCTGCGGCCATGGTACAATGGGGGGGCAAAGTGTGTCGCATTTTGTTTAGCATGACAGCTCTGGGATGGGGACACTTCTACTCAGCATACGGTTACAACCAGAACGCGGACGTGTGGTCCATGGGCGTTTGCCTCTACGAGTTCGTGTGCGGACCCCTGCCCTTCGGAAACGACGCGGGGGACGACCAGCTAGTGGTGTTTAAGGAGATTCTCACGGGGAGACTACATTTCCCCGACTACGTCACGGACATCCCGGCGATGGAGCTGATAAAACGGCTCCTGTGCCGCACCCCGGAGTCGCGGATCGGCTGCACGCTGCGCGGGTTCTGGGACGTGAAAGAGCACTCCTTTTTCGAAAACTTTTCCTTCGACCAGCTGATGGGCCGGCAACTGCCCGCGCCACTGATTCCGGACAAGGAATACTACAGTAGTGACGTTGTGCCGGACGACCCCGCAGCGGATGCAAAGGAGCCGGACATCAGCTTTGCATGGGAGGAAGTGTTCGAATAGATCCTGGAAGACTGGGCTCCTTTTGATGAACATGTGCAGCCGAGCTAGAACCGCCAGGGCGAAAAACAATTTCCAAACGAATTTATTTTCGTTCTCGCCACTCTCGTTCCTCCTGCTGCTACAAAGTTCTTTGTTTCTGTCTGCGCATTCAGACAAAAGCGCAAGTACCAAATTTATCTTCTGAACGAAGTGGAGTCTGTTGCAAGACTTCCAGCTTGTTGCACTGATTTGCCCATTTTCCAAGTTTGACAATTTCGCGCCATAATGTTGATATATGATGAAGATGCCAAAGTAGACAATTAGCGACGAAAAATATCTTTCGGATTTGCGAGGAAAAGTAGAATGAACGAGGGCTTGATAGTATTGTTGTTATGGTATGTAGATGTATACGTAACGTGAACGCACAAGCAGGAGCCTGCTCCGCTAGTTTTTGATGGAAGATCAAGATCACGAAAAATAAATTTTGCGAGCCTGTTTCAGGTTTCTAAATGTACAACTAAAACAAGTGAGCGCGGTCTTGTTTTCAACTATGAATATCAAAAAACAGCTACAGACTGCTTTCTTTGTCCAATAAGTGAAAAAGTAGTAAGTGAAAGTGATTGATAAAAAGCGCCACGCGACAGAAAGGTACCGGGCGACGTAGTTGGATTTTGCCGGCTCAAGTTAAAGTTCTAAATGCGCCGCCGGAGGCGGAGGTTCTCATCTTCAGGGTATCGAGGCTTTGTCGTGCGTGGTGTGGGTTGGCGGGTCGTCAATGAAGTATGACAATCGTTGTCGTTTTTCCACCGAGGATGCCATGTTATTTCTATCCTTTGGTTTCGTATCGTGCTCGTATTGGGCGGTTTCTTCGTGCTAATAACGATCGTGGGCGGGCTTGACAATGAGGTGTCTGGATGATCATCCCGAATGTATGCTATCGTGCTTGCCATTGTGATGTACTCGTGTCATGACAATTGCAAATAAAGATTTTTGTTAAATCTTGTTGATGCAATTATGTGGTATCGCTATCGCACCAAGATTCGCTTAAAGCGGACCGCTTCCGAACCGGGAAAGCTTTTCGGTATGAAATTGAACAATTTCTGACAACACCCACGACGTCCAAGATGTTACACGCCCGGGCTACTAGAACGCTTCTGGCGTCGGCACTCGCAGTGGCATCCACCTCCTCCATCCAAGTGCAGCTGGTGACGGGTGAGGGAGCTGCCACTCGGAAAAAAGACCACAAAAATGAACATCAGACGCATAAACAAAACCATCTTCTGCAGGACCGCGCTGGTGCTCCTGGTGGCAAGAAGCTGCAGCAAGAGCTACAACATCAAGCCGGAACATCTACCTCCTCCGCCACATATGTTGAACGGTTTGACGGCTTAGGACGGCCGGTTGTTTCGGAATTACCCAAAAAAAACTTTGCAGCGCCGACGTTTCTCGCTTCCTTTTCGCAGAAACAGGAGGACGCGTCTGTTGGGGCGCATCAAGCTACAACTACCTCGACCGCCGACGATGATAACTACAGTGATGGGAAAATAAATTCAACTTCCGAAGAACAAAACCACGATCCTCGCCCAAGAACCTGCACAGTTGACGCCGGCAATTGCCCGATGCTCCAACTGTGGATCGGACTGGACATCGGCAGCTCCGGGACTCGAGCGAAGGTGCTGCAGCGGTGCCGCCGGAGTACTAGCGAGGATCATCCTATTGGAGTAGTAGAAGTAGGACAAGAGCGGGATAATTATACGAGAACGACGGTGCTGCAGCTGTTACCATCTTTCATTAAGCCAAACACCTTGGAATTTGTTCCTGGCGCCGGCTGCGCGACAGAAGTCGACGACATTTTAGTCGCGTGTGGTCGTGCGCCGACACAACTGTCATCTTCGACCGACGATGGAGATGATGAACAAGAAACATCAGAGCAAAAAACGACCAACCCCTGCAAACTCGCCGCCAAGTCTCTCGTTTTCGACTTAGCAAGTCGCATTCGTGTCGCCAACGACACCAACTTTTCCGAAGAATCCGTGAAGACGGGCGCTTTCCCAGTGAAAGTTTTCGGCTACGCAACCGCTGGCGCGCGCCTCCGAGCGGACGAGCCGAACGAAATTTTGAAAAGATTTGAGCAGGCCGTTTTCTCGTTGAACACGTACGGGAACCGTGGGCCGACGCTGCAGCGGTCGCACCACATGCGCGTTTTGCACGGATGGGAGGAAGCCAAGCTGGAGGCCATCGCCATTCAGGAACACAACATGTTTTCCATGGGCGGCGCGAGCGCGCAGATTGCCTTCGCGATACCGCAAATTATGAACGACACAGTTTACAACGACGAGGAAGGGGGCGCCTCAAGCACTGTAAAGCAAACGCTGCAAGATTTCCCACCCTTCCAGAACCTGCTGCGGGTGTGTGACAACTGGCACCAGGTGTGGGCGGCGGAGTCCTCCAGCCTCAAGAACGACAAGCCAGCTACTGGCAGTGCCCGCGCCTGTCATTCTGTGCGGCACGCGGAATCTATCGACGACGCGGTGCGAACATTGATCGAGCTGCACCCTTTGTCGAGCAGCAACATTCGGTGCGGCGCCACCGAAACGAGCGCCACCGCGTTTCTCCGGGGTCCGGTAGCGGAGGAAGCGGACAGGCAAGTGAACTTCTTCTCGCCGACCCAGTCGCAACATCATAGCAACGATGTAGCTTATTTCAAACAAGAAGAAGTCACGCTTTCGGTTGTCTACGCGAGCTTCCTGGCGAACGCGGACAAGGACAGCGTCTGTCATGTCCACACAGGCCGGAATGGGAAAAATGCAGCTGGTCCTCCTGGAAAAAATTCGGGTTCCTCTAGTTCCACTTCTTCTTCAACATCTTCGGAGCCAATTGCAGACTCTGGTGAAGACAACTCGCATCTTCAAAAAGAAGCCTTGCCGCCCTGTGAGGCTCGACACCTGGATGAAGGCACGAGCTACCCGCAGCACGCCCGCGGCCGGGGTTACTACCACCTGGCGGGCGGCATGGAGGGATTCCGAGCCGTGTTTCTCCGGTGGGGACAGAAATGCCTCGACGAAGTTGAAGTGCCGGAGTTCTTCGTGAAAAAGAACGAGAGCCACGTCGTAGACAGTCCCAAGGACTACAATGAACTACCGCTCACGCAGGCGTTGTGTGCGTGCGGGTGGGGAAACGCCTACACGGAGAAGTGCGCGGGCTACCACCCGTACATGCATGATGGTGCCAACGAGAACGACGGCGCTGGTGTAGAGGTGCTTCCAGCAGAGCAGAGTCTCGAGCGGGCGCAAATGTGCATGGAAAGCATGATGGTGCTGCTGAGCTGGGATGACGAGGTGTTGTTTCTGAACGAACTGCTCCAAGCTCTGTACCCAAACAAGAACTCGCTAGTCTTTCACGCTGCGGGCGCCGTGGGTTCGTCCCTCAGGTGGGGTGAGGACATGAAGAGGATCGCGGAACGTGCGGGCTTCGACCTCACGAAGGCGAATTCTTTGCACACCAGTGCGAGTACCGATGCCTTGAGCAGGCAAGTGAACTTGGTGGGCTGGCAAACAGAGGAGAAGCTGCTGGCGTATCACATGCTCGGTTGGATAACAATCTCAAATGGAACGTTTTGTGATGCAGAATGCCGATGATCTGCATCTGCCTATAGTCTTAGTTGCACATCAGCTCAACAGTACAATATCTAATATGATATTTAGCACCGCTTTGAAGTTCGTTCAATTTTTCGATGCAGAAGTTGGAGCAATATGGTTTATTTGCGTTCTTCCGTTTCATATGTATGAAGAAGAAGTTAGTAGAGTAATTCTGACCGGTTTACAACATCGTTCCACTTGACGATGGTCTCTCCAGCTGAGTAGGCCATATGTCGGACCCGGAATTTTTGCGACTCGATGAAGGCGGACCGCTTTTTCCTTCGCAGAAACTTACAGGGCAGCAGGAGCAGCTGCTGTGGCGTGCGCTGGCAATGGCACTGGGGATGCAGGTGGGCGCGCCACGGGGCTCGTGCGGTCGAAACGTCTCGGAAGACGGCGGTTCCTCCGCCCACAAACGCCCAAAAACGGAACACCATTATCAACTTCCCGCCGGGGTCCGTGCGTTGTTCTGCAACTTTGGGTTGCTCGGAAGAATCGGGCACCACCCAATCACGTGGCTGCCGGCGGTTACAGACGACTTTCCGGCGGACGAGAGCGAGGGGGAGTTGGGCCACGTGTGAGGATTCTTGGTGCAGCTATTATTATCTGATTGTAGAAGATGTGCGATCCTTATCCTTTGGTCGTACGAAAAAAAGTATACGTGTGCCGTTCCTCGACCATGACGTAGATCAAGCTCAAAAGCCAGGTCGTGCAGCATAAAAGAGATGGATCCTCTCGTGAAAAGTAGTCCCAGAAGATTTTTTGATCCAGATCAAGCTGCAAAATTCGGTCTTGCAGCATCTGAGCAAAAAGGTTTCTTTTCCAAATTTTTGTTCTGATCTAGTAAAGGAGCGGTATTCAGTGCCAAGAATCGGTTTGACCAGCGTCGCTCGACTCGTGGAAATGACAAATGTAGAGAACACGAACAAGATCGCGGACGCTCTAGCACTAGTAAAAATGGATCCTGGGATGGATGATCAAGAAGAATCTTTATTGTTGGAGTTGTGTTTTTGCAAACCATCAACCGGCTTTGCGTTTACAATACGAGCATCTGTCTACAGTCTACAACTAGCCCACATCGCTCTAGTTGAGCACTTTAATACTCGAGGATCGCAAAAAGTACTACGTACACTACATCGAAGCAACATCACTACAGCAGCTTTTTTGCAACCAGTTACTCACTCAGCCATCTCTCCTTGATCACCATGACGTCCCTACGTACGGTTTTCGCCGTTCTCTCCTCTCTGCACTTTGTTGTGCAGCACTTCTGCCTGATGACTTCTACGGGCGTGGTGCACGTGCAGGGACTGCATCTGACCGTCGGACTTCCTAACGGAGCGCGTGAACTACCGCTACCGCTGCTGAACCCCCCTGCTGCTGACCCGGCTGCTGCCGCTGCTACTGGTGCCCCTGCTGCTGCTGCTGGCGCCCCTGCTGCTGCTGGTGCCCCTGCTGCTGCTGCTGGTGGTGGTCAAGCAGCTGCCGGCTCCCCTGCTGCTGTTTCTCGACCGACCGGAGCCGGGGACGGCCGTCTGCCTCGCACAGTCCTACTGCAGCGTTTTGGCGCCGGCTGCTGCCCTTACTGTAAACCCGCCACTGACAGGGCGGACGGTATTGACCAGCGTCCTTTGGCGGCCGAGGAAGCGGGAAAGAGCTGCCGTGAGGGAGCCTGTTGGACGGGCGCTGGTGCCGGTTGTTTGGCGATCGGTGCCGGCACTGGGTACGTCTTTGGCGGTTGTCCGGGTGCTGGGGTCGGGGGAATTATTTCAGTATGTTGCGGGGGTGGTTGTTGCGCAGGTTGTGCGATTGGGTCGTGCGAGGACGCATATGATAAGTGCTGTACAGCGCTGGCGCGTGATGCCGTGTATCCGGCGCAAGCTCCAACGCAACACTACATGTATTCTAATCCCTGAAGAACCCAGTAGCCGTGCTCCTGCGTGTGTGAGAAAATCTACTGCACAGCTGCGATCGATAATGATTTCGTGGTGTAGAATTTATTGCCAGAGGACAGACATCACAGCAGTGCTATAGAATTCTGGTTCTGCCTGCTTGAAATGCTTCTGCTCATCTTTGTCCTTCGAATTCTGTGAAAATCGTCGCTTATCTACTATCATCTTTCGAGATGATGTTACGCTTTCGCTAGAATTGTGGTCGATCTCGTAGTTGCTGCCAGAGCTAGTTTTCAAATCAATCTTTACCTGTTAGAGTGTAGGACTGTGTGATTAAGTATTTTCTGGGTACGCCAAAGGATTGCACGACTGTAGGTCGGATTGTATGATTATATGTAAGTCGAGGGCGCACCAAAGTACGCACACAGACATTGCCTCGCTCCTGTGAAAGAGCATCCTTATGAACCTGTGAACGCAGGCAACTACCACCAACGTATGCCACTTTCGGAATAAGATCATATTACTGCCAGAGAGAACCATCAAAGCGACTTTACGGCGGACCTGTGTCCTCCAATCTGGTGCACCCCCGTGCACGAAGCGACAACGATCGAGGCGCGTTCTCAATTATACAATTTATGTGGCAGCTTGCTTCGCGTTTCTCGGGGGACCTTGATGAGTGGCGTGCAGATCTGTTGCTGAGCGTGGAGCGAAAGGGCGAGCAGCTTCCGTGACCTTCTGGCGCGGATGGGTTTTGCTATAACTTCGGCGCATGTCTTTGTCTGCGGCCAGTGCAACGTCGCTCGCAACTACTGCAGACTGTGCCAAGCATGATCATGTAGCATAGAATTTTTTCACAGACGTGGAAGACAACTTCTGCCTGTTATATATGCTTCAGCTCATCCTTTGCTTCCCAATGCCTTTGTTTGGAAGGGGGTAGAAGCGGATTTGTAGTTATCGTTTTCTTCTATCTTTTTACATAAAAGTTATCCAGTCTGACAGGTCGCTGCATTCGAGGAAAAAGATTCCCGCACTGCCACTGCTGATACGGCAGAGCTATTCTGAAGTTCTTTCCGGCCCTGCATGACTGATGGTTTCATCATTTATCCTCGAGCCGAAAAAGAGCGGCTGCTCTTGTTGGTGAGGGCGCAACACGAGGGCATCCTAGATTTGGGCACGCAACAAGTACGTTGTTGAGCGGAAACAAGCAAATTGAGTTTCTCTTTGAGAGATATTCTGGTGCTGGTGCACCGAGGAATTTTGATACTCGCAAATACCCCAAATTGCTTTTTTGAGGTTTGGTGCAGCGGTCGGGGCGTTTTTATTGATTTCTTTTCCTCATTGACATGAGCGTGGACCTGTTCGAGGGTTTTTTACCGCCATTTTCGCTGCAGCAACCGAATAGAAGAAAGAGCAGGTCAGGTTTCTACTCCATATTCCTTGGTTTTCGTTGAAAAACATTCAAATCACAAACTTTCGATTCCGTTGCAGTCAGGTCTGTCAGAATGAATACCAGCCACCGCAGCTCACTCGGCGGGACGTTTTCTGGTCCCCGGCAGCTGCAGGAAAGCAACCGTCTGCGATGCGAGACCGATGTGGAAGCGCATTTCTGCTCTCCCGCGGGTGGAGCTGCTGCAAGAGCAACTCCTACCGCTGGCCCTACTGTCTCAACAAGGACCGGCAGCGAAAATCCGAATGCCAGCAAAGAAGCAGGTGACGACAGCGCTCCTCGTCCTCCTAGCAACGCCTTACTTCGGACCTACGCACCCGCCGAACTAGCGACGTATTGGACGCGGCAGCGGTTGTTTAGTAGCTTGATCAGGCGGTTGCAGACCGGGGGAAGAGAAACGATCTTCTTCTGCAATATGCCTTCTAATGGTCATCAAATTGCAGGTCGTTTGTCCTACACCGCAAATTCAAACCCCTACATCGCCGCACTATCCGGCAAAAGCGGGGATTGGCGGGCGAATTTTCTCGGTGGATTAGCCGCAGCGCTTTTCCCGGCGAACAGACCAATAGACGGAGCAGCTGCATGTGGGCGAGGGCGATGTTCAAGTAGTAGCACGAGTGCCGCCTCAGTGTCGGCCTTTCATCAACTCGGGCCCTCGGAACAGACAGAAGCGCCTGGAGGTGCGTCTGCTGCACCTGCACCCTTTCAACCGCTACCGCACATTGAAATCAGCTGTCAAGGACTGAAGGATGAAGTAGGCATGGGCACTAGTACAACCGCGACTGGAAATGGAACGGCAAGCAGGACTTCGACATCCGGCAGGACTGCTTCTGCGCCTGCCGCCGCTCATCACAGCCAGCAGGGCGCGCAACTGGACGACTTGCTTCGCGGATCCTACCCAGAATCCTTCACCGATGTGCACTCCGGGCTGTGGAAAGGCAAAGCTTTGCCGCGGAAACGGGTCGCGGTACACAGAAGAGAGGAATTCTTGGAGGCGGTTTTGCCGAGGATCATTTTGGATAAAGCTGTAGCTTCAACGAATGAAAACGAGAACGACGAATTTACCGGTACTAGCAGCGATAATTTCTACAGTGCAATCGCTTTGCGAGTCTTCGTCACTAGTGAGGACTCCTCAGGCGTTGTCGCTACTACTCTTCCTGTGGGCAATTCATCAAATCGGGCACCGACGGGGCAACATCAACAAGCTCAGCCTCTGCGAGATGAACCGGACTCCGCGAGATCCCGGCAGAGGGACGCACAGCAAGAAGAACTACACCCGGGAGCTGCACCAGGGCCACAAGTTCAAGTGACGAACCGGAAGACTGGCGTGCTGACCTGTTTGTTCCTGAATGGTAGGAAAAACGATTTCCAATCAGACCCGCACCTGCAAGCGCTGCTTTCCGAGCTCGCAGGCGGAGATTGTGCTGGAAGAACAAATAGGACCGGTCATCTAGTACAGGGGAGAACATCAAAAGCTGCGGCTCCCTCTACTACCTCCTCCTTTTCTTCGATATCCGCTCATGTGAAAAGGAAGACAGAACTCAACCACTTCATCGCCGAGACACTTCTGCTGACCAACGAGCAGCACGTGTCGCACCGGAACAACAGCACAATCGGGCAGCGCGTGGCAGGAAATTTTTCAAGTTCTTCCTCCTCGCCAGCCTCTTCGAGTGCCGATGTTGCTGGAGTTGGTGCAGCGGCGGGATCTTCCAATAAAGCAGATTTGGATTTCACAGCGAGCTACGCCCTGGCAAGTGCCCGCTCCTCAAGGCGATCTCTGGGGTTGTTAGCGGATCAACAACACGGAGGCTCTTTTTCTGCTTCCGCAGAGATGAGTTGCGGTAGTGAACAAGCTGAAGCTCCGCTCTCCTACAAGATTCGGATTGTGCTGGGCTGCGAAGCAGGAGACGATCCTGCGTCCGCAACGCATGATGGATCCGCTTTAAGCCGAGGGAAACTAAATCATTCCGAGCACCAGAATTTCCTGTGGTGCAAAAGAATCGCAACTTCCCTTGCCACCCTGGGCCCGGAGGCCGCTTTGCGAGACATCACGATCAAAAAGTGTGATACAACGTCAACCTTGACGGCAGGGGCTACTTCTGCTTTTCGCCCGGGGATGCCTCCAAAAAGCGGAAATAGAGCGACCAGTACGGTCGAGGCCGCATCGCAGAAGGAAATAACCGCAACAGCAGGAGAACAACGGCAGGAACAAGATGAAAACTACAAGACCAACGGTGGTACTGGTGGAGGAGCTGGATTTTTCTCGGTTCCGGGCGTGCCAGACCGCGAACAGATCCGGCACTTGCTGTGGTCAGCTGCCAGTCAATACGGTGCGACGTCTAACATTACTGTAAATCGTGAAGATGCCCCTACTTCTACTTCCGGTTCCGCCGTAGCTTCGTGTGGTGGAAGACACACACATACACATACCGCAGCTGCAGGAGGAGGTGGAGGCCCTCCCCAAAAAGCCTACCCCTTCGCGCCCACATTAACCAGACGCCGCGCAAGCACAGTCTCCTCCCTGAACAGTGTGACGAATATTAAAGTAGACACCGTCGTCGCGGCCGTGGGCGCGAAATTGCAGAAGAAGCTTGACGAGGCAAAAGCGGCTATTCTGCTCGAGGATGAAAAGTTGGTGCTGCAAGAGGAGATGGAAGAGCTTCGGCTTGATGTTCTACTACGTGGATCATCTTCACCACCGGGAGGTGTTGATGCGCCAGGAGATGAAGTGCCCGTCGCATCATCAGGATTTGCACGACCAGGCGGGCCGGTTTTAAAAGTTGTCAAACAGCAGGACCAAAAAAACGCGAAACAGATTTTGGGTGGAGACGTCATCGGAAGCCGCGAAAAGAGGATCAAGAGCGACTTCTCGTCACACACGCAATCGTTCGTCTGCCACTCCAGCAAGCCAGAGCGACTAGATAACCTTCGGGAACAAGTCGACAAGCGGCGGCGGCTTTGCGATCAAGCGGAGCGGTTGCATGAGGCGATAGTGAACGGCAGTTCCGCGACGGATGCGGAGTTCTTCCGGGCAGAGGACTTGCTGGAAGGGGACGATAGTAATGGAGATCACAGACCACCGGAAGTAAAGCGGGTTGGAATCACCGAAGACGAAGACGAGGAGCTTCATCTTTATCACAATCCAACGACGCTGTCCTCTCTGGAGCGCAACGTGGACGCTCTGGACTCGCTCGTGACGAAGTGTTTGGACGAGAACAAAAGTAAATCTACGAAAGGCGGGACCTCTCCTACTACAACCCCAGTCGTGCTCTTTCAGGAGAGGGTCGCGAAAGTCGTTGCTGCGATGCAAGCGTGTGAACTGCGCCAGATGAAGCAAATGAGTTTGGAAGCAGCGGAATACCAAGGGGCAGGCGGTGGAGGAGATGACTTAGACTTCATCTACATCGGGACGAACGATCATCGGGAAACGACCGCAAATTTTCGACGAGAAAATGTTGATCTCAACAAGAAATGCAGCAGCTCTTGCGAAAAATCGTCAACATCATACGATAATTGGAAAATATCGGTTTTTGGAGACGCGATAAAGAAACACGACTACGTCCCGATGGAGCTGAGACAGCAGCTGGCTGTGGTGAATATTTCTGGAGCAGATGAAGAAGAAAAACTACTACAAGAAGCAATGGACAATAGTACCGAAACGACACCGAATCCACAACGACAACAAGACCAAACTTTTGCAAAACCGGTCAAAACAATTAAACGACGATTCCTAGCACAGCAAGACCGTAAAACTTCCGACCGTGAACTTGTTCAACACCTGATCCACCACCTCCCACCGGATACCGGAATTTCCGATGCCACCTTCGCACACCTAAAAGCACCCAACTTGTCCGAACTGCACTACGCCACCGTCTTGGAGCCGGGTAGTTGGCATAGTCTCGAACGTTTCGCGTTCGTTTGCGCCGCGCACGCGGACACGTTGGAAAGGCTGGTCATTTCCGGAAACGGCGCGATTGCGGAAACGTTGAAGGTCATTCTCCCGCTTTTTGGAGAAAACTTGAAGTGTCTTGAGTTGGTGTTCGAGTTCGAGTGCCAGGTGGAGGATTTCTGTTCAGAGTTGGAAAAGTCGATGTTGATGACTCTCGGAAGCAAGAAACAGCAGGTGGGAGCTCCTCTTCCGTCTGTGTTGAGTCGTGAAGGTCATGTGAAAACCACAGTAAGAGTAAGTGTAAGACGGGGACGGGGCGCAGTACAGGGAAGTTCTATTAATACGAGGAGTACTAGAGCAGCGGGTGGGACCAGTGCTAGGAACTACCAGCAAACGAGAGGAGGACACGATTTGTTGCGCACCGATCGAGCACAATTCCAGCTACCACCAAAGCTGATTATCGGCACTGTCTGCGGGCGGAAGATAAACAAGCGACAATACGACGAGGCAGAGCTGCTGGCGCAGCAAACTGCTGCGGGTACGAAAACAGATTTCCACAACATCGATTCGCCCAGAAGCAGCTGTAAAAGTCAAGCTCAGCGTCGCACCCTCTCGCCTGCAGTGATCGCAAAGCTGATTCGGACGATTTTGCACAGTCACAAAACACTAGAACATCTTGCCGTCGACGAGTCTTTGACGAGCGAAGCGTTGCTAAGGCTCTGTCAGGAGGTTGTGCAGGTAGTAAAACTTCAGCCCAACGAAGATAAGGGTCGTCGTACTAGCGCTGCTGGAATACAACCCCCAGCTGCACCGAATAAACAAAAGAAGGACGTGAAAAAGAAGACCCGCAGGGCACGCCCTGAACCTCCATTCGCCGGAGAGCTAAGGATTTTGGAGTTTGACCAGTCTGTCTTGAGCTTTCAAGCGGTTGGAATGTTTTTGCGGACGATTCTTGGCGGAGGTAGTGGCAATAGTCAACAAGTACTAGGAGATGGAGACCATGACCGACAAATTCTGTTTCCCGCACTGGAATTCTTTCATGTCTCCATTCCGAAGCTGCACAACGATGAAAACTTTGATGCGGACGAATTCTTCTCCGAGGACCAGGTTCAGGACAAAGTCAACACGAAAAAGGATACAACCACCTCCGCCCTGGTGACATCCAACCTCCCAACCTCTCTGGCTCAATTGTGCCGGGAAGCCGCGAAGGTGATGGCACAAGAACGGAAAAAGGAAATCAACATACCCGGAGTGCTGATGTCAATGGAAAAAATTATGTCGTGATAAGATAACCTCATGATATATTTCTTGCACTGGTGCATTGATTTTATAGTAAAGGAGAAGAACAAAACACAGACGAGGAAGCTTCTGGAAGATGCGATATAGATGTCGTTCTCGGTACTGCAACCGTCCCCGCGAAATTGAAAACTGACTACATGGTTGTTTCGGCGCGTTGAATTTTTGGAGATCTGTTTGGTGAACGAAGACCCAAAGTGTCAAGGGAATCATGTCAGTTGTTCAAGAAGCGACTTGATGTAGTTGATAATTCGCCCTTAGCTGTGCCGCTACTATTAAGATGAACGCTTTTGCACCTGAAGAATGGCTGTCATAATGATTATTTGTTTGCGGGGGGTTTTGAATCTGATACTTTTTTTCTCGCAAGATTTAAAAAAAGAATTGTCAAGAGTGAAGATGAGCAGCGTGCGCAGTTGCCACTGGGACATCTTCACGCAAAAAATAAATTCGGAATCAGAAAAGTCATGGTCAACGTTGGTTACAGCTGCTTTGCAACAAGGGCGAGAAACACTAACACAGTCAGAAGTAAAGGGTCACGCAATCTCTGCAAATGAGACCGAGAGTCTGAGTACTTGACACTCCACCCCCACTCAAAACCGATCCCCATTCCATTGACCAGCCTCCACGAAAGCGATCCCCATTCCAAAAATACCAATGGTGATGCAGACATTCACAATCAATCAATGAAATGATACGATTACGAATCGATGATGTAGATGAGAAGTGTCGGACAAGGGTTTAGGGTCCCGTAGACATTAACTCGTCGAACAAATCAACAGCTGTGATGCGTCTGCTCATCTGACACAACATAGTAAATTAGAAGGGTTATAGAAATACGAGAAACTACCGCAGAGAAAAAGCCTCAGATTTTCTACTCGTAGAAGTCTTGAGACACAACTCGAACTTTTATATCTCTACAAAGACATCAAGCGAAGAACAAACTTGGACTCTTCTTGAAGAATCTGCTCACACGCACACACACCCAAATATTTCGCTAATCTTGCAACAAGAGGCGCACACCAGCGGAAGGCCCCCGCAAGGCACAACACGCTCCTCGTCCTCACATGCTGCCGGTGACGGACAATATTGGCGGCGTTGGCCCCGACCCACAGCCAGCGACCGTCCCGAATCAGCAACCAATCCAAGAATTGGCGCAAGACAATGCTGAAACCGTCGGTAAGAACGTCACCAACGACAAATTTTCCGAGTACCAAATCGGCAGTAAAGTCTCGTTCTTTTACGACTGCCACTACAGCAAAGTCTGGCGCTACGTCCTCGCCGACCGGGCGTACCACCAGTTTGAACACAGAGAGGTGAAGGCGAAGACCAAGGGAGCGGGAAAAAAGATGCAGGATGCTGGAGGGTCGGCTACTGCAGCTAGTAGCGATGGAGCTCCTGCGGTGGTTGTTGTTCCGAGTATTGGTGCCGTGGATCAGACCGGCACAGTGACCACGAACGGGGGGAACAACGTTCCCAATGTGCAGCTTGTTGCAGCGCCAGAGCTCCTGCTGGGAGGACAACAGAACCAAACTTCTACCACCACCAACATGACGGCGAAGGTCGCGGGAGTCGAAATTTCGATGTCCATCACGACAAATAACGGTGGCGGGGGTCGCCCCGTCGTGGCGATGGAAACGACTACTTCTACTGCAAAAACTGCCGGTGACGACGGAGCAGCTCCTTCGGCCGCTTTGAATAGTAATTCGGAACAACTCGAGCAGCCGGAGTTGAAAATCCGGCGCAAGGACAATCAGGGTAAGTCTAAGTAGAGATGATCATGGTAGGACGCTTTTTGACTCTGATTCTTCTTTTGATAAAGCACGCACGTGTTCGCGGGCACGTTGATGTTCATCAAATTAATTCAAAATGACCATGTTTCATACTATGTGTATGCACCCGAAAACAGCTGCTTCCGCCGAGGCTAATATCACCGACACTGCAACCACTTCCGTCGACCAGCAGGAAACTACTACCAAGCACGAGTACATGCTGCGTCCGATCTGGGGCCTCGCGCACGGCTGGGTTGAGGGCAAGGTGGTCGACTTTCTCTACGAGCGCAACACGGAGATTCCGGACTCTGTGGTCAAGGGTTTAGTCGTGGTCCCGGCGGAAAAGTATTGCTTCGTGGAGGCGGGATCGGGCTACGTGGATGAAAAGTTCCAGTATCGGGTGTACGATAAGGTACTAGATAGTGTTGCACAAATTTAGTCTCTTATACCAAAGAACTTTTGTTCAACATGATTGCAATATGCTTTTTGTTTTTCTTTTTGATGGCAAATAAAAACGCCAGTGAGTGACTGTTGTGTGTCAACCAAGATGCGTATAGCATCTATTAGTATCCCCCACTCCTTCAGGTGAATGTCGAGCTGTTGCAGTCCGTGGAATTAACGGGGACCACCGAGGTTGAGATGGTTGATGTCGACCACCAGCAACTCCTGAACGGGAAAGCCGAGAAAGACGGAAACAAAATCCGTGTTGACGAGAAGCAACAACTGGCTCCTGTGGAAAACAAGATCGATCTCAGCCTGTTCATCCTGCGTTGGTTCGATTACTGGTCTGACAAGCGAAAGTCCGAGTACAAAATCACCCAGGAGTGGCCGGTTTACTCGTTGATCGAGCAGGCCGGGGTGAAGGCGGCGGTGGGGAATCGCTTTGAATGTTACGAACTGTTCTGCTTCGACGAAGAGTGTTTGACGAGTTTCGTGCAACAGCACGTTTTGCATTTGCCGGAGGAGAAGAAGAAGGTGGAGCAACTACATCAAACAAGCGTCGTGAAGATGCAGCAGCTGGCGCAGCTGCAGGAGCATGTTCTTGACCAGCATGATCCATCTTCCACTACGACCAAGAGCTGCAGCAAGCGTCGACCCTTCGCTGATCTGCTCGTCGGGAAGGCGAAGTGCGGGCTGTACTACTTGTGGCCGGCGGAGCGGGAGTTCGGTCCGGAAAACCGGCACCCGAAAAGTGACGCTGGGATGGTGAAGGAGTCCGTGTTTTTCGAGTTCATGCGGCAAATGGAGAACACGGAGATTCATACCCGGTACCCGGCGCCCTCGCATTTGTACCGGCAACTGTGTGGGAAACAGTACTACAACGCGGGGTGCCAGAATCGGGAATTGAAAACCCCGGCGACCACCCGGGTGTACGCGACCAGTATCAAGAAGGACAGTCTGAAGGCCGCGAAAAACGCCATCAACGCACTGCGAATGATCCGGAAGAACGTCTGGGGAAATGAACCGATAGTGCCGAGTGTTCCGCTGGTTGGTGAAGTAGATCAGGCGAAGAAGATGAGCTACAAGAAGGGTTGTATTTCTCTAGTGAAGCAGCTGGAGCCGGTCGTCACTCTGAACTCTGACAGTACAACCAGTGATGAATCCCCCGCCTCGACCAACTCGGGTGCCGCGGGTGATGCAGGGGAGCAGATCCTCGTCCAACAAGCCCACGACAGTCCCCTACCTCCTCCTGACGACGAGGCTGTCCAAGGAACGACCAAAGAAGAAAGCCAAATGATGTCCGGTGTGGTGAAACTCGGTTTTTCCTGGATGGGCGTAGACGTCAAAGTGTGGCACGGGGCGGAGGATTTGGCGAAAAAGTTGGAATCCATGATCTGCTGCCACAAGGGCCAGATTGCGACGTCGGTGATCGTGCAGGAGTTGGTGCCGGACCGCATCGCGGAACTGCGGATCCACGCGTTCGGGGTGCCGAAGGAAAGTCGCGCGGTGGTTCCGACGGATTTTGTGCAGCGGCGGGAGATGAAGAGGTTGGAGAAGCCGTTGGTGGACGTGAAGCGGAAGTTGGATGTGTTGGAGAAGGAAAACGAAAAGCTGTTGACTCGGGATGCTGTTGCAGTGAACATCGGAAAGGACGATGTCGTGATGGTGCCAGCAGAAGATGATGGCACGGTTATGGAAAGTTATTCGACAGGAGAGAAAAAGGTAAAGATCAATAGTTTTCGTACATTTGCTGTCTTCCTTGACTCAGCGGTCGTTAGTGATTTGCTTTATGAATACGAATACCCAGGAGCTCCGAAAAACGCGAACTCCGTATACAATGAATTCTGAAAAAGTAGCAGAGTAAAATGAGCTTTTTAACTTTTGTAAGTATTTGACATCTACAAAAAAAAACAAGTAAATTCCATTGACGCACAGATCCAAGAGTTGCGGGACCAGATACGCGACATGGAGCATTTATTTAAGCTTTCAGGCTACGACGCGGCGGAAATCTCAAACTGTGCGGAACACAACTTCTACAACGTCCAAAAGGAAATGGACCTGACGCGAAACGGGGATTTTGACATGAAGGTCGCCTACATGGGGATCGAGTCGAACGTGAACAACGCGGGGTTGGATATGACGGGACACATCAACCAGACCCCGAAGCAGGCGTTGGAAGCGATTTGGGGTGGTGACGGAATCCTTCAAGCCAAGATGGAGGAGCAGGCGAAGGAATTGACGCGGAAGTGGCTCACCTGGTACCACAGTGAGTGGCCGGAGTTGAACTGTCCCAGCAACGGGCGGTTTGATTACCATGTGGTCTGGAACAAGGAGACGATGAAGGAGCCGGAGCTATGGGTCTGTGAGATAACCGAATGTGGGGCGAGTTTGTGTGGCTTGCCGATCCAGGTTATGCAATAAGTACAAACTTCCTGCACACGTGCAAAATGCGTGACAAATCTAGAGCACCCCTGGAGCGCATCGCTTGCCATGCTGAATAGAATTAAAGAAACTCTCTGTCATGCAGAAGACGCGTTCAAAGTTGTGCGCGTGCAGGAAATTTCCTTTGAATACAGGCCCGGAACACCGCCATCGTGAATAGCTGCCTGTCGTTGTTGGATGCGGATGCGGGGGAGCGGATGGACTTCGTGGCGGGGGAACAAGCGGAAGTAAACTCGGCGAAGAAGACAAAATTTTTGGCGTGGCCGTGCGGAAGCTGGGACTTGTTCAGCGAGGAGTACGGTGATGGGTCCAAACGTATTTGGTACGATTGGCCGGAGTTTTGAACAAGGAGAGCGGGGTTCTGTCATTACCTCCATTCGGGGAATAGAGCGAGTACATCAATTGCACTTTAATATATTTACGATTTTTTAAATCTGCAGGTACTAGGATCGATGATGATGAAGATGCACCCGGCTGGCTTCTGCTTGCTTTATATCGGTTTAGGCTTACGCTTAGGGTTAAGGAACTGCTTCTGCCTCATCAAGGAACGTCCTTCGAAGTACAGCTAAGAACTTCCAATACAACCGAAGTGACCGGCTTCTGAGGAAGCTACGCCAGATAGATTTGCAGTGAGGTCTTCCTGTAGATTCTGCAACGCTTACGTTTGAAAGTAGGTAGAAATACTTACAACACAAAATCCTTGAGGCGCGCGGCTGTTTCTCGGCTTTCGTTATGATTCGGCCCCGATCTACTCTCACGATTCAAATTCATCACTGCAGGAGTCGTTCCGAGTAATTTCTCGCAGGCATTCCTCTCTGACAGTCTCTCTCCACCACAGATAAAGTAGTACTAGAACAAGCCTATTGCTTAAAGATCGACATCCCTTCCACACGATCGAGTGCTTGCTTGGTAATGAAACGTCAGCATGTGCACGACCTTCTGTATGTGTATTCATTGCAGCGAGCGACTGCTCATTTATTATACTGGAGTCTTCTAAATGGCTTTCGTTTTGATTTTCTACTTACACGAAGCGGTTGCAACATCAATACAAAAAATATGATCGGATCTCCTACAACGCTCGCATTTTCATTCTTTTATGGAAAAAATGAAACTTCCGACTCTGAGCTAGTGCTTCATCTACTATGCTCCTGAAACCCTCGACACACGACGTTTTTATCTGGTCTACGAGGTCATGCAAATTCTCGGATCAGCATCAATCTGCACATTCAACTGCTTATCCTAATCGGAAAATTTCCAAAACGAAGATTTTTTGTAAAGAGAGAGCGCATTGATTTATAGAAGGAAGCACGACCGCAGTTTGTAGACGTCTACGTGTGCGGTAGACACCATGCGCAGTGGACAGCGGTCTCTTGTGTTCGTCGAGGGGGCACATTGCGCTGAAGCGAGATGGTCCAGAGCTGATCAACAGAACACAACAAGGATGAAGGAGTTTCAGGTTTTTTGGCCTTGGAAAAAGGACCAAAGTGACGAAAAGAAGAATACATGTCGTGTGCACCACTCGTTGTGCTTGTGTAAGTGAGAGATAATATTATCATGACGTGAGCCAAGGCAGAAATGAGTTGGTCGAAGCGAGAGTAGAAAAGGATCTCTCCCACTATGAAAACAAAACGCTCGGTGTTACGACGCGTATGGGTGCCCAGCCGTGCTCTGCGTCAATAGAATATTACCCTCTAGCTTCTTACGACAGAATGATACTTTCCTTTATTAGATAGCACAGGTGAAGCCTTAGCCTTAGGGGGCAGTGAGCGTGTAGTTCGCATTGTGTCATCCCGTTACATTATCTGTATCTATTGGGTTTGGGTTGTTAGATTTATGCTCATGCTGTAATCCACAAAAGCAATATTAAACCAACTGAACCAATACCAATGTCGTCTTCGTCCGCCCCGCCTCCGGCGCCGTCTCTCATTTCTGAGGGGGATTCCTCTAATTGGAATCACGCGTCGTTTTTCACCCGTTTCTGGACCTTTTCCCTGTGGAGCCTGCTCATTCCCCTCGGGCTAGTTTTCTCCATCCCTATCTCTATTTTCCGGAAATGCACCGACTTCGCGTGCAACCGGGGCAACCTGTGGCAGGTCTTCTCCATCACGTTTGTCAGTTTCACGTTATCCCTCGCCCGAGTCCACGTCCTCTTCCCCTGGTACACCATGCGTTTGGGCTGCTTCCTGCAGGCGAGACTGAATAGTTGCTGTCGGAGGAGGGTGCTGAAGGTCGAAAAGATGAAAACGACCGTCGATGTGGCAACTAGTCATACCGTTTTTACCCAGCAGCTCACGAACTTGAACATCGGCCCGGTCACCTACGATCTGTATTCCCCGACGGGTGTCTCCATCGAGACCGCGAAGACGATTGTCATCCACGCGGTCGGCGGCTTTCGGTTCTGCATGCCGAGCAGGTTTTACGCGTACTCGATCGGGTCGCTGGTTTTGCATAAAAGCAAGGACCACGATTCATCAAGCGACAACGCGACCATTTGGGCCATGGTGCGGTACACGACGACGGGATTGAACCCAAACGCCTGCGTAGAGAACGAGTTGCAAGTGAAAGAAGTGCGGAAGGTGTTTCTGGATCTGAAGGCAAAGAACCCGACCGCGAAAATCGTGCTGTCCGGGGATTCCGTCGGAGCCAATATCGTGCTGTGCGCGGCGATGGACATGAAAAATGCTAATGTTCTGTCCCAGGAGGACGGGCGGGGGACAAGTGCAAGTGCAAACGCGAATTCGAGCAACAACCTCACAACGCCCAAAAATCCTATGCCCGACGCGCTTCTGCTCCACTGCCCGGTGTACGACAGCTACCATGCGCCGCTTTCCCCCCACAAAAACTACTACCGGGACTTCCTGACGCCTGAAGTGTTTCAGCTCAGCAGGCGGCTGTACCACGGAGCTGCGTCCGCAAAGGATAACTACGAGTCGAACCACCGGCACGCGAAGATCGACCCGAAAATGTTCGCGCAAACTCTGACCGACATCCCGGTTTTGGTGACGTTAGGTGGGAAGGACCTGCTTGTCGATGTAGGGAAACAGCTGTACGATGATTTGAAAGAGCACGGGGTGAACGCAACTCTCTATACCGCGGAAAACGGGGTACACAACTTCATGTTTCTGAACGGCATCGATTTCACGATGATGACCTGGCTGACGAACAGGAAAGAAGTAAAAGAAGCACACGACCGCATTCGGAAGTTTATCCGGGAGTTGAAATAGTGCAAAAAATAAACATCAAAATCAATCTTTTTTAGATCGTTAAAAGGCCTAAAAGTAGGAACTTATATTTTTTGGATCGGCATCGCTAGAGTGAGTTGGTTGCTTTCCTCTTTTCCACGTAAAACTTCAAGCGAAGAATGAGCGCCTGCTCTATTCGAGGTCTTTTGTGCAGCTGATATGGTAACGTTAACGTGCCGCGGACGAGCTGCATTCAACATGATGCCAATTGGGAACCGCTCACCGTGAGTGACTGCAATTCATTGTAATTTTTTTGATTTTTTTCTTGGCATGACATGACGCGACGACCTGCAGCCATGTGCTTCAGTGTTAGAGCGAGATTCTGGTCATGGGCTCGTGCTGAGTGGCAGACACAGACTTGGCGCGCCCACATCAAGGATAAACGTGTTTTTTCTTTTGGAATTTTTGTCGCTCAACCTGGTTTTACTTTTTTCGCTTTGTCCTCTTCGTTCGCGACTAGGTACCCTAGAAGTCCTAACTTTGAGCGAACCTCGAAGGAGACTCGACGGTACCCACCAAAAACGAGAGCGAGAGGGAAACTACAAATCGTGAGAGTGTCAGCTCTTCGCCCTTCGCTGCCCTCTTTTCTTTCGAAGTCTTTCCTCGTCGCGCGTGGAGGACCGGAGGCGTGCAGTGGGGCGGATTGTTGCTCCTCCGTACGGGTACAACAGCTGGAGGCCCAAGCTGTTAGTTGACTAGGTTGTTCATTTTCAATACTTATTTTCCGAGAACTACTTCGAAAAGCTGCCATACATTAAGTTCATACACGAAATTCACGCCTCCAGTCTACTCAGCCACAACCAGCAAGGAAAAATCAGCGCAATCATGGCAGCTTCGGAGATTCTTCTGGCAGTGAAAACCTTCTCGGAGACGCGGGACTACGAGAAATTTTGCAACTCCGTGCAGTACAAAACCTACGACGGGCGGTTCCTGGTGAAAAACGTCGTCACCGCGTTTCCGCACCGGCACGCCATATTAGAAACGGTCGACGTGTATAGCGGCGAGCGAAAATGGCTTCGATTTATCTGGGTACAGTTTTATTTTACGAATGACTGACATTGAGCAAGAATTCTGTGTGAGCGTCAAATGCACGGTGAATATTGCAGCACTTCTACACCTTACAAATCCCCACAGGTCAACCCCGTCGATGCGGAGTTGACAATGCGGGAATTTTACGTGCTCCGCAGTCTGTCCGGCTTGCGCGCCTTGCCGACGCTGGAGCACGTCGCGCTTCAGGACAACAACCTTCTCGTCGCGATCTACAAGGCCCTGCCCCCCGGCGCGCGCACGCTCGCCCGGGAGATGGAGGGGCCCCCCGGGAGCCGCGGGCAGCAGCTGTCCGCGTTCCGGCTGGTGCAGATCGTGCACGCGGTTTTTGATGCCATTCTCGAACTCGAGGCGAAGGGGTTCTGCATGCTGGACCTCCGGCCCGAGAACATCTGGCTCTGCAGGGGCAACTACAGCGAGGACAACGAGGGGAACCTGCTGTATGAGAGTGCACAACTCCCCCTCCCCCTCATTTGAATGGCATGAGCAGCAACACAAGCAACGCCAGAAATGTGGCTTCCGCATGACAAATCTTCAGCCCCCGGATTGTAGTACTGTTTGAGGGTGCGAAATTTGTCATGCAAACAGTGCCACAAGGCAGTGCCTGGATTTGGGATTTTACATGACAAATGAGGGGGAGGGGGAGTTGTGCACTGTCATATGCTGCAGGCGAAGGCGAGAAACTTCACGGACGAGGATAACGTGGACCCGCAGCACCCGCAGCGCCGCTTGGGGATGAACCACTACCGAGAGCACAAACTGCAAGTGACATTCTTGGAGTGCGAAAACTTGTACTTGTCCGCGGTGTGCCGGAAGCAGTACAAGGTACAGCTCCCGCAGCTGTTTCTGTCGAAACTGCCGTTGTTTTTTAAGCAGTTCGGATTGCCCGAGCTGTTCGATAAGGGCCAGATGCGGTGGGTGGACGTCCAGCTCTACAAAATCCGCGAGCTCGGGCACTTCCTCGTCCCAGAAATCATCCGCTCGCAGGCGAAAAAACGCGCACCGGAAATGTTCAACAGTTCAACCATGAAGGCAGGGGGTGAACAAGGGGACGACGAACCAAACAACCAAATTTCTTCCCCCACGGGCACGACCGCTCTAGACGACGACGCTCCGCCGAAGGACAAGAAGACGCTCGCGAAGGCGCAGCGGTGGGCGTTGGGCCGCTTGCTGGTGAAGCTGCTGGAGGCAGTGACGCCGGAGCAAGCGCCAGCACCGCGGAAACCAGACTCAACACTCTTTGCGGGCGAGGAAAAGGAAGTGGATTTTTCGTCCCCGTCAAGGAAGTGTGTGGGCGCGAAAGCGTACTTGCTGCCCGAGATACCGGTGACGAGCGCGGAAGAGACAACCGTTGATGTTTTTGGGAACGACGACGAGACGAAGAATACTACAGGTACCGGGCAAAACTACGCCTCTTCGGCCTCGCCCGACATTTACCTCGTTTCGTCTCCGAAAAAACTTTCTGGTGGTGACACGGTCTTGGCCAAGGACGTGGTTTCTCGGATCGAGTCGGTCGGGTTGGAAACGGCAAATTTGGAGGAACGGATCAACCAGCTCGAACAGGACTACGCCAGTATGGAGCAGGAAGAGCTGGTAATCGCCCCGCCTCCACCCGGAGAAGACGATGAGGACGGAAATAACAACAATACTTCCCCCTCATCGGCGAAAAAAAAGAAGAAAAGCAAGTCGGCTTCGCCGAGTCCGTCGAGAGGGGGTTCCTCTTCGCCATCCAGAGCTGGCGGCGCGTCTGCAAAAACGCCGAAGAAGGGCAAATCAGGGAGGTTGCACAAGGTGATTTTCCGGAACGGGATCGGGTTGAATGGCAGCTATGCTTATTTCTATGACTGGTGGCGCAAGTGGGTGGAGTTCGGTTTACCAGAGGACGGCGTAACGATTCGGGGGTTGAGATATGCGCTGGCGCAGGCAGTGATGACGAAAGACACGTACGCTGCGGAATCCCATTTCTCTATGCTGGACGAGGTATTTCATTCACTTTGCTTTTTTGTTGATGACTTCATCTTATTTTTCCCTATCCCTGTTATCGTCGAACTTTAAGAGAAAATTTGCGATTTTTTTTTTTTGCGTTCTTGTAGTAGTGCAAGATTTTTCAAGCATGCGAATAAAGATAAAGAAAATTGCGAAAAAAAAATCCAGATCGTCCCCTTTCTCCTTCACCTCGAGCACGACCGAGGCTTCGTCTCCCTCGCAGACATGGCGGAGCGTTTCCAGCGGCGGGTGGACACGAATTTCGTGGAAAACCAGTTCTACGCGATATCGTATTTAAAAACGTTCCCACGACCCCATAGTTGTAATGCAAATCTGCATGCTGAAAATGTTTCTCATGCGGAGCCCCATGAGAAGCATTTTCTATTCGTGTTTTGCAATTTGTCATGCTCCAATCAGCATGATATACGAGATCTGCGATGCTGCTGAGGTAGCTCAAACAGCACTACACTACGAGTCCAAATTTGTCATGGAAGACAGCCAAAACTTGTGGATTTGTCTAGCCGATTCGCCATCTTGACCTTGGAGCTTGGGACGTTTTTACATAGGATACGCGATGCCCCGGCTGATGACGAACTCCGTCTGGGACCTGTCGCAAATCACCCTCACCTCCGCCCACGCGTGGCGGGTGCTGGAGACGCTGCAGATCGCCATCGAGAAGAAGGCGAAGATCAAAGTGCAGTACTTCGCCAGCCCGTACATGAGCGAGCCGGAACCAAGTTTGTTTTCCGCGGAAACGGACGGGAAGGGCGGGGCCGTGCGGGTCCGAAACAGTGCCGACGGTTCCGACGCGGACGAAAAGGACAGCATTTTCGCCTCCAGTTCGGACAAGACGGTTGCGACGACGACAATTGCATACCAGTACCCGTCCTCCCCCTCGAAGAGAAAAAAGTCCCTGCCGACGCTCGGTCCCGCGGAGCAGGAGGTTTTGGTCCGGTACGTCCGGCAAAACCCTCGTGGCCAGAAGTTCTTCGTTCAAAAGCTGAAATCCAAGGGCGGGCTGAGCGAGAAGCCCGCGCAGTCCGACGGCACCATGATGCCGGCGAGCGTGGCGGAGCAGCAGCAAGACGCCAGCAACGCTTCCCCCACAAACGGCAGCAAACCGCAAACCCCCTCGGTCGCGCAGTCCGGTATCAACCAGAAACTCGGGGGCTCCGCGGGGGGCGCCGGGACCGCGTCGGTCGGGGGCAGCAGCTCGAGCTCCAAAAAACCGAAGGAGGAGCGGCGAATTTTCAGCGAGTTGGCAGGGTACGACGCCACCGGCGAGCAGCAGATGGCGCTGGAACGGAACAAGCGCAAGGTGTTTGGCGTGGAGTACTTGTTTCTCCCGCGAAAAGCGGACGAGAAAACAGTCGTCGACTGGGAAAGTGATGCCATGTCGTCGAACACCTGCTTTCTCTACGCCTCCCTGTGCGAATACCTGGTGTTGCACGGCAAACTGAAAGACCCGGTGCAGGCGATCCACCGGTTTGTGTCCGAAATGCAGACCCCGACCTATCAGAGTGCACAACTCGTCGCTCCCTTCCTTCGCATGTATATGCCATGGACAGCAGTTGAACTAAAAGTAAAAGCGCCGGCACGAGCTGCACACCTGCACTCTGTGCATGACGGATTCATCGTGCGCGAGCTGCAGTACTGTAGGTTGGGCCCCTTCCGAAATCTGTCATGGATGAATAAAGGTGCCAAAAGGAATAAAAGTCGGTTAAGCATGACACATGGGGGGGAAGTTTTCTACTCTGATACAGACAGCCTGCGGTTTTTGTCGCTGCGAAACGTGAAGTGCTTTGACAAGGGCGCCCTGCAGGTCATATTGGCCACGAAAACGCTGGAGTACCTGGACCTCACCGGCAACTGCCTCACCGACACCTGCCTGGCGGAGTGGGAAGCGCGGGGAGGCGTGCAGGCGACCAGTCCGGCGCTGCGCGCACTGCTGCTGGGCAGCAACGCCATCTCTGCGGTGGGGGTACAGAGTCTCATGAACATGCTTGCCGGAGAGGAGCCGACGGTGTTGGAGGTCTTGGACTTCTCCGACAACTGTTGCGCGGGCGCGGGGACGCACATCGCCCGACACTTCGCGAAAAATCCCAATTCAGTGTATAAATGATGCAGCAATTCGTATTATGAACCGCCGTAGTCTCATTTTTTCTCGGATTCGGAATCGGATGAAATACTTCAGATGAAGATGAACGCCATTGCATATTATAGATTTCTCGACGTTCATCTGTACCCGAGATGCGTGAAAGTAAGCATACATGGTTATGTTCATTTGAATTTCTAAGCCGAGGAGGAAAAATTGTAGCGTCAAAACAATCTATGGATCGAAATAATTAATGACAGTTTGCACACCGTCTCCCTGCGGCAGAATGGCATTGTGACGCAGCAAGAACTCCTGGAACTCGCCGCCGCTATCCGCGACAAGGGCCGCGCAAGGGACCAGCATTTTCTCACCCTAGACCTCGAAGGCAACCAGTTTGGCGAGGCCGGGGCGGGTCTCCTGCTCGCGGAGGCCGAGCGCGGGCGGCTGAACCTGCGCCACACGGGACCCAGTTTGGGTTTTTTTGAAAAGACCATCGCGCAGTTGAACGCGGGGGCGAGTGCTGCGGCAGCTGGTGGCGGGGCGGCCGCAACTACGGGTGGCGCTGGTGCAGCGTCGAGTGCCGCGGTGCCGCCGCTCAGTCTGCGGCCGTTCAGTTCCTCGGACATTTGGGCGTACACCGTGAAGGAGCCGCGCACGAAAATCAGCTACTTGGACCGTTTGTCCGGCGACCCGGCGGGGGGGAGCGACTCGCAGTTCTATTTGGAAGTCTGTATGGAAGGGGAATTGATTTTTTGTGAGTCAAGAATGTTGAAAGTGACGCATAGCTTTCTTTCGAAATGTAAAGAATGGAAACTGCAGTCTGGTGGTGGCTTCTCCTTCTGAAATAAGGTGATGGTGTTGAAGTCTCCGCGACATCACGGCCTACAGCAAGGAGGTTTTTCATCACCGTGGGCAAGCCGCGTCATGAGTTCCTCATATGAGCAGGAAAAGGAAAAGCAAGAGGTTTTTTGTGCATGATCTGGGGATCTCTACCTCAATCAATCTGGGTAGTTCGTGACTGAGATTTAGGTGAAGGAAGGATCATCGCATCTGCATCTTCAAACAAGAAAGTCGAAACGTACTACATTGTCTTGACTCAGGATTTCGTTACCCAAGCATAGAATGGGCGTCGAAACCGGAGAGTATGTCGCGGCTGCTATCCTCCGTGGGAGAAGCGGAGGAATTGGGCCTCGAATTCGTGGCGGCGGATCCGTGATGCGGTCGTGGGGACGAGTAGCTGCGGCCGAAGAAGAGAAATGGAACAAAAAGCTGGAGAACTGAAACCGTTCTGGTATTCGAAGAAACTACAGACTGACAGATCGCAACTACGATTTTGCCCAATTCAACAAAGCGAAGATGAGAAACTATGCGGAAGAAGACATCAAAGCAGCTCAGAAGTCAGCACAGAAGGAGGTGCGATAACTCGAGCGCTTTTGTCGTGTGAAATCATGATAGATTCTTTTCGAATTTGATGATGAATGTGTTCCCGCTGTAATTCAGGCTGTGCGACTGAACCTTTGTTTTCACGGCAATAACAGTATTTTTGCACAAGAGGAAGTGGACGAGTAGAGATCGATGTCAAAGAGCAACATGATCTCGCTCCTTCAATTTCAAAAGTGAAAGATCCTCTTTGGCTCAAGCGCAAGCGCAATGCCACGTCTGATAGAAGATGTCCGAAGGATCTCACAACTCCAAGATTTTTGATACTGTACCATCGGATTTTATTCCATTTGCTCCCGAAGGAGCGCCAGAGCTATGCATTGCCTATTAAGGTAGAAGTTCTAGAACTGCAAGTTGAAGTGCTGCAGACCCGCCTTTATGCCTCCTTGAAATATTCACATACTAGTACCATAATTTCACAATGTAAATCAGAATTGAATTATTCAGCGACATCACAATAAACTTACATAACCAAGACGATGAAGATAGAGACAAAGTCCATGAATACATTGTATATTACATCAATAGCTACAACAGAACACGACTTCAAATCTTCGGGCCTTTCAATTTTTCCACAAGCGACATGTTTCCATAGTGAGTTCTTTTGACAATGGCGACAGACGTAAAAAGGGGCGATAAAAACCGGTAATGCACGACCCGTCATATGAGTCCTCTGTACTGCGATTTTTACTAAGTACAATCAACTTGAAAAAACACGAAAAGTTTGTTGACCAGTATTTTTATGTATAGCGATTTATAGTCAGACTCAGACTCAGAGACAGAGTCACACGCAACAAGTAACTTCGCTAAAAACAGTTGAAAAATCCAATAACCCCAGTAGAGATACATAGCGTTGTTCTTCTTTTGGTAAATAGGTTGCCAAAAATATCTCATCTCGAGCAGTCGAGGTGCGAAGCTGCTCGACGTCAACGTCTCGCACGCATCAAAAATGGGAAAGAAGAACAATGGCAACAAGAACAAGGGGGGTTCCACCTCCAACAATGGGGACCACCACGGCGGCGAGATCGAGCTGCAACAGGTGAACAAGGGGAAAAACAAGAAAAACAAGCAGCATGACCAGAAAACCCACAAACAGTCGAGCGGGACCAAGGGAGGTGCTTCTGTGGACTACTATTCGCAGTACTTTTCCGATGACATGGTGCGCGACATCGTCGCGGACAGTCCGGATATCAACCGAACCGCGGCGCTCTACTCCAAACCCGACTGCTATCCACAATGAATGTAGTGCTCTCGCCGCACGCAACGTACAGATGTTGCTGTTTCAGCATGACGAAAGTCTTTTTGATGCAACCTATTGTTTGAGTATGGCAAGGAATGTGCTGTGCCTTTTTTGATTTTGTCTATGCGTTTTCTTGTACGAGTGTGCAGCGGTGCAAAATTTGCATTGCATAACCACCACAAGTGCGTCTGCGATATGCTGCAGGATATCATGCAGGATGCCGGTTTTGAGGAGTGCACCTACTGGCTGGACATCCGTCTGTTCTGCTCCGTCCTGGCCTGCGCCCTGGGCACCTATACCGTGGTGCGGCTGAAATTCCCGCAGGACAAAGACACGTTGCTGCCGTTCGTACTGTTGTATACCCTCATCGCAGCGATTGTCACTTACATCGACATGTGGGCGCTCGGGCCGGCAAACGTCTACTCCTTGCGGGACTTTGACAACCACTCGGTGCACGTTTATGATCCCGGCAACAATGGTGGGCGTGAGGGAGTTCTTTTGCATCAAGTCTAATTCAGAACGAAACTTAAGGTTTCGACATGTGATGAAGCTCATCGGCGGCAAGCTCATAACATGTTGATGTCATGCTCAACATGAAAGAATGTGTCTATACATCTAGATCTACGTCGCTGCAAGAAATCCAAAGGATAAGGATCATCAAGTACAAGAAGCTCCTATTTGTGCTGCAAGTACATGTTTTTAACAAAAATCTTGAATGCATCAAGGGCCCACGAGGCGATCGCATGGTCTTGTTCTGGTCTGTGCGAGATGCTTTGTTTGATGTCGGTCATGTTGTTCAGCACGAAAATAAGGAGGCCGCTTACGTGTACTAGTACTTGTTCTGCAAAAAAGACGAACTTTTCGACTTGATTCAAACAACCCCCGCAACCAGCACCTTTCTTGGCATACTGGTTCGATCGGAATGGAAGAAAACACCTCGGAACTGATCATCGACGTGCGGGGTTCCCGGAACACGGAGCCCACCGTCAACGCCGAGTGCGTCAGCCGCTACTTCGACGTGGAAGGCTATCTAGTTGTGGAGCACCTGTTTAACGATGTGTGTATGGCCATCGAGAATCACTGTGGCCACCTGCCTATCGGGGAAGTAAAGGAAGACTGAGTTGTTTGTGACCTTGCGGTGGTTTGAAGAGCATGGCAAGTTGTACAAGTAGTAGTCGGCGATTCGAGCTTCTAAAATTCTCGAGGAAGAAGCCCTCTCAACAGGCTTCTTTGCAACTGGGAATTTTGTACCAAGTAGATTTTTTTCAACACCGCGACGCCTGTCAGCTCTACCTGCCCACCAGTATTGCTATTTGCAACATCAAAAAAAGTCAACGTGCTGTGTGACCTTTAGGGACCCCCTGCGGTTCAGCTTCAGTGGGTGCATTTTCTCATGGAGCGCGATAAAGTTTTTACCCGAATAAAGAGCTACATCGAGAGTGATTCAGCAACGAATACAAGCTCCCCTGCTAAAGAGCCTAACAAACAAGTTACGTCAACTTATGAAGCTACAGTGGCACAGCTGCTGCTCAGACTACCGCTCAAGAGGACCGCCTCAGCTTGGGTGTTTGCTGCTGTTCTCGAACGATGTCGTCTCTTAGCTGTTTTATCCACATGTGAAATTTGCGCTGGAGATTGGTGCGATAGTTAGAAAGAAGAGCAGACCGTACATGGTTTATCGGCACCACGACATCCGCCCTGCGTCCCATTTAATATACCTTCGTCAGCGGTTAAGAACGGTGTGACTATGTGTTGCAAAGCAGCAAGATCTTCCAAATAAGGTTCACGGTTCGGTTCCTTGTTTCCGCGTAGTAGACTGATATTTAAGCAAGACTTCTCTATTTTTTTTGAGTTTAGACCCTGTGCCGTGGGGCACCATTGAACTCTAGTTCAGAGAGAAGCCATAAACTACATGGATTTCAGAATGCGTGCCTGAGTGGAGCGAGAGCGCTCTTCCTTCCGCGCTGCTTCATAACAAAGATGGTCAAGTCCTATACTGCGATTCGCACATGACGCATGGACATGACATAGCCGGGAAAAAGGAGTAAACTTCTCTTGCTTCCGCGCTTCAGATGTTACTGTGATCTCCTGGTCAACATCTAGTTGTATCAAGATGTCGCTGCTCCGCACGCGGCGCAGCAAAATCGACCGCGGGAGGACCACGGGGACGGCGCTGGGACAGAGTCCTTGCACAAGTGCCGCAATGTTGTTGAAAAGTGGTCCGACAAGAACACTGAAAACGAAAGCGGGTCTGTCAAGTCCCTTTGATTTTTGGCTCCATACGTGCATCCTTTCCGCGTACGTAATGACCTGTCTTACCTTGGTTCTGGGGGCATTCGGGGTCGCCACCGCCATCGACCAGTTTTCCGATGAGCTATCCTATGTGCAATTTTTTTTTTGTATAGACCTTCCTGCTCGCATTCAATTACAATTTTATGCGTAGATCTGTAATTGGCAGCAAGAACCAGCTTTCTGCATAAAATAGTTACTTAATGCGTTTTTTATCGCAACTTGATGATCCTCGAGGGTGAAGATTTGACATAGGATAGTCGCCGGACGAGATGGTGACGATCGACTCCTCTGCGGCTATGCAGAATCCATCGAAAGTTAAGACGTATGGAAAGCGAAAGAAACGACCAAAGCCATCTTCCTGGTCGTGTTACAGATCGTGGAGTGATCTTCTAGTGACACTCCGCGCGTTCGCAAACGCTGGGATTGGACGTTTGTCTTCGACCACGAGTGTTGTACCTACCTTTTCATAGACTTCACGTACTCTATACGGAAAATTATGCCTGCAGTCCGTAGTTTGTGCCTCTGAGGACAGTTTCTTTGGCTTTTCCATACCGGAGCAGCCAGTAGCGCAAGTCTTGACACGAAGCACTCCGACGCGATGATTTTGAGCCTACAGGAGCAGGTATGATACGACGAACTGGACTCGTGATGTAGTGTTACAGGAGGGCGTCGGTAAATGATTTTCGTGCCAAATAAAAGCCAAAACTCTAGTACGTCGTCCTCGTGCTGCCTCTCGATCGTGCATCACAAACAAAACTCGGATGCAACTACATTTTTGAAAAACACTTTTTTCTTCGATGACATAACAGGTAAAGGCCCTTTCGCAGGACAAAGCAGCACTGATGGCGCATATCATGCGGAAAGATGATTGCAGTAACTATGCCATGCCCATATCGTCTTGCAAGCGTAACTTGCCATGCCCATGTCGGACATTATGCAAGCAGTACTGAGTACATCATGCTCTCAACTGCTCTTTTTCTCTACCTTCTCCTTGCCTCTTTGTCGCGGAACAAGGTAACGGCATCTCCACAACCACGAAGCTTTTTTTTTCCCGCATATGGGTATGGCACGAAAGGTCGTGCAGCAACAGCTTTCCATTCCATAGCGCAGCTGAAGCAAACGTACGAACTCGAAGACCAAAACGACCCAACCGCAACCTCCACTACCGCTTCCTTTTCTCCCGTGCCTTCCACTGACACGAACCCCTTCTCAAGCACGTCTTTTTTGGAGGAGACAACGACGGTTGGGGTTGCGAAGGAGGAAGACACCGAGCTGGCGACGTTGACGAACATGTTGCTCCTCAACGAGGGTTATCAAATGTAAAAATGTCTGGGTCTGGAAGAATGCATGTTTGTCATGCTTCTCTGGCATGACTCTTAAATCTGTCATGCACGTTACCCAAGAGCTCCATTTTTCTGTGATGCAGAAACGCAGTTTGTCTTTGTCATGCAGAATAGGCAACACCTAGAAGCTCAGAAACTTGTCATGCTGAGCCAGCACTTGTGGCCTCATTATGAGACGCCCCCCAGCATCACAAGTTTCCAGACCCAGACACTTTTGCATTTGATAAGGGTACCCGCTTGAAGGCGCAGGACCGACTGGACGACGCGGTCCGCCAACGCGTCCGCGCGGAATTTTTCGAACTGAACGCGAAATTGGAAATGGACAACATTGATCGGGTATAATAGGCGACGAGTTCTACTCTTAGAAGTTGTAAGAACCTAAATAAATAAAAAGATGTTCTTGCGTTCGTTGTAGGAGGAGGAACTGCAGTTGGGGTGGTCAAGTGACAGCAGCAATAAACTAACTGTAAATTCAAGCCTGATCTATTAAGCCTGTTTGTGTTTGTAACGTGAAACTTCACATTGAAAAATCCAAATTAAAAACCATTCGTATCAGGTGTCCAAAGACTTGACTCGCCTGATGATGCGGCAGCTGGTTGACTCGATCCCGTTGTTTGGTCTTCCTGCCGGATCAGTGGCTGCGGCGGAAAGTAGCACTTCCGGGATGTTCGCGGAGCTGGAGTCCATCGTCGCCGAGATAATCGCGGAGTTCAGCGCGCTGGACACGGACAAGAACCATGTGCTGGATAAAACGGAGTGTCCGGCCCCGCCGCGCGGGGTGGATGCGAATGGGGATGCCAAACTGACCCCGGCCGAGGTTGTGGTGTACGTGTACAACAGTACGCGCAAGGACCCGCAGGAGGAGGGGCACCACGGCCGACCGCAGCACGAAAAGCAGCTCTTCGAAGAGCGCGATGGCGGCACGAGCAACGGCACTGCCGGTTTGGCCGGTGCAACCACAGCAAGCATGCTAGAAACTACGTTCACGACCGCTAGAGGATGGAGGGACTATGTTCCTGGTCGTGGAATGCTTAGCCGTTTGTGTCGTGGCCGTAATCCGAGGCCCGAGGAGGAGGGCGAGGCGACGGAGGACCCAAACAGTCAGATCCAAGACATCGAGCATGATTTCGATGACGATCGTGTCAATGTCGTGGGATCAGATGAAAGCGCTGCGCGGGTGCCCACAAGCGGGAGCCCATCGAATCCGAATGTCGTCGCTGGGCACCAGGTGGTTTGGTGGAGAACGCCGCGTCCGCTAACACGTGCAGAACGAGAAGAGAGTAACAATTGGACCAACTACTAACCAGTATATCCGATGAAATTGCCTGCCCGTGCGGGCGGGCGACTAACTCGGAATTTGACCACGCGGGAAGCCTTTGCCTTGTGGGCTGTTGGCATGTTTGGACCTCCGCGATGCCCGAGGGAAAAGGCCGCCCGCGGCAAATTCCGAGTTAGTCGTCCGAACGGACAACTAACTCGGATACCCTAGCTAGGTGGTTTAATTGTTACAAAACTCTGGGAAAGACAAGGGTGGCGCTACCCAGAACCGACAACAAGGCGGCAAGGGAGACGACAAGGAAACGGCGAGGGAAACGACAACTAGCCCGTCCCAAATGCTAATGCAAATACCCGGGGATATGATGAATAAGGCAGCGGATGATCATGATTTTATGTAGTGAGGTCACCGAACGGCTCCAACCTGGCAGTTTTCTTGACATGTCCCGGCAAAAACGACCGGCAGTCTGTAATGCTGTTCTGCGTTTTTCCGCATGAAAAAAGTCAAAGCGTGCCAGCCTGTTTGGCTTTGTCTTCAACGAATCGCCTGCGGATTCTATCGGTCGCCGATTGATAAAACGACGCAGGGGAGCCGGCAAAAGGGGCACCCTTCTGAGGCGCCAGCCGCGTGAGATTCTGTCGATTTGGGGCGCCCAAAAGGGCGCCCAGAAAAAACGCGCCCAAAGCCAGAACAGCGAAACCGCATGGCGCGGCCTCGATTTGGGAGCATTTTGGGCGGCCGCGAAAGCGGCCGCCTTTTCGGCGTTTTCTAATCGGGACAAGCTTTGCAAAAAGCGCCGGCGCGAAAAATAAACACGCAAAAAAGACAAAGCGCGCCGGACGCGCGAAGCCAGTCTGCATCTTATGGGCCCGATTTTTCTTTGGTTTTTGGGCGCCCCCCGTGGCGCCCGGATCGGGCCCATAGCGTCGGGGCTGGCTTTCGGTAAGGAATTTCGGAAATTTGCCAAAAGTGCGTCATGTTTTTCAACCGGCCGCCATGCCGTGCGGCATAACCTTACCCACGGCGGCATGGAGAGCCCACAAAAAGCAGACCCCCTGCCGGTCCGCGGCCAGGGTGGAGGCAAGAAAGCGCCACCGACCTCACTACCTCCGCCGCGGCGGCTATATTTGGTACGTTGGTTTCTTGTTATTCTATGTTTCCAGATTGATAGCGAAGATGGCCTCGGATTCCGTTCTTTTCCATCGAAAAATGCCGAATAAATATCGTGTCGTAGTGCCATGCTTTGCAATGGAATGGCACTGCTTCTCAATTCAAATTTTGTAGTTCGACTTCGAGTACTTAAAAGAAAAGCGAATTACAAATCTGTTGCTCTTGTTGTTCTCCGTCGATTTGACACCCCACCAAAAAGAGTAAGTTGGAACGATTACGCGACGAGTCGAACTTCCAAATTGTGTTTCACGGCCACGGGGGGCCGGAACAGCTGCCAGCTTCAGCTCTGTTGTAGAGGACGATCTGAACCGGACGATCCATATTTACGAAAGAGCTGCACAAGCGAATTTGAGCGATTGATGAGACGCCGAACAACTACTTACTGGATGGGTGTGAGCGGAGCTGCCCTTTTGTAGGCACATGAGTCAACATGTTGAGTATCATGAGATCCCGTATGCTCTGGAACTCTCGTAAATTCGATTTCAAGAAGATGAAGATGAGCAGCACTTCCACTCCGTGTTCGCCTCCGACGTGCTTGGTGCGGGATTGACGTGAACAGAAAGGAGGTTATTCAGTCAAGGAGTGGGAGTATCGCTCTTGCGTGGCAGCTGGAGGTGCGGTCCGCTGTACCATGACGGAGGTCTGGTAGGTGACTTTTTCCTGCATCATGACTCTTTTTTTTATTTTTTCCACCCCGCGGCAGGATTAGGATTTCGGACTCGATGTCATATTAGCACGTTGTAAGCTTGTGCTTGATTGTGACGAATTCACGACGTTCATAAAACAAATATCATACCACATACATCAGGAAAGCCCTCTCCTTCTCCCGTCGTTGCACGGGTCACGCATTGGCAAGCTGCGTCCTTCTGACCGGGGGCATTACGTCGGACTGCGTGCTTATCGTGAGAAAAAAGTGTTACAGTTACACACTCTGATGGGAGACAAGCAAGACAGACAAGCTCTGTCATGCAGGAAATGCTTGCCAACCTCATTTCATTCGTGTTTTCCCTTAATATAGTTTGCGCAGCACAGGTTTTGTTTGCCATGTCGAGCAGGTTTGTGATGCAGAAACTCCAACAAATGTGTAACTGTAACACTTTTTTCCTGTGATAGTGCTGCTCGCAACGGATTTCCTTTCCCGGTTCATCTCCTTCGTTTTTGGGGCGAAAGTCGAGGACCTGGCGACGCAGGCTTATCGGAAGGGGATCTTGAGCTGTACAAACACAGGAGTGTGAAGTTGTTGTATGTTGCAATTGTCGATGTCGATGCGAAGCGCTGTCTTGTTATTCAACTACAGGACAAAATTTTAGCGTCCAAGCACTGGGGCGAGGTTACAGTAGAAGAAGTTAGTACGACATTCTCTCGATGTTACCTTCGTGAAGTCTGTATCTGTAGATAGTCCGCAACATGCTCCTGCGCACTGACTGTTGTCCTCCATACGACCAATACAATCTTCCAGCACGAGTACCGTGACTTTTGCGTCGGTTTGTGCCTTCTCAAGATTCCACACCCATAACTTTCCCTGCGCCATCCTGCCGCACCTGGAAGGAGTCCATGCGGGGCTGCTGAAATACCGCCAGAATTCCGAGGGTGCGCTCGGAAACGGCCTGCCCCAGGTACTGGACGAGGCGGAAACTCTCGTACACACTAGATCAGCGGCTTTCACGACGACAAACTCGTCGTCCCCTGCTGATGTTTTACCAGCAACCACTACAAGTATCCCGCTAAACTTCAACCCGCCTGAAGTAGTAGACGTGCGGAACAACGGAGAGAAACTGATCGCGTTGACGCAGGCCATTCTGCGTGCGGAGTTCGGCACACTGGAGCCGAGTCTGCTCGCAGAGGACTTTCGCTTCGTTTTTCCCGTGGTGGGGCCGCTCAGCAAGAAGGAGTTTGTCGACGCGTTTTCCAGTTTCCAAGTGCGGAAAACGTTTCCGTACCTGCGGGGGAATTTTTTCGGGTTCCAAATAGACCCTCTGGAGTATGAGAGTGCACGAGAACTTGCCCTGGCTCATCTCATCTTGCCCAAAAAAAAAAGGACTCTGTTGTTTCCGATTTCTCAGTACTAAGTATGGGTATGCATGACAGATTGTTCATCTTCGTCCGGCAGCCGATGCAGCACGGCGATTCTGTGTGGGTTTGTCATGCAAAAGCAGTACCACTTCCACTTCCACTCTTGACTTACCGAGATGTCCAGCATTGCTGTTCATTTTATAAATTACAGGGCAAAGTAGTTGTGCGCTCTCATATTCAGCCGGACCGCGTGTGGTTTTTCTCTCGCGGAGATATGTACCAAGCAGGGCCGCTAGAGTTACCAGGCAGAGCAAGCGGAGTACCAAACACTGGACAACAGGAAGATTCCGTGCCACTGGCGCCGGCAGTATCCGTCACAAACGACCGCCTTTTTAGCCACACTGATGCTGGTACTGGTACTGCCGCGTCTCTTGTCTCGATCTCCAGCCGCAGAAGTTCTTACACATTGCTAAAGCCAAACCCGCACAAACGCGTGCTCACGCCGGTCCAAGTCCTCAGCATGAGCTTCCACGCGGACGTATCCACTGGAAAAGTATCGTGCTCAACGCACTGAAATGAATTGCGGGACAGCATGACAGATCTGGCTTTCGTCCTGATTTAGCATATATCACTATGCAAATTCCATCGCTCCTCTACAAAAATTTGCAATGCAGCGTCTACGTCTACCAGTGCGACACTTTTTCCATGCACGGCGCGGCAAATGCTACAAATTCACGGGCGGCTACGTGGCCGACCGCACAGACGGCAACTGCAACGGGCTCGGCGGCTTTTTCGGGGTTTTGCACGCGCTCGGAGTCTATCAAATGTAAAAATGTCTGGGTCTGGAAGAATGCCAAACGTGTCATGCAGGTTTTCCAGGACTCATGAGGTCTGGCATGTAGGACATCGCATGACAGATTCTGTGAGCGCTCTATCATGCCTATCCTGCATGAGAAACTGTCTCTCGATTAGGCTAAATCTGTTCTAACGCCACCCTGACAGGAGTCAAATGTCAAAACGATACGATGCGATTAGGTCAAAAGTGCACAACTTTTGCCACTCATGCAACACAGTTTTTTGCCTGATTCAGATTTAGCATGACAAGTTCCAATCTTCCAGACCCAGACATTTTTACATTTGATAGGGTCTGGCTGCCCTTTCCCGAGGGGCGGCCGTGGAAACCCAGCCCGTTTTGGCAGGTGTTTGTGTTGCGCGCGCAACAGGTGGTGCGGGAATGGAGGCAGCTTTGAGGACGTGGACGGGGTGTTTTTCCGATGTGAAGCAAAGTGCAGAGAAGTAGAAGGACAGTACATGCACACGATCAACATGATTCAGAAAGTCTTTCTCGTCACCCGCGAGTCGCCTTCTGTCGACGTTCTTGTCACATTGATTCACAAACAGAACAATCGGGCTAGTACTTATAATGCAGGGACTTACCATCATTGTCGTTGAACTTGAACATGATCTGGCGTGTTCTATTCAATGCAACAGAAGCTTCTGTGAGAGTCAGCAGCACACCAGTCAGGAGGCCGCCTTGACTGCTGGTCTGTGATAAATACTCGTCTTTATCTTGCTGAAATTGACGTCTTCATCGAGGTATATTTTTGTTTCCAAATAAGCAGTAAGTAGAGGTAGCGCTCGTCCTCGTCAGCAGTGGTGGGGTAAAGAAATGCGACACCAGTGATGTTTGTGAGTAATCAGCAATGCCATCTGAGAATGAGGTTGCGAGGTCGTACGGCTATGATATTTTCTTGGTTCTCGTTCACGTTCTTTGTTTACTATGTCTTTTTGCATTATTCAGTGTCAGAATGACCCAAAAACAAAAGGTGGGTGAACCGCTGCGCAGACACACTTCTTTATTGCGCCCGTAAAGTCTTGCACTTCGCATGCACTTGTGAACTTATTCTCGAAGGAGCGGCGCCCTCGTTTAATTTGAGTTTTCTTTTCGCAGTTGAAACAAGATGTCTTCCTCCAGTAAAGCTTATCACGGCAGTGGGTCCAGCAGTTCGGCTTCCATGAGCCGAGCGGCCCTGCATCAATCCGGAGCCGGAAGTGGCGAGCAGCTTATCGGATATATGAAATTTTTGACGTTGTGGTGCACGACGCTGCGGTGCGATTTTGAATTGCAGAAGTACTACAGCATCAATGTATTCGATTTCGATAAAACAAGATGTTGAACAAGATTGTGAAGTGTAGTGTTGACGGCAGAAATTTCAGCACACTCCATACACGAGCAGCAAGTGGTCTACCGGTCCGACTTCGAGAAAGCTGTGATCACGCAAACCTGCGACCGCCGGGGCTGGCTCCGGTACCCCTACGGAAGCGGAGATGAAGAAGATGGCTGGAATGTCTACTGGGCTTCGTACGCAAGAAACAGGTAGCTTAGGCTGTCAAGAAGGCCAAGGCGAGTTTCAATTTCAGCATACTGAGATCCACCAGGATACGAGCAACTGTCGGGGTATTGACATACTCAATGAAAGCACACTACGAGCAAGATCTTGTTGTGCGCTGACATGCATACGTGGTAGCAACGAACAGGGGAGGTACTTGGGTGGAAGAAATTGAAATCCTTCCCCTTTGCTCGCTTCTTGACGCTTAATTTTCAGTGCGATACTTGCGTCCACACCGTGCGGCAGATGTTCAATCCCGAGACCGGGAAGCGGCTTTCTGACTGGCAGGTATAGAAGAACCAACTAGCATGTCTATCTAGAATGATGTAAGAAGATAAAATGTGCGTTGTTCTTTATTGTGTTGCATATGCATTTTGTTTTATCACTCAAGAAGAAAGAACGAAATCTGCCAGGAAGTCCTGTTCTGTTTGAAATCAGGTTATCAACCATTTTCCGAACCACTACGAGCTGACGCGGAAAGATCTCATGGTGAAGAACATCAAAAGGTACAGGAAAGCTATCGAAGAGAGCCCGGGGAGAATGTGAGGATATTGCTATTACACCAGCGGGACTGTGTGATCAACATGCATAAAAACGAGTACTGAGTAAGTGGATGAAATTTACCACAGCTGCACGCATACTAAGTTTTTACGAAAGGAGGGGGTTCCTTTACTATGTGCAAGAGAAAGCTGCGACCCTGGCGCGACCAGGCCAGAACATCGTCACTTCTACTTTACGTTTCCTCTTCCATATGCAAATTGGAAAAGCGGTGGAATTTTGCGCACGGTTTCGAGAAGCGGGTCAGCTACTCGGGCGGCAGCCGACCGGGGTCCTTGCTAAAGGACGTCTCCAGCGGGCAGACCAGCATGCCGGTCGAGTTGGTGCCCAACTCCTCGGTCTTGGTCGGGATGAGCGGCGCCGGTTCGTCTTCTTCCAGCAGCGCACCACGCGGGGCCGCGATGAACAGCCGAGGTGTTGTTACGGCCACTGGAGCTGCGACGAGCAAGCGGCCGACGTCGTCCAGCGCGGTCTCCGGGCGCGTGGACCTTACAGGAGAAGATGGGAACCTTTCGGACACGCTGCCTGGGGAAAGTGAGGAGGACGCGCTTTCGGCCGGCGAAGAGGATGAGGAGGACGAAGGCGACTTTTCCGAAGCGAATGGCGAACTACACGGGGGTAGTAGTTCAGCGGCGAATATTAACCAAGATCGTGGGCCGCGGTCGTCCTCGGGAGGAGCACGACATCCCAGCGCGGTTTCCTCTGCCGGTGGCGGGTCCGGGGGCGCGCGCGCGTCCGCCTCGCGGGACGGCACTACGATTCCTCGCACGGGTTCCGCCGGCGCCAATTCATCCACCTCCCTGCTCGCAAAGCAGGCGGCACTGCACGCCAACATGCATTGCTTCTTAACCCCGAAGTGGAGCGAGCTGCCGACGGACAGCGAAGGTGAGCCGCTGCTGGACCCTAAGACGCTGGACTTCATCCCCACCACCTTCACCGTATGGGTTGCAAATGCAGTGTCTGGGTGGTCTGGAAGGATGCAACAAACTTGTGATGCGTCTTCTAGATCAAATTATTTTTGTTTTGCCCGGGTAGCAAGAGATGCTCGCATATCTGGTCAACATACTGAAGCGATAATTTGTTTTTGTTCTCATGCGGTATATGCGATTGTGCAAAGCCACTGCGAGAAAGCCTGTGAAGATGCTAGGCGGTGCATCCCGCTTCCAGACCCCGCGCAGTTTCGCGAAACTCAGCAGGACACCCTTCTGCAGTTGTTTTCCAGACCACCTAGACAGATGTTCATTTGATACACTCTGCCGCAGGACTACTCCTTATTCGTGGAAGAATTCCGGCGCACGGCGTCCAGCTGGATTATGAAGCCAATCGGGAAGGCGCAGGGAAAGGGCATTTTCCTTGTGAGCCGGTTGAACCAAGTCCGCAAGTGGGCGACGTATCCGTCGCACTTGTCCTTGTCTTCGAAGAACAAAGACGACGTCAGCAACCCGTTTCGGGAGCCCTACATCATCTCGCGATACATTGACAACCCGCTGCTGATTGGAGGTATGTTAATGTTTCGATCATTTTGACGAGGAGCCAGCATCTTCATTTACTATGATCGGAAACTACTTGTTGTAGTACCGTAGGCGTTTCTAAAATTTCTGTCTCTTCCCCACAAGTTCGAGGGAAGAAACAAGGCCTTTCTTAGTCTTCTCAACGCCCGTAACGATATATTTTTTTGGAAATTGTCAGGTAAAAAGTTTGACCTTCGTGTGTACGTCTTGGTTACCTCCTTTCGTCCGATTCGTGCCTATATGTACCAGGAGGGGTTTTGCCGATTTTGCAACGTGCAGTACTCCACCGATGTGACCGAACTGGACAACGTGTTTGTGCATTTGACCAACGTGGCCATCCAGAAGCACGCTGAAGAGTACAACGCGAAGCACGGGGGCAAGTGGAGCATTCGCGACTTGCAGTTTTACCTCGAGTCCCTGACCGGGTCCCGGCTGCGGTCCAAGCAGGTGTTTCGCGACATGGAGAACTTGATTCTCGTCACCCTGAAATCCGTGCAGAATTCCATGATCAACGACAAGCACTGCTTCGAGCTGTACGGCGTGGACATTCTGCTCGACGGGCAGCTGAAACCATGGCTTTTGGAGGTAAACGCGAGCCCGTCGCTGAGCACGACGACGCACGAAGACCGGATTCTGAAGTCCCGGCTCATTCACGATGTAATGAACATTCTGGAAGCGGAGTACGCGACGTTACTCCGCAGCGGCAACACGTCGACCATGGCGAGTAACGCCACAGGTGGAAGTAGTGGCGGCAATGCTTCTTCCGGCGGAGGTGGACAGAACTATGTCGGAAACAACAACCCGGACGCAGTGCAAACGGTGGAAACACCCTTTGGGACCAGAACTACGAATGGCGGCTTGAATGGAGCAGTACCTTCGACGAGCAAAAATTCACAAAACAAAAATTCAGCCACGAAAATGTCCATGGGCGGTTTCCGCCTTCTGTTGGATGAATCCCGCTTGCGAAAAGCCCGGGAGCGGGTGGTGGCGGAGCAGACGCAGGCACTGAATGGGAAGAACAATAGGAAGAAACAATTCCAAGCCGGGAAGGAGTGGAGGTAGGGATCATCTTGGTGGAAGGTAACTTCCTCATCTTGTTCCGCAACTGGTAATACTTAATACGGGAAGTAGACGTTACTTCTCCTTTACTTGCAGCCTATGTACAGATTAGTTTGACGGTGCAGCATCCTCTCCTGTCTACTTAGATAGAAGTAGGTGGTCTTTATTCGGTGTTGCACCGTGGACCCCTGCAGTTGCGGTTCTTGAAAGTTTTGTGTAGTTCGGAATGAATACTTTGTTCTTTCAGGCTCTCGTCAGCTACGACGTAACAGATATATTCTTTAATGACGCATGCGCATGGAATTTTCGGGGTGTTGTTAGTCTGCAGTACGTGCATCTTTGGGCGGTGATCGCACGCAGTTGAAAACAACAGTCAACCTCATTGGTGGTGGACATCAGCTGGTGGAGTAGGCACAGAACGAGCTGGGAAAGACTCGTGCATTTCGATTATGGTGTTTTGCGTACTCAAATAGAAACTTCATCCGGTCGGCTTTCTTAGTCCGGACGCCGATGCCACGTACGTCAGTCGCGTCGTGGTTCATCCTCGAGCGAAGAGATCATGTTTCCGCAAAAAGGAATTGTACATGGACAGTGACTACGCCGGACATACGTAGACGACGAGGACAATGAATTGTAGCTAGCACCAAAAGCAAACAAGATTCATCTAGTGCTGCTGTTGGCAATAAGTACGAAAATTATAACCATGCCCGCTCGAGCCCTAATCGTCTCGAGTTTTTCCGCGGCTTTCGCCAGCGTCTGCATGAGCCAAGCCTTCAAGACCTCTAATGCAACGGTTCCTGAAAAAATCTCTCCGTTCGCTCTCCTGGCCGCCTTGCGAGCCTTCTGGTTCCTGCTCGGGCTCTTTTCCAACGTGATTATGTGGAAGTTTTTTCTCTCCGCGAACGTGGAAGCGGAAAGCAGCACGGAGGTTTCCGCGATTGCGCTGGGGCTAAACTTTCTGTTCTCCGCGTCAATGTCGAGCGGGGTCGATTGGGTAACGGGGAGGATGACAATGAGTGCTGCTCCTGCTAATGCTGCAGTGAATGCAACAACCACTGCGTCAACAACTTCAGAAGTTTCTGGAGGTGTTGTAACTCAAACTGCTTTACTACCACCCGTAGCCACAACATCCTACGCGGACTCTTATCCGACACTAAACGCTAGAACAGGCATGTTCCTTGGTGGGGTGTTTTTCATTCTGCTCGGTGTCCATCTGCTTTCGTCGAACAGTGGTTCTAGTTCTCGTTCTGCCGACGAGAATGGTGCTGCAGCAAATAATGTCTTTGGGGGAGAACCTGCAACGAAGAACAAGACTAGAATCCCCTCTTCCACCACTTCGAGCGTTAACCTAAGCAAGAAGCACGCTCCTGTGAAAACGTCGTCAGCGAGGAAACAGCATCAAGAGTCGTCTTCAACTTCAGCAAAGGACAAGAAGATATCTGTAGTTGGCAGTAGCAGTGCGATGAGAGGGAACAGGACGTCGAAACTGTGGTCCTGCTCTCTCAAGACGTGTAGAAAAAGTGTGTTCATCTTCAGTTGCCTCAAGTTTACAGTTTACTGACTCGAGACTACTTACTTGCCGCCTTCTGTTTTTTCCTTGTTTCAAGAAGCAGTATCTAATAAAGTGGATGCAGTTTGTAGATACCGCAACTTGCATCAGCATTAGAGATTACAGCAGCAACCTAGAGTGACAGCGCTTCCGACCAGAGTTTCAGCACGCTATTGCAGGTCTTTTGCCGAGGTTGGTAAAACTTCTACTCGCCAGTGCAGCTGAAAGGCTCATACTGCTTCGTAGAAGACCAGGAGCTCGTCCTGCGTGGTCCTCTCATCTGCGCTTTTATGTTTCATTTCAGGTCCATCAACTTTTTCCCCTCTGGTATCCGAAATCTCTTCTGCACAATGAATATAATGCTGCGCAGACTGTATAATGATCGGTGTCTTCGAGCCAGACTCAGAGAGACAACCAGCCCTTGCTTGATATTACCCGAGGCAAAGTCATGAAGATCAAGATGCCACGGAGGAGGTCTAATTTATTGGCGTTTGGCGTTGGCCTGCTGTTTTAGTGCAGCTAGTTCCGACGATGGAGCTCATATGCGATTTTTTTTGGCGCCGCGTGGCACAGCAGGCTAAAGTAGACGACCGTCCTTTTTCTGCCGATGAGAAGATCGATCTGAAGCTCCTTTCAGCCTTCGTCTCTGATTCGCGCGACCTGGTCGCTCGGCAGGCGAGTCTAGCCGACCGAGTTTTAGAGGAACTTGCCAGCAATTCTTCGTCTGCAAGCACATCACACTTGAGACTCAGCACCCGACTAACGCAGACAGAAGAGACGGCCCTCGGGCAACTTCCGGTTTTGGTCGACGACTTTTTGAGAACTAAAATCCCGGCCAGAACAGGAAATAACCATGATCGAGACGTCGGCATCAACAGTGCTACTGCAACAAGTGACACCTCTGAGACCGACCGCCTAGGCGAAGATGAAGTGTCCGGCCCAGTAGAACAACCTCTGCTATCTCGCTTCGATTGGGAAATCTTCATCGGAAGTTCCATTTCCCAACCAACAAGGAGCAAGAAGAGCGCCGCGGCTGTGAAACGAGAAGACATGAACCCGCTCGGGCAAGCCTTGGAAAAGCTGGCCATAGTTCTCCTGGAGATTGAGGTTCTCTACGCCCTGAACCAGCTGCGGCGCAATCCGCAGCTCGCCGCCGACCGGTTGAAACAGAGAAGAGTCGGAAAGTTCAAAGGAAAAGATTTCCACCCGACGGTGGGGCGCGCCGGTCGGTGTGTGGTGACGAAAGAGGGCGAAGCGGTCGTCGTGGAAGCGATTCAGTATTGCCAGAACTTGGCGGGTGGAGGTGGAAACATCAAGTCGGGGTCAACATCTGTAGGAACAGCAAATCGGGGTCGCGCGGGGTCGGAGATGTGTGCGGCTCCGGAAGCGGAGGAGGGCGTGAATGGAACCGGAATTATCCCGCCTCCGCCAGATGAGGTAGTCTCTCAATTTGCGGAAATGCAACAACTCCACAGTAGCTGCACCTGGGACCAAGAGCAGGGGATCTTGGTCGCAAGAATGATGAAACCTGGCGAGCCAAAAACATCATCGCCTGCTTCCTCATCAACCTCGTCCACAGTCTTAATAAACCCCCACCAAGGCCAGATTTTGCCGCATCCGACGCTTTTTCTTTCCGCCAGCGACCACGCGGCCGACCTCGGTGTTACCGGACTGGCGTCGCACACCTCTTCAGACAAAATCACGAAAGTGCAGGATCGGATCACTCGGTACTCCAACTGGCGCTACAAAGTCGGGGAGTGCTTGTGGTACGGAACGTTGCCGGAATCTGGCTACGCGATGATCGAGGACCTAATCGTGGACGATGGTGTCCCTTCCCGCGGACACCGGTTAGGCATTTTCGACCCGGCATATTTTTTTGCAGGCATCGCAATCACCCTGCACAAAACCTTCGGCTACTGTTGCGCGCTGAACTTCGCGAACGCGGCTTTTCCAGTGGAGGACACGGCCTTGCTGCAGAAACGCATCGCGAGCGGACCGCTCGTGTTGCACGACAATGTAAATAGCAAGCGCGGGATGGGGAAGACCATCACTACGCCCGGGGGTTCTACTACCGTGCAGCGAGGTGGTGGACCCGGGAATACTAACAGGGAGCCGAAAGTGCAGACCCAGTGGGGCAAGTTGGGGACGTGTGCGAAGTGCAAAGAGCCAATTCACGGCGGCGCAGTGATTGAGCAGGGAAATCTGAAATGGCACAAGGAGTGCTTCACCTGCAGCGAATGCGAAAGGAATCTGGTATAGAGACGTATGTACGAAGACTTTCTGTTGGATACTGGAGAGGACGACCACAATGACGTCGCGCATGAAGCGGCTCTGTCATGTTGTTTATGTTTCAGAAAATAAACACAAGTCTATAATGTGACTGTCATCATCTCAGAGTAGATGCGAGTTTGCGATGAGTTAGATGAATTTTGCAGGTTTATTGCTTTCTCGCATATTACGAACGCGTCTCGCATGTCCATCATCACACCTCCACTCTCAGGTCGGTGTCCGCTACTTTACGGAGAAACAGAACCTCTATTGCGAGGGCTGCCACCTGCAGCTGTTCGGGAAAACGTGTTTCGGCTGCAAGGAGAAGATCCAGGGCACAGTTATGACCGCGGCGGGGCAAACCTGGCACCCCTTGTGCTTCAAGTGCAGCGAGTGCGAGAAGCCTTTGAAGGGAAAAGCCTACCAGACCTTGGACGAGTCGGTCGCGGGTCCGGGCAAAGCCTTGTGTGGGGAGTGCGCGGAGGAAAAAGCGCAAGAAGAGGCGGCGCGACAAAATCAAAAGCAACTGGCAGGAGGAGGAGGAGGGCCCCGCGGTGGGCCGCCGAAGGCGAAAGCGAAAACAGGTAGTACTAGTAGTGCGGTAAGTGGCAGAACGGTGGTCGCCGGACGAAAAGGCCCTGGAGCTGCTGGTGCTTTCGGTCATCACTTCGAGCAGGAGGAGTTGAGCAGTGCAGCTTTGGACAGCATGACTTTGCAGATGGGAAGCATCAGTGGGAGCAAAGCAACTACGGGTGTTAGTTCTGGTAAAAGTGCAGGTGGGAACAAAGCTGGAGGAGCGCCGTCGGCACCACCAAAAGCGAAGCCAAAAGCAAAACCAAATATGACGCAGGCAAAGAGGACCGTTGATACGATGAATATTGGATACGGAGATTTGTTGTAAGATGGCTGATGAAAATGACAATGACTATGCTGGTGTGTGGCCTGGTTCGGGTGTCCCTGGTGTTTGAAAGATATCCAGACGTAGATGTTTCTGTTTGATGATACGATCCTACTTGTGCCCACTTGTTACAGCTCGTCCGCATATGGTGCCGCACTCAACATGTACTGCAGCTTCGTGCGGTGTGCTATACGTTCTTGCGTCATATTACCCTCGAACTAGATGTATGCTCAAATGTGTCTGTTTTCTTGCCAAAAAGCATTTCCGCCACGTCTGAAATCAATGTACGATTTTACGTTTCAGGCGCTAGCCACATCTAATATCGCTACAGCATCACTGCCGTGACCGCGGGCGATGAAATGTCGTCAGAAGAAGTTGTTTATCGAAAATAGTTTGGACTTCACATTAGCCCACGATTGGATTGCCTTCGTGCGTGATATGCAAGACGAGTGCTTGAGTCATTTCAAGACGGAGAAAAGGCCGTGACGCTGCTGCGACGGTGTTCAGTGCAAGACTTGGTTCAGTTGAAGCGGTGCCGGTGCCGTTGTTTCTTGTTGCGTGTCTTCTCCTTCCGGGGGCCTGTTTCTTTGTGATAGCGACTTCTGCCCCTCCGCAGTGGCGCGCGCGCCAGCACGTTCGGGCCGCGCGTGGGCTGGCGGTGGCGCTTATCTGGGCGAACCAGGAGGCCCAGAGACTGCGGAACGATGACGCATCGGCTGGCTATCTTTGCCCGTACATGCGAAAGGGCAGCCGCTTCGGGGCGGAGACAGCGCAGGAAGGCAGGCGGGCACCCCGTGCGACTTTCTCCAGGGCGGCGTCCAGTTTCTGGAGGCCAGGCGCAGCGCAAGGCGGAAGTCTCGGCGAGATTGCCAGGCATGGCGCCCGCGGCCGGTCCCGCGCCCTGGCGCGTGGTTTTTTGCCCGCAGGCCCGCTCGCTGCGGTATGAGTTATCGGGGTCGGCATCACTATAATCGCCCCGGCGTGGCGCAAAGCCCGGGCATCGTTGTGCTTTGCGTCTGTTGCCAGAGCGAGGACGGGCAGGCGCCGCGCCTCCTTGCGAAGGTCGGGGGGGCCAGGAGCGGCCGGCGGGTGCCGATGCGGCGGCTGGGGCGCGGCCACGTGCCGCCATCCTGCGCGAAGCAAAGGAGAAGCGTAGGACCAGCGCGACCGCCGGCAGGCGAGAAGAATATGAGCGGGGCGCCGCTGTGGCATCCACCGCGACGGCATCAGACCGGAAGCGCTTGAAGGCGGGGGGCCCCGCCTCCATGGTTCGCCTGCTTGGACGGCCACGAAGCCAGCGCGTGGGCCACCCGCGCACGGCCCGCCCGCGCCCGCCGCCGGCACATTGCCGGGGGGTGAGGGAGGCTCGCAGGCGGGCCGGGCGCGTTTTTTTTGCGCCCCCGCTCGGCCGGCTTGGTGGGGGGGGCAGCTGGTGGGCCCGCTCGTTGGCCCGCGAGGCGAGCATGCCGCCCCGCCCTCGCCTGTTTCCATCGTGGCCACCCGCGGCGCACTTCGCTCGATTGATAAGTAGATTCGTTTGGTGCGAATCGTCACGCCGACCCGCCCCACACCCATACGCAACAGTGGTGGTTGGGCGTGGTTGTGTCGAGAAGGGGCGCCGGGTTCGTCGGCGTCGGTCTAGTCCTTTGGGCCCCGCCGCCCTCAAGCATAAGAAAGCTAGCGGCCCTGCCGGTCGCCCGGTCCTTCCTGCTAGCCTTGTTGCAAGAATCCGCCCGGCCCAAGTCAGGCGATAAGGTATGCAAAGCGCCCCCGCATACACACGAGAAAACGCATCTACTCATGCGCGCGCCACCATCGTCGGCGACAGTGTTCTTCTCGCACGCTCGACGGTGTTCTTGTTGCCTCCACCTTCGTGCTCGTTCTTTGAGTTTGTACAGCCATGCGGCCCGCGATACGCTGACGCTTTCTTGATGTGCTCTTTCTACTAGTAACGCTAAGTAATTGGCTTCGGCCCAGAGTGCGTGTCTGCGGCACCTGAAAGAGAGCGGCCAAACGTCGTTCCGCTCCCTTGTAGTTTTTGGCTCTTCACCGCGGTGTTTGAGCTCACTTTCCACCGGTATTGTTTTTCCCGACGCCGCAATGCTGCTTAGATGAAATGGAAGATGAACTTCCCTCAACTCGTTCTCGCACAGCAGCTCCTTTTGCGCCATCGTAACTAGAAACGCCCAAGTGATCAGTGCTAGTGCCCCGCGGAGGCATCTACGCACGGTATCGCTCCGCCCCCCGCAACAGCGAAAATGTGCAAAACCGGCATAAGGCCGCCCGACTGCAGCTTTTCGAGGCGACGCAGCTCACAGCCCCATTTTTTCCAGTGACGCCCTCGCCACTGGCTGTTGAAAGACAAAAGAGCAGTACGGAGAAGCTAGACCTGCGGCGCAGAAAATAGCTTCGTACGAAACATCAACTACGTGCTACTTGGACGGCTTTCTCCCGCCAAGAAATCGAACACAAGTCGGGAGCACTCACATCCGCGTCCTTCGTGCCGTAATCTGCCGCCATGGTAAAAATGCAGGAGGTAGTCGGCCTGCTGGGCGGGTCAACGGCAGCGGATCTGGCTCCGTTTGACATCATGCTGCAAATGGGCGGCTCTGGCAGCGACTCGTCTCAGGCGTCAGCCTTTCTGAGCCTGGGCGGGGCGTCGACCAGTGCTCATGCGACTACCGGGGGAGTACGAGCAGGTACTACAGCAGGAGCAGCAGGAGCGGCGTCCTCCTTGGCAGAGATGAAAACCACGGCTAAAGAAGAAGCATCATTGGCAGCTGCGAGAGAAAGCACAACTTCAAATGAAGCTCCCGCTTCTGTGGTCCTCGCCGAGGAAACGGAAACAGGCGGTGAAGTAGCCATTGGCACCAAGATTTCCAACGTCTTCTCCAGCATTTTGAATCCGCCTTCCCTGGTGGACTTCGGGCCCCTATCAAAAGGAAAAATCCACCCTCCCCATATCAAAACGAAACTTCTGATGCTGGATTTGGATAGACAAATCAAACTTGTGTTGCAGCTAGACGAGGAATGCGTGGTCCTGGCTTTGGCGGGGGCCTTTTGGTATACTAGGCGCCTAGTATGTAGTGAGGTCACCGAACGGTTCTAACCGGGGAGTTTTTTTGCCATCTCCCCTGAAAAACGACCGGCAGTTTTGAAGCCTGTAGAGAGTTTTTTTGCATGAAAAAGATCCCAGCGTGCAAGCCTGTTTGGCTTACCTGGCACCGAATCGCCAGCGGATTCTATCGATCGCCGCTGGGTAAAACGACGCAGAGAAGCCAGCAAAAGGGGCGCCCTTCTGGGGCGCCCGCCGCCTTGATTTCTGGCGGTTTAGGACGCCCAAAAGGGCGCCCGAAAACAACGCACCCAAAATCAGAACAGCGAAACAGCATGGCACGGCCGCGGTTTCGGAGCATTTTGGGCGGCCGCGAAAGCGGCCGCATTTTCGCCGGTTTCAGAGCCTGGGGGGCTTTGCAAAAAGCGCCGACGGGAAAAATAAAAACGCAAAAAAGCAAAAGCGCGCCAGACGCGCAAAGCCAATCCGCATGCTACGGGCCCGATTTTTCTTCGCTTTTTGGGCGCCCCCCGTGGCACCCGGATCGGCCTCATAGCATGGGGGCTGGCTTTCGGAAAGGAATATCGGGAATTTGCGAAAATTTGCGACGTTTATCAAGCGGCCGCCATACCGTGCGGCCTAACGTTACTCACGGCGGTACGGCGGGCCCAGAAAAAGCAAAGCCGCGGCCAAGGCGACGGCCGGCAAGAAAACGCCCACGACCTCACTACCTCCGCCCCGGCGGCTATATTTGGTATGGCAGCCGGCTACTCTGTAGGCCTTACAGCATGACAAATCGCCCGCATAACGTGGCCGACAGCCTGAATGTGCATTCTTGGAAGGCAGACCCGATTTGTGGTCACAAATCTGCATCGCAAATTTTCAGTAGGATGCGCTTTCAATATGGGAAAGGGGGACTACTTTTCCTTGCAATAGCCCCAGGCCTTCGGCCGGGTGGAGGTCCACGAAGATCCGCACACGCCGGCGCTGACACTGGAAGTGCCCGGCAATCTCGAGAAGCACCGGGTCGAGCAGACGATCATCCTGGAGGACAAGCCCAAGGCGGAAGTCAACAACTTCTTCCCGGATTTCAACAGCGAGAAGGTACCGCCGAAACGGGTGGTCACCCTGTTTCCGGGAACGCACGTGCCGGAACCCTCCGGGGCCTACATGGCGGCGATGCTCGTCGTGTTTGCGGTGTCGGTCTACGCGTTTGTGTCCATCTGCCACATGGGGGCCACAGACGAAACAGTCAAGCGCCCGCTGCACTGGTAGGATGAGTAAATGCAAAATACATGTTTCATCACAATTACAATTTCAATTTCATCACCTTGCCCAGTAAATGAACTACCATGAAGATGATGAAGATGAGCTCACTGCTTGTTGTTGAACAAGACTAATTGGCCCTACGTGACAACCCCAACCGGCACAAGATGACCTTTTTTCGAAACAACTAAACAGGTGCATCGCAGCCTGGCTCCTGCTCACCCACGCTCTGACCTCCTGCTTTCTCTCGTTCCCCGCGGTCTTCATTGTGCTCCTGTTTTTCGGCTGCCTCGCGATTGTCTTCTTCTTTGGGTTTTCGTTCTGGGGCGAGCAGATTGCGCGGAAAGTGCCCGCCAGTTTGATCGTGGGCTACCAGGTGTTCCGGGTGTTTTTGGAGTATTTGCTGCACGTCGGGCACAATCAGGGGGTTGTTCCGCAGCAAATGACGGTCCACGGACACAATTTTGACATCATCACCGGAATTCTCGCCTTCGCGGTATCGATTGTGAATGTTGTAGAGCCAAGCTGATATACAAATACAATTCACTTCTTTCGCTCTTGTGGTCATTTTCATGCTGACGGGCAGGAGATATCCATATAGGTAGAGAAATACATGGAGATGTTGACATCCTTTTGAAAAACGCAACTTACTAGGTATCAGTAACATTTCGATTTCCTACTTCTTCCAGGTGAGCTTAAACATGGGCCCCACGTCGAGTAGCTCCTCAGATGACGAGAAATCCCCTCGGAAAGAAGAGGAAAATCCGCAAACTGACGTGGATGACGTGGTATCGACCACAGCGTCTTCCTGTCACAATCCCAATCAGAACTCCTTCTTCTTCTACTCAGACAGGGGCACAACAACATCATCATCAACCAAGAACGGCGAAGCAGATCATGACGTAATTGCAAGTATTTCGTCTCTCGTTTCTACAGCAGGAACTACCATTTTGTCAGCGCTTGGACTGGGGAGTGCTGGGGGAAAAAATAAAGCAAGCACTACTAGACCGCTGACCTCATTTTTCTTCGGCGATGAGGACGTCACTGGCAGTCCGGAAAGAAATTCTGCGCCACTAATATCACCTGCATCAACAATCGCTCCGCAGCTTCACATCAAGCAGAAAGTGGTGCTGTTTGTCTTCAATGTAATCGGGCTGCTGTTACTCTTTTCGGTCATTTTCACGATCCTGTTCTCGCTGCCGACACCGTATATTTTGCGAATTTTTGTTGGAGAAGATTCACAAATCGTCACTCCTCGGATATGCTTATTGTGCCGTGAATTCGAATTTGAATTTCAAGTGCCTCGTTTGGTGGAATACTATTGTGCTCAACGTCAACTACTGTAAGTGATGGAATCCTGCAATGGTAGAGATGAAATACTTGAATGAAAATTATCAAAGTTATGCGCGAAAGAATAAATCATGTTCAGATTGCGACTCTTCCAAAACGAACCTGCAGCAGTGTTTTTTTTCTTCCCGCCCTATGAGTGGTTCCCCTTGGTCTCCCTTCCGATTGCGCTCGCGGGCCACGTGATCGGGCTCAGAATGTGCTTCATCCAATAGAAGAGGACTTGTTTGAACAGGGAACAAGTTACTTGTTACTGGAACAGGGAGTGAGACGGTCGAGATCAACGTCGTTCCCCACGAAGAAGATGATTGCCTTCTCCACCGCAGCGTCAGCTACTGCTTCCTACAATAGGAGCATGCCTAAGTCGAGTCTAGTTTATTTCAAGTCATTTTTATCTCCTTGCGCCACATGACTGTTTGCGCGCAGAATACGAACTGAATGATCTTGGTACGCAAAAGCAACAAGAGGTTTCCGTTTCGAGGGGGCAGCAAACGCGCCCTGTTGCTGTTGATGAAAAAAGAACTGAAGAAGTTTCAAAAACAGAAGGAATAAATTACAAAAGAAAAGAAAATGTAGCCTTCATCGAGTTTCTGTACAATTTAGCATCATCACAGCCGCACAGAAACAAAAATCGTGCGAAAATAAGTAGAAAGAAATGTGAACAAAAGAAATAAAGCAATGAAGCGCATTGTAAACGAGAAAAAAAAAGATCTTTTGGCGCATGCAGCGAGCAGCTTGCGTTTGCGTGGTGCGAGTGGACGTATCCGCATCGCGGGAACCGACAGCGCGTCCCTCGAGCCGCGGTTGTGGCCTGCTCACGGAGCATCTGTTCATCGCTGCAGTTTTTCGATTCAATCTTCTTCCTAGATGGATCTACAACGGTAAAAGTTCCGCAAGTTCTTGGAGGAAAGAAACGCTTTTGTTTCTGCTTACGCTTGGATGTTCTTTCCGTCCCTCCAGACCAGGGAAGACCCTCCTGGTGGAAGATCCGGCTTTGAAATGCCACACGAGTTCGATTTCCTTTTGTTTTTTTGGTCATGAAGGTCCCCGATATCCTCAAGATCACGTCGCCCCCGGAGGATCTATTTATGCTGTCCTTGCGATCAGCACCAGGTGATCACAGGACCAGCGCAGATCCCTGCTTTCAATTTCGTTTGTCTTTTTTTTACGATTCTCTGCTATATGTATCCAGTGGTTGCTTCTGATCTTCGGATCAGAAGCATGAGACAACTTTGCGAGCAAAAGAATGGAGTCATGATCATCTACACAACTACAGGACGAGGTCGCCAAGTGCTACTTTGATAGATCACTATTCGAGGCACAACTTTCCTCGTACCCCAATAAATTACGAAACAGTTAAATTTATGTTGTCACTTCTGACTTGGTAGAAAGATATTGATAGAAGTTCCCCGATGAAGTAGAGCCCTTTAGTACTCACGGACAAAATTCATCTCTTAGATAAAGTTCTTCCCCTTCTATACCCATTAACCCTACATGAGTTCTTTCCAGCAGCCTTCTACTCGCGATTTCACTTCGAGTTTTCGAAATTTACCGGACCAGCATCAAGATGTGGGCGACCAGCAGCGGCAAGGAACCGGCAGCACCAGTAAGAGCGAGCCGATTTTTAGTGGAACATCCAGGGCCGGGCCTGCCGGAGGTCAAGACGAGGCTGCAACTTTCGACTCCGACGTCGAACGCACTGGTAGAGGCCAACATCCTCGAGGTGAGAAGCAAGTCGCCGCATCGTCGCTAGATTCATCTTCACAAGCTGCAGCGCAGACCTTCTACGCTGTTGGAGGTGCGCCACAGAATATTAGCCAGCGTGGGCGTTCGGTAACACAAGAGGATGACTTGGCACGGCAGCGCTGGAACAACAGTGCTGCCTTCGAGAGCAGTGGCAGCGGCGGCCTCGGTGGAAGGGGCAGCTCTATTCCCGGCAGAAACGGAGCTGGAGCAGCTAGCACAGGTGCGGTCGTTCTTGTTGACGACCCGAATTCATCATCTATTAGAACAGGAGAGAGAAGCGGGAATAGGAAAAATGATCTTCAACAGCACAGCCCGCAGAACCAGTATGCGGGGGCCCGCGGCGCCGCCGCGCCGGGAGCTGCTCGTAGTGCAAAGGGTCATGATGAAAGCAATGATCTCCGGGCTACAACAATCACAGCGGGAGGCGGTGCGACAAGTAGCACGGGGCCAGGGAATTTGTTCTACACATCAACGTCAACAACCACCAGTCGCCCCGGAGGTGGTGGCGGGGCTGCAAGTGGCAGCGCGGCACCTCTGGCACAGCTGCCACCAGCTCGGCGGACGAGCAGGACTTCAGGCAATGTGCCAATCGTGGAGGGAACGTCTGTGTCCTTCCCCCCGAGATCGAAAACCGCGGAGAGGTCGGTGCTGCGAGCTACAGGGGGACCGGAGGACCAACCAATTTCCGGACTTGCGGCGCCCCCGGTGCCGCCGCCAGAAGAAGTTGGTTGCACCGGTGCAGCCACGCAGAAGCAGCTCTCCGCGCCAGGGGAAGAAACATCTGCGGTCGGGGCTGCGTATTCCTATTCGGGCAGTAGCAGTAGGCCACCTGCCCCGGCGGCTCGGCTCAGCGCATCGAATGTTGGCGGAAGTTGTGTGCAGCTTGGTCCCGGAGGAGCTCAATCGTCGCAACTACTACAGCAAGAAACGGCTGCAGCCGCCGGAGTCACCAGTGTAAACAATTCTACTACACCTGCAGCTCCTGTTCTTTTCCTGGCCAGTCCAACGGATCGCGCCGCAGGAGTAACAGTTCCTGTAGCTCCTGCACATCAGCCGGATCCTGCGCAGTATTTTAGCGAGCGAGAACAGGTGGACCACCAGGAGGCACTGTTTCGAAACTGCTTATCCATTCCACGGCACTACACACGGCAGCTCGCTCTGTCGCAGATCAAGCGGCCGCAGAATTCTCAAGGGGCACACAGCTCGACGGGCTTGGGGGCTTTGTTCGAGCCGTCACCCAGGGAAAAGCTGCCGAAAAGCACTACCAGCAGGCAGGATCACATAAATCATTCACACCAGGGCGGCCTTTATTCTGGCTCAAGAGGAGCTCCTCCCGCTCCGGTACGATCAAGAGCGACGATCAATATTGGGGGCGGAGCAGCTAGCAGTAGCACTTCCGCCGTAGGGTACGGAGCAGTGATCGGCCAGCAACGGACCTCGCGGAGCAGCAAAGCGCGTCGGAAGGTTGGTGATATAATTCGACGGCAGAGAGCGACCACGTCCATCGAAGGGGGAGCAGTTGTTCCGGGTATTGTTCCGTCAGGAGCCCCCGTCGCCCACCAGTTCGATCCAATTACCGGTGCACTTCTGAAAACAAGAAGTGGGTCGGCGTCACGAGGATCTACTTCTACGCACCATCAACAGGAAGCAGGCGCTAATACGAAGCCCCCGGCGCTGCACACCACTTCGTCTCAAGAACAACATGATCACCAGAATAATTATCAGAAAGGCAAAACGTCAGCGACATTTTTAACTCGCGGTTCCCGGACGAGTTCCAAATCAAACATTCAGGACCGCGTGTACCACCACCGAACAAGATTCCACGACGACGATGGCGGAGGTCCACCTCAGGATGAAAATCAACGAAGTGTTTACAACCTGCAAAATTTTTGCAGCTCGTCCAAAAGCTCAAGGTCAGGTGGAGGTGGTGCTGCAGCTGCGGCGATGAAATTATGTGCTTCAAATATATCCTCCGGAACCGGCCCCGTGGCACCATCTACTTCTTCCCGTTCTGTCCAGCGCCGCCGAAGTGCTGCGGATAACTACACCAGTAGAAAGATAGTAGGGAAAGTGGACATGTCTTCCTTGCCGCCTGACACCCCGACGAATAGGACAAGAACTCAGCGTGGTGGCGGTGGAGTGTGTCTTGAAGGAGAAGGCGTATCAAATGTAAAAATGTCTGGGTCTGGAAACTTGTAATGCTAAAAGTGAATGATAGACGCACTGCAATACGCAGCTATGCATGACAAATTTTTTGGCTGCCATGTCTTACGTATTCCGCATGGCAAACTGCGTTTTTGCGTGACAGGTAAGAAGGCTTTTTCGTGCCTATGCAACACAGACTCCCGAGTCATGCCAGACAAGCATGACAAACTTGCATTCTCCCAGACCCAGACATTTTTACATTTCATAAGGCGACCTTCATGTCGATAGCACAGACCAGGACCGCAACATGGGATCGTCGCATTCGCATTCGGACGGAATCAATGACGTTGACTCCGATAATTATAGTGACTCTGACGCTGATAATCTGAATCATAATCAGGACCAAACAAACATGGAACAAGGAGATTTGTTGCCATTGCAACTGATCCACGGCGAAAATTTTTCCTACTCGTCGAGAGAAAACAGCAGAAATGTGTCGTTTGAGTTGGATATTTTAGACACCGATGATCATGACCGGCGTGCTGCTGGTCCAGAAACAAGCTCAACATCACGCCTTATTCGAGTGGACAGCGCGGAATGTAATAACCCAGCAAGTACGAACGTCAATACAAGCAGCCACCTGAGCAGGATGAGAGGTCGGCGCGATAGGACTGGCTCTCTCGTCGGTTTGCCGGCGCGTCGGCGTTCAGGCCTATATCGCGGCGACAGCACTGGGCCGCGTCGCCGCGGTGTCGTGAACAACGCCGACTACGGGGAGCAGGAGCTTGACACCGCGACCGGAAACCTAATGCCAATTAGTGCTAGCACGACGCCGCAACATAACCAACGCACGCTTGATCGGATGAAGAACGTCGCAGGGGGTGGAACCGCATCCAGCGGAGTGAGGTTTAAATTTTCATCTACTTCCCGCAAGGGCAGCACGCTTTCCCGGGAGTCGTCTGTTGTTCAGGATCTTCAGAGCGACCACAACGATGAATACGAAGACGAAAACCGGAACACAGTGTCCATCTATGACTATAACGACGCCCAGAAATCCCGGCCGCGGCTCTCGGATTCCCTATTCAACAGCAGCGGGGGAACGACGCAGTCGCAGCAAATGACGTCGTTGCCCGGATTCGGGCTGCAGGGCGATGCTGCCGCTGCGGCTTCCATGGACCGGTTTCGCAGACAACTGGCGGGTGGTCCTCACCCCCGAAGGTCCAGAGGACCCTCCTTTGCATCAGAAACTAGATCACAGGAACGGCAGCAAAAGCAGACTAACTTCTCTCTGAGTCCTTCCGGAGATGAAGCTGCCCCTGGTCGGAATTCGGCCGGACAATATGTCGGAGACAAGCGAGGAGGTAGTAAGCCTCTTGATTCGGCGGAACAACCTCAGCGCCGTGGAAATGAGAGCTCAGCCATCGAACAAAGCACGCGCAGCCCTGCACAGGACCCGATGTGTCGCGCCTTTACGTTTCAAGAGTATGATAGTAGGTCGGGGACAGAACCAGAAGTTCTTTCGGCATCGGCAGAGAAAGAAAAGGGGACGAGATCTGCTGGCTCTGGGCTACTTCAACCTGAGCTCAAAAGCTGCCGCGGCGAGCTTTTTATTGAAGGCGGATCTTCATCGGGCCCGCAGTACGAAGGGGGAATCGAACCTGCACGAAACGTCGATGAGTCCCACCTCGCAGTCCTCGGATTGATCGACAGTGAAAATTCCGTGGTAGCTGATAGCATTCTACGGTCAACCCCACTGGTGCGGTCTTCTTCATCGCGAAAAGACGAACCCGAAGTAGGGGTTTCACATCATGATCACGAAGCAGGATGTGAAAGGAACGGGACGCCACCGTTACGATGGCGTAACGGTGGAGAAGAAAACAAGCAGGGCTACCAAGCGCCAGCCGCAACGATTGGCGAAGGTATAGCAGGTGGTCCCGGACTTCTCTCCGCCCCTGTAGTTCTTGCATCGAACTTGCAGCCGCCCCTCGTTCCTTTGAGAGCCGAGACGGGCAAAGCAACAGTCTTGGAAAATATGCCGGGCTCATCTCCAGCGCCTTCCGCGCTTATTTTTTCGTCGAAAGAGCAGGCCACTGAATTATCAGGAAACTATCGACCAAACGCCGCCAGCTCTCCTGGCGAGAACACGAATGTCCAACGCCAATATGGAACAAATTACGTTGAAAGCATCAACTCTGCAACACCAACGCGACGTCATCTCGCCACTAGTATTGCCCCCGATGCCAGTGCTCTACTTGGAACGTCACATGCGCTAGAAGTCCCGCAGCTCGTGCAGCCTGGGGTAACGTTAACAACTGGAACAAACAGTCAAAACACGATGCAAGAAGTCCTCAGTGCGCCGACTACGGCACACCATTTGTCACATCCGACTTCTTCTTTGGTGAATTTATTTCCGGCGCACCAGTCCACCGCTTCCTCAATCCGGGGCAAACTTGTCGATCCGGAGGATGACGATCACGAGGAAATTGAACAGAAAATGATGGACGACGAGGAGTTGCACGATCTACACTTGGAAAACCATTTGCTGAAGTCCAAAGCCTTACTCGTCCTGGCCGAGGCCGCACCGTCGCAAAACTCGCTCTCCTTTCGCGGCTGCAGTAGCTGCTGTGACAAAAGACGGAACAAGATGAACGGAACTACGACAACCGCGCCAGGACGGCGAACGAGACAGAGCAGCTACTTTGCATCAAGTAGTGGTCTCTTGCTGAAAAGACCGAAAATCACAGTGCAGCAGCTCGTGAAACAGATGAGAGCGAAAGATAAAATAAACCCAAATTCTGGTGGAAGCGGGGCTGGTGGTGGTACTGCTTCTTCGGACCACGGGAAGAACAAAAATGTTGGAGCTCCTGGACCAAGCTACACAACTTCCGTTACGTCCTGGCGGCACGAGCGAGGCAGCCAGCGATTTATCCCACATTGGCTGCAGAATGTGTCGGAAGGCACAAAGTTACCGCTCGCTATCACCGTTTTCACGGCTTTGTGCGCGACCTGGGAGATTCATTCTCAGGTTTTGGGAGACCACCAGTCCATCGGGATTCCCTGGACCAGCTCCGGTTGTATTGTCGTCTTGAACATGTTATCAAATGCAAATACGTCTTGGTCTGGAAGATTGCCAGATTTGTCATGCTTGTCTGGCATGACTCTTAAATCTGTCACGCACGTTACCCAAGATCCCCCTTTTGCTGTCATGCAGAAACGCAGTTTGTCATGCAGAGTAGGCAACACCTAGAAGGTCAAAAGCTTGTCATGCTGAGCCAGCATTTGTGGCCTCTTCATGATACGCCACCCGGCATCACAAGTTTCCAGACCCAGACAGTTTTACAATCCATACATGTGGCAACTCGGTTCGGTGGAGCGGCTCGCGTCGCAGGCGGTGTTTTACTTGATTGGGACGCTCTGCGCAATCGTCGTGGCTTTATTGTATGTACTACTACTGTTGTACGGGTTACCGCGGAGAATCGTCACAGTTGCAGATCCGATGCCGGAAGACGTCGAGGGGTTGGTGGATCCGCATGCGAATCCGCAGATTTTTCATTCCGCAGTGCATTTCTTACCGGAAAAGGCGAGCTATTTGGCGACGTTTGTGATTGCGAATTTCGTCGTCATCTGGGTCTTCGAAACGGCAAAAGCGTATTTGCCGCCGCACTTCACCAGGCCTTGTCACATCGGCTCCCTGACGTTCAACATTGTCAGCTTCGCGTCGCTTGCAGTGCTGTTCAAATACGAGACGAAGGTATGGTGGTGGACGAGCATGATGATCGTGCACCATAATCAATTGCATTTTTTAATGTTTTCCTCGGTTAACATCCTGTCGTAAGCTGTAACTGTATCCAGGACGCCGACGCCTTGCGTCAGAAGTTTACATGAAATCCATTTCTGTACAGCTACCACTACCTACATCTTCAGTTAAACCAAAATACACCTCCAGGTTAACGCCCTCGGCCCCATCCTGGATAACATCGACCAGGCCCTCAGCAACGACTTCACGTACGACATATTCACAACTATCTGGCGTCGGCCGCTCGCTGTGATCGCCGCCATTCTGGCTACGCTGCTGTTCGGCTTAGCGGTGCCAAACCTTCTTCCCCTCTGCTCTTTGAAAAAGACCCGGGTGGAGATTTTAAAGAACTGCAAAAACTCGGCCGGATTAGTGATGGACGTGTTGCTATTGACGCTGAGAAATAGCGGGAAGAAGAAATACAACAGCATTGAAGCGAGAATTCACGCGGGCGCCATGCTGTGTTCCTCGGATGGAGGCGGGAGAAAATCGTTGAACGAACAGGATTTGCTGACCTGCAACGCCGGGTCGCCGAGTTCAGCGGGAACGAGACACTCGATTGTGTCGAATGTTGGGGGGATCGGAGGGGCTGCGTTTGGTGGGAGTAGTACTGGGACCATGCTAGGTTGTTCCACGAATCTGAATCATCCTAGCCACCATAGTTATCTTCCGCATCACACCTTCAACAACGGCGCTTACGCGACGAAGATGAGCTCTCACAGTGTAGCAGCGCCGGGAGTTGTGGGTGGCTGCATGATCGTCCCGACCCACCCTGTTGGCGTGGTTCCGGCCGGCCGAGACTCGTTAGGTTGTATCTCGGAAGGCCGGGAATCCGCGTACTCCACACTCATTACGAACGAGCAGCACCAGGCACCACCGCACCAAATCGCTGCGGCGTCGTCCAATACTAACCGCCGTTGCAGCAACCGGAGTGTCTCGTGCGACAGCCGAAACACAAAAAGTATCCTAATCCCCGTTTCGACCGAGTCGAATGAGGAGCAACATGGGCTGCAAAGCGTCGCAGAAGTCGGAGATCTTTTGCACGAGCCCTGCGAAGATGAGGAAGTAAAGGCTGATAGGCACCAGCAGGAGATCGTTGACTGTGCTGAAGATCTTGATGACGTTCCAGGTAACGACGACGTGTCCCCTGTTCCACACCCGGATAGCAACAAGACTGGTTCTGAAGCAGTTCTTGTGGAGCAACATCTTCCTGATCTGCCGCTTCCACTAGTGCACGACCGCCGGGCTCGCAGAAGTGTAATCCCCGATATTGCAGCCGACTGCCACGGTGCGGTCGCCCTGGAGGCGGGGCGCGGCTCTGGCATTATCATACCGAGACCAGAAACGAATACCTTTGATAGTCGACACCGGACCAAAAGCTTAGGCTCTTGCGACATGTTTTCGTACCCGGCGTTGACATGCAGCGAAAGTAGCAGCAGCTCAGAGGAAGAGAGTGAGGACGACGTAGTACAAAAACAAGACCTCCAAGATGGCAAAGAATCTGATTCCGAGTTGTCCAAGCCTCTCCTGCCCTTCCCCCTCACACTCGCGATGGAGAGCTCGCATTCTGTAGTTGGAGCGCCACAGACGCCCTGCAACAAATTGTCCAAACACCGGCAGATGTTCTTCCGGCGGCCAAAAAAGGAATTGAAGAAAAAGAAGCGCAGTAAATCGTTGGAGAACAAGCTGGCGAGACGGCGGTTGCACCACCATCACCATCAACATCATCGAGGTACAACTACAGGGCTTGTTGAGGCGGGAGACCATGTCGTTTTGATGCAACAAGGACGAGATCAAGATCATCTTCACGCCAGCGGAACAGCAGCAATGAACCACGGTTGCTCGTCCCCCCCTGCACGGCGGCATCCGAAGAAATCCGGCAGGTTGCTTCCCCGTTCGAACACGGGAAAAGTTAGAAGCAGTTCGAGAAACAACTATTCTGGGCGAAATCTTCTTCGAAGTGGAAACTTGGTTCTGTACAACCAGGCGCTAAGTGCCTCCTCCTCGTCTTCAAAGGTAATCCACTGGGGCGGCGCGACCGGCACGCAAGGCAAGCGTTTGTCACAGGGTGGAGCTGGTGCGCCGGACGGTCGCAATCCCGGGCACCGGTCCTCACTTCGGAGAACTACAGCGAAGAGCGCAAGTAATTCCGCGAACAAGCAGCCGACTTTGAGTTTGATTGGCCCCGATGGCAAGCCGTTGCTGACAGATTTGAAGATGCCGGTACCCCTGCCACCAGCTACGCCTCAGGAAAGCACGAGTACTATGGGAGCTCTTGGTGCTCATTCGCAGATACAACAATTTCATCCCCGGCGCAGTTCTACTCACGGAACGACCGTCGTCGGTGGTGCTGTTGGCAGAACGAGCATCAACCGAAAAAGCCTGACCGGTAGAAGGTCAAGTTGTTCGAAATACAACGATCATGATCAAGCAGCAAAAAACGATCCGAATTTTCCTAGCGTGGTTCCTGCTGTTCAACGGCCGTGCTCATCCAGCTCTTCGCTGCAGGATGTCGTGGTTGTGCCCCCACTTTCCCTGACCTGCGAAAAAGAAAAACTGGTCGAAAAAGAAACCACGAGAACGCGAAAAACGAGTTGCGCCGATGTAGTCAACACCGAGCTGGGTTGTGATTCTGCTCTGGGGCCGCGGAAGAGGATGATCGCGGAACAACAGACAACGACCGGGGGACAGGGAATTCGTAGACGGTTGGTCAACAGCGTTACCGGGGAGCCACTTTTCAGCGATCATCTCCTTCTACCTGAAGACTCGCCAAAATCGGATGTTGACAGGGAGACCCTTCAGTTCGGTGGCGAAAAAGATAATCACTTCGCGACTTTCCGCCAATCTATTTTTTCGCAGAGTTCATCTGAAGAGCTACACGGCAGCAACGAGGATCTCGTACCGTCCGACTTGCCCGCGCGCTGTCCGAATTCTAGACTGACGTCCGGCTCATCATTCTCATCCTCTTTTGGAAACAAGATTAAGTCCGAGGAGCGGAAGATGCACGCTACTTCCTCGTCCATGTCGCGAACTTCCACGAAGTCCAAAGACGCAGCAGAGCTACGTCCCTCGCAGGCCGAGGCCGAGCGGCCCGAGCACGACGAGCTGCCGGCACCCCCCGGCGGAGTCAGTAACATGAAGAGTTTCTCCAGTCCCTGTCCATTCGCATCTACAGAAGGGTTACTATTCACCTCTTCGCACGACAATTTTTGCTTCCGAGAGGAGCAAGGATTGCCGCGACAACTTGGAGCTGAGAGTCGTGGTGCCGACGATGTTGAGCGAGGAGAAGATGTTGATCCTCGTAATTCGCATCGCCTTGTTCCCAGTTCCAGCAGTACGCTAGAGCAGGTGAACAGTGATCCTCTCCTGCTTCGCACGCCGCCGAAAATGCAGCCGGTGATGTCAGTTCTTACCAGTGACGAGGAAGAGGTGGAGTTTTTATTGAAGCCTCCGGCGGTGTCGGGTTCACAACTTGTGTCGGGGACCAAAGAAAAAAATCCCGATAGTTCATCCGCCTCCCGGACGAGGACAGGTTATTTCCAAAACGAAGCGAGCAACGAGGTTGCCCGCGGCCACGAAGTAGTAGATGAAGGCGAGCAGGAGCGAGAGGAAAATTTGCAGCACAAGCAGGTTTCAGCACCACCAGCAGCAGGTTACAATTACAACTCATTCAACACGAATCCTCACTTCTCTGCGGGCAGTTCTGCGTCGTCCTTAGCATTGGGTCCCGCGGAGGACAACGGTGGAGCTGGTGCGCAAAGTGGTGGTACTAGCGCGAGCCAAGGCCTCCAACCAAGCACTTCTGCTGCAGGCCAAATGTTTTCCGGAAGATATGACCTGCGCGCTACGAAGATGGTGCCCAGCAGCAAAACATCAGCAAGCATTCGGGCACAATCGCTGGACCGGGCTGGTGGTCAGGAACACGGCGGCATTTCTGACATAAGAAGCAGCACCAAGTACTTGGAATGGCTGCACAACCGAAACTTGCGGTCTCGTGGCCTCGCGCACCACCACTCAAGCCTCTTTCATCCTCGGGGGCGGGGGCTGTCGGACAGTAACTCCATGCGGTGTCAGTCTCTCGACAGATCATCCTCCAGGGCCGCGTTGCGGGGACTTGCAACGAATGTTGGCCATCATCTTCAAGGTTCCGGGTCTAGTAGTTCTAGTAACTTTGGTGCTCACCTGCCATTTTATCACCAGCAGAATACAACACTAAACAGCAGCAACCAGCACCAACACAAAAATCACGGCAGCTTTAGTGGTAAGCAACCTGCTTTCATCGAGCACGATCATTTTTCCCACGGCCATCCTCGTTCCCTTCTGCACCACGGCCACCAGCTTACGTTACCGTCCTCTTTCCGTGGTCAGCATCACTTTGCTTCTTCCGCTTTCCGCAACCCCAGCTCCTCCCGAATTCGGAATGCGTCGATAACTTCCAGCAATGGCAGCCGCAGCAAGAACAACAACGGAACCACAACCGGAGGTGCTGGCGGTGGTCTGTGCAGCCCGGAGCACCGGCCGAAGCGGGCGAAAAAAAGAAGGTCGTTTCTGGACGCGCGGACCGCGGATCCGGATAATGTGTACAATTTTCTGAAAACGGCAAAAGTAAAGCGCATGTTCAAGGGCGAGAAAGGAGCGCATGGACACCACCACAGTGGTCATCACGGAGCCAGTGGCAAGCACAGCGGGGGGCATCATGGGCATCATCACCACAGTACGCGCCGCGGGTCGGATGAGAATTTGTTGCATCAGGGATTTTCGGAAAACAACCCAAATTTGCAAAGTCACCAGCATCATTCGCACGAAACTAGGGAGAAAGATGCAGCTCATGGGAAAGGCGACAAACGCAACCATCATCATCATCAGCATCAGGACCGCCACCGGCAACATCATCAGCGAAAGTCCAGTCCACTGAATCTGAACACGATGACTGCGCCCGTTGACACAAATCCGCTCGTTGAGTATCCAACCGGCTCGCCCGTCGCAGCGGCTTCTTCATCTCCTATGCGGCACCACAAATCAACATCTAAGGTTAAGGATCATGACAAGCTGCATAAAGACCACAAGACGTCGCATCGACACAAGCACGGGAGTAAGGAAAAAGAGAAGCTGCGCGACAACTTGAAGCGGAAGCCGAGCCCCGGAGATCGTTCGGAGCAAATGGAGGAATTTAACCTGACCAGTCCGCCAGCGCCACCGGGCAACATGACAGCGAACTTGCAGTTTGGCGAGATCAAAGATTTTTATAACCAGGAAAACAAGATGAACTTTCATCAGGCCGCTGAATTCTGCTTACCACAAATGAGCGTGCGCAGTGTCGACCAGGGCGGTGCTGGGGCCATCGCGGGGAAGAGGAGCGACGAACCCCTAGTACCTCTCCGCGATCACGCGTTGCAGTACGGCAGTCAGGGTTCGAACCCGGCGGGCGGGGCTTCGATGACGCACTATCACCAGGCACAACTACCAGGTAGCTCCACCGGCGGGGGCCCAGCATCTGCAGCTCCCAACCTACTCCTCCCAACGTCTCCAACCTTACCGCAGAACTGCGAATCCAGCTTTCACCTTCCGTCCGCACCGCAGGTTGCCTTGCCGCGATCTATCACAGAAGCGACCTACGAGGGGAGCAGCGATCCCGGTGGGGCTGCTGTTGTGATGCACGGGGAGCAGCAACTACACAGCCAGAGTCTATTCCGGCGGTCACAGAGCATCAGCAATCCTAACCTCGAGTGCAGTGGTGCGCGAAGCAACAACAATTCTGCTGGTAGTAGGTCTGGTGGTGCTTATCTTGCGCAACATTTAGGTCCGTCGCCGTCCACCGCGGAGAATAGCAGCTCGACCGGGACGCTTGTCGGCCTTGTCTTACCTCCGCCAAACAAGGGCGACAACACCAGCTTCCGTTGGGACGAACACAATCAGTCTTCAACAAGAAAAACTACAACTACCCACGAAGCTACTGCTACTTCAAGGGTGCACTTGCCTCCTATCGTAGTTCCGGGAGGACCGCGGGAGCCTGATGCTCCAACCGGGTTGCCTGGTGCACCACCAACATCAACGTTGAATTCAGGACCTCTATCCGGAGGTAAACCGCCGGGCTCGGGCAATCTAGTACCTCGCTGGCCGAGTATGAGTGACAACCTCGCGGATTTGGGCTTGGCACGTTTTCCAGTGGACACAACGACCTCGGAAGAGAACACTTCGAGATCGCCCAGTTTGGTCTGTGTGACTTCGAAGAAAAATGTACTGGGACCACGGCCCGCACAGCACGACGAGCACGCGCTGCACCTGGAGAAGTATCCTGGGCGACAAGTGGATAAACAGGGAATGGCTATATCTTCAAACGAGCATGATCATCATCGCCACTTTAATGCTCCAGGATCGCTTCACCACCACCACCACTACGCTAAGTCCGCTCCGAATGTGGACGAGAACTTCGACTCTCTCGTCGGCACAGCGCAGCACGAAGCTACACAGCAGCATGATCACCACCTCCATCGTCGTCTCCGAACAACTAACACCAGCAGGAAGACCAGCAACGTCAGCTCGGCCACCGTGACCACCTCCGCTTCGAGAACGAGCCGAAACACAACCAGCACGTCTGCCTCCGCACTAATGGCCGCGTCGAAAGAGGAGCAGCGAATCGCGGAGGAAAAGTACCAGGAGGAGAAATTAGAACTGGAGCACAAAATCCGCGATTTGTTTCGGACAAACAAGATGCTCAGCGAAGATTTCCAAACAATTTCCACCTTCAATTTCTTCTCCCGACTGAGTTTGTCGGGCATTTTTTCCTCTTGTGCTGGAAATCGTTCGAATCATCAACATGGAAGTAGCAGCTACAGAGGAGTACAGCAACAGCAAGGAACGACTGCACAGCAGCAAGGAACAACGGGACCTACCGGTTTGATGAACAACAACTACCAACCTACGCCGGACCAGCAGCAAGACGAAGCCGACATGGCCGGAACCTCGACCGAGCGTGTGATGCGTGTGAGTAAGCGGCTGCGGCCGCTGTTTGCCCGAGTGATGACCGTGGAGTCGCCGACAGTGTACATTGATTTGCCGATCTACGAATTGGTAGTGTTGTTCAAGCGGCTGCAGGCGTGTTTGACTCTGTTGCTCGACCCAGCGCTGGAACAGCAGCGGGAAAATCCGATTTTGGCCTCCGAGCTGTTCGGAAAAAAACCAAAAGTAGTCCGGAAATTTGGTGAGTTTGGTGGCAGGGGTACAACTTCTGGGGGTATGAATCTAAATAACGTCGAGCAGAAGGTGGATCACCATTTTCAACAACAGCAGCCGGAGAATCTTCATGGGCAGCTACCCAACATGAACTACAGCAGCTCCAACAGCTGCGCAGGCAACTCAGCGATGTTGACCACAGGAACGCTAAACCATGCTTCTGCTGCTTTCGACAATTTTCAGCAAACCACGACTACTGCGACGTCGCGAGGAGGTCCTCCTACAACTTCTATGGGCGTTCATCTCCCCCCACCAGGTGGTGCTTGTCCACCTTTGGGCATGTCCACCAATCTCGCCGGGTCGTATAGTAATACACCAGGTGGTGCTGCTCCTGCGGGGCAGCTGGTGCATCAACCAGGAACAATTCCTCCACCTCCTCCCAGCGGGCCGCAGAGACTGACCAACGCGGCGCTGCGATCTTTGCTGGTGCAGCACCACGACCACGGGTCGGTGAAGGATTTCGAGGACGACGAGGCATCGAATGTGAGCACGAACGGTTCGGAAAAGACAACTGTGTTTGTGGAAGACTACGACATTGAGGAGGAGGACTCGGACGACGCGGGAGTTGTAGAGGCAGAGGAGAGTTGTGCAGCCACGACAAAAGCTACCACTGGTCCTTCCGCGGGTGGTCATCGAGGTGGACACAACTGCAAGAACGTTCGCAACGCCGCACAGGAGAGTTATGACAAATATGACCAAGAGCGGCAAGAAGAAGATCGTGAAGGAAACGGTGCGCCAGGAGCGTCTACTTGGGCAGAATTCCTTCGCAGCTTGTTCTGCTGCACGCGTCGCAGAAAAACGGACCGGAAAACCAAAGGAAACGCACTGCTGAACAAGATGAACAAAGTTGCAACTTCTACCGCTAGTTATGGCCAGCTGGATAGAAGGACGAGCCATAACGGTAGAAGTACTTCCAAAGCGCCACACGACAACATTGACAAGTTCTCTTTGGAGTACGATTTGGAGGCGCAGCGGCCACTACTGCACGAGGAAAATGACAAAGCCGACGCTGAAGACCTCGACGACCAGGAGAGTTCGTGCTCCTACACACGGTCCACAAGCAACATTTTTTTCCTGCAAAAGTTGGACAGAAGCAGCTCCAGCACGACCGCGGCGCCCGGCGGGCCGGCCTCGACGTCCGTTCCGACAAGGACGGGTTCGGAGTTGATGGTTACAAATGGTGTTGTTTCCTTAACATCCGGTTCCTCCAACTGTCCACCTGCCGCGTCTGCTTCCCTGTACCCGCTCGCCAACAGCTGCCGCGCGGTAGAGGACACGGTGTATTTGTACATCGTGAAGAAGGGGTTTGAGCACATTTTGCAAATATGTCAGGAGTTGATCGTGTTGTGCGCGGAGTGGCGCCTGTCCTACCAGATGCACGCGCGGTACTACCGGGAGCAGGGGATCCCGCAGGACCTGTCCCACGGGCAAATGTGGCGGCTATCGTTCTTCGTGATGAACTTGTCGCTGATCATCCGGGAAACGATCCACTTCGTCCACGAGGTCATCGCGTTGGTGATTCCCGATCATCTGCCCCGGGTGCAAATGTACCTGCTCGACGAGTTCACGGAATTACTGGAGCAGATCGACCGCTGCCACGATGTCACGGCGTTTTAGGAAGTGCTGTGGACGCTGAGAAGGTGAAAGATGAAAGAAGGAACATACAATTAGCGACTCCACCATCCACACCGTCGTGGATCTTCAACATCAACATACAAAAAATACTAGCGATTTGGATGTATTTTCTCATAGTGAGTACGTACTGGAGTAAACCCCGCCCTGCGACATGAACCGCGAGAACTCTCTTTTTCGCATGTTTTCTAATCTTTTTGTCCAGCAAATCTAATGAAAGAAACTACAAAGAGATGAAAAGTATCACGCTGCTCACAGCTTAAAGACTTCACTTCTTAGATGTACTCGTAATTTTCTAGATCTCGGCCTGGTTCCTTTGGAGGTGTCTTTTTGTTTTTCTGCCATGTCCTAAAATAACGAAACGCTTTCACGCGTAGAACACGACGCCGGAAAAGAGCGCAAGCGGCAAGCCTTTCACTTGGCAAGTTATCTTTCTGTGAGTGTTCCGGCATAGTTCGCCAGCTGCGCGAGCGCCGGCGCGTGTCGTTTTGTTCTCGTTGTGTCTGTGGTAGCGTCTTCAACAGCGCCACTCTCGCTCACATCCGACCCGCTCGGCTTCTTCAGTCCCTGCGCAAGATCGCGGCGGATGACGGGGGAAAAATCGCCCAGGGGGAAGGCGCAGGCGATGGCGATGGACGGGCCCAAACACAAGACGGGCCGGCCGCTGCGGGGCTCGTTGGAAAAGCTCGACGCGCGCACAACGCGCGCCGGCGCGGCCAGGCGCCCTCACCTATGCGCGCGCCCTTAGATATGGGCGCCCGTGAGTCTGCCTGGCGCGCGCTGGCCCGGGCAGACATTGGCGGGCCGCCATGCACCGCGGGCGCGCGGGGCGCCGAGGAGTCAGCCTGGCCGGGTCTGCCCGCCCGTCTTTGCGCCGTATCCGGCGGACCGGGCGCGTGGGGCCGCGGTGGGCCCGTTTCATTCTTTTCTGCTTCTAAGAGCCAGACAGGGCGGCGGAAGTCAACTCGGCCCGCTTCCGGTTGGTAGGAGTGGCTCCGGGTTTGTCTTGGCACTTTAGACAAGAAACCATTGCAATTCTTACGGGCATAAGAAATCTCGGCGCTATCCTAAGACAGCGACAAGCCGGAGCGGTAGACAGACTATTGCGGCTGCCAAAACTGCGACTGCGCCAGGAAGTAAGAACGCAAGCAGCAAAGTTTGGGCGTCCTATAGAAATCCTGAACCCAAAGAACTGCCAGCCTTGTCACATTGTCACAAGGCTACGCCAGCGCTAGCTCGCATGCTGGGCCGCCGTAAATATTGGCCCGGGCGAGGGGGCGCCCCCTTGTGCCTCGCCCGCCCTTTTTTTTTCTGCCCGCCACCCTGCCGGCGCGCGCGCGGGGCTACGGCTGGCCTTTCTGGGGGCCGCGCGCCTGCGTGATCGCAAATTACGGAGAGACCCACTTTGTGCACAGACGAGGGCGGCGGCCCGGCACATGCGGCGACTTCGGCGACTCTGCAAGCCGGCGCGCGTCCTAGGGTGGGGGGGCCGGCCTTGGTTGGCAAAGTGATATCGTTGGACAGCCAAAGTGCTTGTCTACGTACTGGCGCCGCGCGCCTTGCTAGCTAAGCTTGAACGGCAGGCCGCGGGGCGGCCTGATTTGGGCGCTTGCCGTTTGCGCCCCCTCTGTCTTCACCGTCGTGTTTTCCTGCATGCTTTGCCGGCGCGCCGACGCAGCGAGCTCGGGGGAAGGGAAGCCGGGCCCCTCTTTTCTGCTCTGGCGCCCCCCTGCGCACTACGATTGGCAAGCCGGAATCGTTGGCGGCGGTGTTCGTTGTGTTCGAACGACCGCGCGCGCCCGATGCCGCCGGGCATTTTTTGTGGGCGCCTGCGCGGCCGGGTGAGGGTCCGTGCCTTGCCTAGGAGATACCTCTCACCGACCAGGGAAGGATGCTCTGAAGTTGTTTTTCCTTGAGCCCGGCGAGCTGGTGCTTGTGACTTTAATCGCCCGCGTTCTGCCACGCGCAAGGCCAGTGCCGTGCTTGGAAACAAAATTGCATTGGTGTTAGCCGAAATGGAACCCCAGAACGACGTAAGTGCAATCGCGGGCGACATGAGAACTCTGAAGATGTGATCGGTTTGCATGACGATAGTGATAGATGGGTCAACATTCTCAACCATCGTGGTACTTCGCTTAATATGTTTGAACCAAAATAAGCATGTCGATCAGTGTGTTTTCTTTAGCTACCCTGCTTCATCACAAAATACAGAAGCTGTTCCTTCTTATGTGAAGAACATGAAATAGAAAAGAGAAAAAACATTCGACAGCAAACACATAAGGATAATGCACAGTATCTTTGTTTCTCAGGCCGCATACCACAGCGATGCTCAATATAACTAGTTCAAGCAAATAAACTAGAAAAAGAAACTATGTAGGACTTTGAAATCGAAAAATGTGTCTGCCTGCCGTAGCACTCCAGCATGCAGCACGTGCGCAGATGAATGTACTTTGAACTTGACACTATACACAACATAGCAAGGGCAAGCGACCCTAAATAGCCGACTGATCGTTAGTACGCACGACCGTAGTTAAGCATTCGACGCTAGATCTTGCTTCGTGTTGCTGGACGATCACGCTTTCGAATTTTTATACGCAGATCAAAGAGAGGACCGAGACCTGTTAGCACCATTCCGAAACAAACAGAATGTCTCTCGAGTTTGGCGATCTCGTGCTTGTAATCGGCGACCAGCACATACCGCAGCGAACCCGCGACCTTCCCGAATGCTTCAAGGATTTGCTGCAGACGGACAAAATCAAGATCGTGCTGTGCACGGGCAACTGCGGTAGCAAAGCCGTGTTGGATGGATTGCAGGGGCTAGGTAAAAAAAAGTAGAGTTGTTTGTTTGTAAAAGCTGATGTTGCGCGGAGGCAGGTGTTGTTTTTATGCTCAGTTAGATGCTGTGCGGAGCGCAAGCGGTCCTTGCCAAGCAGGACTTATTTTTTCACCAGGAACGAAGCTTCTTCTTCGCTGCAAAGGGTGTTGGCATTGCAAATTTCCCCACCACGACCTGCAGGTCACGAAGTCCACTGCGTCCGCGGCGAATCAGATGACAAGGCGATCCTGGGCCGCGAACTCCCCGAGTCGCTCGTGGTCGAGGTGGGCGCGTTTAAGGTGGGCATGATTTCCGGGTACCAAATACGCAGGAAAAGAACTGTGTGAGTGTAAGTTTCTTGGAGGAATAGCATCACAAGTTTGCTCTGCATAACACAGAAAACCTGTCATGCGAAGCTAGTACGTGAAAGCACGTACGAAAGTTGCTTCTGATGCATGTCCAGCATGACAAGTGTAGCAGTTTTGCATTTTCTGCAACACAAAGTTACACTAAAACATTTTTTTTCTTGGATACCAAATCCTCCCCTGGAAATCCGACGCCGCGTTGCTCCAGTGGCAGCGCAAGCTCGGTTGCGACGTGCTGATCTCCGGGCACACGCACGAAGCCCGGTGCTTCGCCTTGGAAAACAAGTTGTTTCTGAACCCGGGCTATCAAATGCAAAAATGTCTGGGTCTGGAAGAATGCAATTTGTCATGCTAAATCTGAAGCATGCAAAAATCTGTGTTGCATGATTACCAAAAGTCGTCCAGTTTTGACCAAGTCGGGAGGCAGTTTCTCATGCAGGATAGGCATGGATAAGATCGCACAGAATCTGTCATGCTATGTCCTGCATTCCAGACCTCACAGGTCATGGAAAAGCCGCATGACAAATCGCGCATTCTTCCAGACCCAGACATTTTTACATTTGATACGGGCAGCGCGACCGGGGCGGCGCAGCACTACGACGTCAGCCAGCTCTTCGCCAACGACTTCGCGAACGCGGCACGGGCCTTGCTGGCGACTATGCATTGCAAATATGTCTGGGTCTGGAAACTTGTGATGCAAGTCTGTGAACAATAAGTGCTCTGTAATGCGGCGCCAAGCATGACAAGTTTTTTCGTGCTTCTGTGCTGCGTATTTCGCATGAGAAACTACGCTTTTGCATGACAGGCAAGAGGGCCTTTTGGTGGCCACGCAATACAGAGTGCAGAGTCATGCCGGACTAGCATGACAAATCTCGCAGTCTTCCAGACCCAGACATATTTGCATTTGATAGCGACGGCCGTGCAGCAACCTAGTCCGACGGGTGCAGCCGGTGGACCACCGGAGAGTGCAGCAACAGTGGCGAACTTGAATAAAACCGGGTCTAAGTCCAGTGCTGCAGGACCGGAAGGAGAGGCAGCGACGGTCGTAAACGGAAGAGCAGCTGCGTCAGGGGAGGACAAAAGTGCTGAAACTGCTGCAGAAGAAGCAGATGCAAAGGCGGAAGTAGGAGCTGACGCTGCAACGAACAAGGAGGGAGCTGAAACGAACACCCCGGCGGAACAACAAGGAACAGAAAGTAAATCCGACGAGACCACATCGTCACTACCTACCGCGGAAGGAGCTGAAGTGACGAAAGCTCCGAAAGCCGAGGGTGAGGCAGCAGACCCGGCTGACGCCGTAATGCCGAGTGGCATGAAAAAAATGACTGCCGAGGTCGCAGCTGCTGCTCCGGTCGTTGCAGGTGAAGACAGTGCGCCTGGTGAACAAGGTGTTCCGCCACCACCTCCGCCACCCGCAGCTACCGACCCCGCAGTCAATGCGGTCACAGAACAGATAGCAAATCTCGATGTGGCGGCCGACGTAATGCAACAGAATCCACCGGAGGATGGTTCTGCTGTGCCGGCGGTGCCCGCCGCTCCTGCGCCCTTACCGGCCATGGGACAGTCCACACCAAGCTTCATGCTGATGGCGGTGCAGGGCGCAATATCAAAATGAAAAATCCCCCCTCCCCATATCAAAACGAAGTCTGTGATGCTGGATTTGCGTACACACATCAGATTTGTCTTGCTGGAGAGGACTGCAGGCCCATACCAAGCCTGAGCAGAGAGGTTTTGGGCTGGGCTCTTAGCATGAGAAACGTCTGCGCTGTAGGCCCAACAGCATTACAAACCGCCTTCATAAAGCGGCGGAGCCTGTGAAGTTGCCTTCTTGCAAGACAGAGATGATTTGTGGTCGCAAATCAGCATTGCCAATTACGTACCTTTTCGATATGGGGAGGGGGGATTTTTCCTCACAATACGCAAAGGTGGTCGTGTATGTGTATAAGGAGGAAAACGGCGAGATCACGGTGGACCAGTTTGACCATCAGAAGTTTTAAGAAGCGGCCCGTGGCGGAATTCTGTTTACACATGAGATGGGGAGGACCTTCAATTGTACTTCGGGAAGAGGATGAACAACCCCCAAAACTTCTTCAAGCATATCCTGATTGAAGAAATTTTCGTGAAAAACAAAGAGTATTGACCAGCGCAAAGTACGTTGGTTTCTTCCCACGACGTCGTATATATGAGTACAAGCTCGACCTCTATATCTTCGTATTTCCAAGAACAGAACGCAATCCCTGCTGACCGATCGTGATGCTCTCCTCCTCGTCCTCCATTTGGGAGTTTATTTATCACTTCCGCATACCTATTCGCCTGAGCTGATGAAGATGCGATGCTCCTTGCTTTATTGTGCCTGCGTTGTTCGACTTCAACTGCTATCTCGGAAAACTAGCCGGCGGATAAGAATAAATCCAAATCCGTCACCACCAAAATATCACTCACCTTGAAATTGCACATAAAACGAACTTCTTCTGCAAGAATCGGCGCCAGAAAAATTGGGCTGGATCACGGAAGAATTAGGATCAATTTTGGTTGTGTAAAAGTTCAAGAAATAAACCAAGTTGGAATGAAATCGGGCCGCTTTTTGATCTGGAAATTTGTCCGTAAAATGTAGGAACAAGCTCGAAGTAGTTGCACAACGCACTTGCATGGTGAAGAGAGTTGAAGCGCAAGATATTGTTCTAGCGTAGAAGTTAATTGAGCACTCGTGTGCTTGTGTTTTCTCACTATTTATTCCCATCCAATCTCCACACAGGCACGGCGACAGATTGCGAAGAACGTTGAATCGTATTGGAATAGAAGAAGGACCGGTGTAAAAAAGCAACCAGTAACCACGTAAGATATAGTATAAGCAGGCGCGCAATAAGAAGAACAGTAAACAAAAACATACGAAAAGGAAAAGCGTATTGAGCGTCTCTTTGTCTGGCGGAACGCCTTTCCAGACGACGCCACTCCTGCGGTTCCTCGATTGGCTTGCGACACCCATAGTCAAATAATCGAGACGAAAAGTTCTATTTTGGTGGACCTGTTCTTCTTGATCTTGAGGGAGCCGCAATTCCGTTTCTCCACCTTGTTTCCAAGCACCACGTCGTTTTTCGGATTTCGATACAAGAACCTAGAAGCCTCAAGAACATTGTCCTGATCGTCACCATCACAAGCTCTAGCTGTACCGGCGACAAGTTGAAATCGCGCTCGCGGCAAGAGCGTGTGCTTGTAAGTAGCGAAGAATAGTAGACGACCGCGCGACGCACCAGGATTCAGTTTTTGTCCATACCAGGAGGAACTAATACAGCACGCTGCCGAAACCCCGCAAGAAGCAGAACGGCGACAAAACTCCTGCCGCGCACGACGTAAAAAAAATCCCAACGAGGGTACTTAATTCGCGACTATAACAAGATCGCTCTTTGCTATCTTCCCAGGTCACCGGCAAGGAGAATCCACTTCAGCCCGAGACAATGGCGATGGCAGGCGTACCGACGGCAGAAGACTACATGGCGGGCGGCCAGGCGAAAGAAATCAAGAACCCCTCACAGGAGCAGCTGCAGCAGGCCTACCAGCAAATAGAATCAGAAATCGGGCAGATGATTCAGAAGATTGCGGATTTGGACCAGGAGGTATGTAGATGTACTTCTTAAGTTTGGCCGCCTGTAGATGAATTTGGTATGACATCATGATTAGTCTTGTTAAATTCTCATCCTGTTCATGTTCACTTTGCACTCAGTCGTACACGATCATGTAATGGTTATTGCGGATTGAAAATGCATCGATGCAGCGCAGTCTGTAGTTTAGCATGACAAAAATAAACACACAATTACAATCAGAAACGAGAACACGAGCTGGTTTTGGTAGCCATGAAGGGCGTTCCAGACGACAGGCGATGTTGCAGAATGGTCGGCGGCATCCTCGCAGAACGTATTGATTTGTTTTCTTTGCTTGATCGCAATAACACAAAATGGCTCTCCCAAGCCAAATGAGCATCACAAAAATGCTCCTGCTGGTGCTCGAATTTGTCATGCGATTTATCCATGTGTGATCATAGATAGAAAGATAACTTTCCTATTTGCAATTATGCAAGTTACATCCAAGAACCTTTTTTATCGAACGAAAACAACAGGTACGGTAAAAGACGTGCGACCACAGGTGGACGATAACAAGGGCAAAATTGAGAAGGCGATCGAAATGTTTAAGGCGAAATTGGAAGAGAAAGGAAAAACGAGGAAGCTGTTCAAGGAGAAGTATTCGTAATTTTGTTCTTGCCAGCAGGACATCTTCATCAACGACTAGGATGTACAGCTTGGCCTCGCAATTATATTACGCAACCCTCCGAGTCCGAAGTCCTCGTGCTGATTTTGGTTCTCTCTACTTGACGAGGTCGATCTTGTTTTCTTGTGCACGACCTTGATTGGAATTTTTTTTATTTCTCTATCAGATACAACATCGTCGATCCCCAGGCCGACAAGCAGGCTGCGGCCACACAAGCGACACAAGGCAACAACCAGGGCAGCGGGGGTGGTGTGTTGGTGTAAAAAAGAAATGCGATGACAAGGAAAAGACAAAATTGCGGTTTTTTGAAACAACACCCAACGACTGTAACCCGAGCAAGGAATTGCCTTTGGATATAGCAGTTGAAAGCTGCTGCAACATTGACAACACAGGGGCTACCGCTAGTAGTTCTGGGTGCCTGCGACAGTTCGATATAATTGTACACAGATCTTCTATTCTCTGTTGATCGCAAATTTACATTTAGCGATGATGTGATTTGTTCTTGGTTATAGTTAATATGGCTGAACTGGGTGGATTGGTATCGTTCACACTTCAAAAGCAAAACAAGAATGTTTGAGATAGGTTCTTTCCTGTGTTGTCTTCGTCTTGTTCGTCGTCGTAGACAGCTTCAGTTGCATTGGCAAGTTCGTTGCAGCTGCGTTGCAGCTTGGTCTACTCAGCTTTGGGTTTTATCCAAGGTCGAGAGCGTTTTTAGTTACGAGCCGCAGAACGGGCTGTCCGCGAAAGCGCCAGCACGAACAACAGTTTAGGCACGCAACATCGCACGAGATGAGAGAGGAGAGATGTAGTTGACAGGCTTCTTATTTCTAGCCACGTGTCATATTTTTATTTGGGAGTTGAAGATGAAACCAAGGAGGTGGACCCCCAACATTTTCGCACCACTGTTTGGTATATGTAAGTACTTATGATGAAAAGGTTTTTTCGAGCTGTGTCATTGAGTGATGTAGGGCCAGGAGCGTCTCCAAGGGCGACGTGTCCTCAGAAGGTAGCTGCGTGGAGTGAGATGGTTCCATTTGTAAAGGTATGTTGAATCTTCATACGCGGCACATGGCCGCGGCGGAATGTGCCTCGGTGCCTACGTTGTACCACCCCGCATCTCAAGCTGCACCCTCAACTACATTGTATATGCGAATATAGGCTGCAAATATCCGAGGAGCTGTTTAGCAGCTCAAACCGGAGCCGTGCGTCTGGCAGCGCAAGAAATAAATATCGGCTCCACAGTTAACTTTAACATGGCTTGGAGGTTGCTCGACGTCAACTCGTTCTGTCTGGTACGGTTACTGAGACTCGCGTTGCTTTGTCGGAAGAAGAAGAACGATCCGTCGAATACAGTTCGTGCTGTGTGTTTCTATTGTCCAAGAACGATCACCACAACACTGCTGGTTTTCTTTCTGATTCTGCTGCCACTGCAGCTGTCCTTCGCGCTGGTCCGCCGGGAGCAGCTTGACAACGACACGACGGCACTGGTTCCTAGAATAGTGGGCAGCGGAGCCACCTCTGAAGCTGATGGGGCGACCACCGGCCTCCAGCCAGACAAGAGCAGGGAAAGAAGTAGCGGCGCTTCTGGTGACATCAATAATTACATCCAGACTGACGAGAGCGCAAAGAACGTTTTTATTCGATCTCCATTTCCACGATCTCGATCCAAAGGCGCTGCTGAAGTGAAGACGAAGGCGGAGCAGACGGCAAAAATAGGCGTTTTCCTCGACCACGAGGGATCCGAAGGTGGTGGGTATCGGTATGACGGTACCAATGATGGTGGACGAACAACTACGAGAAGAGAAGACCAAGAGGCGAACGACCATGATCAGAGCAGCGGCCCCACGTCGAGGACGACCCTTCATCTCTCACGACCCTCTCCTACAGCAACAACGTCTCCCGAAGTGCCATCGGGGAAAGGTGGACATGAAATAAACACTACACCACGTCCTCGTGGTCGTCGACCAGATGATGGCACTGGACATCACGACGTGAGGCAGGAAGACCGTAGTCTTACAACTACGAGAAATGCAACAGCAACTCCAAGTGCTGCAACAAGTAGACCGATAAGTAGTTCCACCAGTCTTCACCGCACTAGACCCGGACAGGTCACCAGAGTAGCGACATCGGCGAGCCAAGTCGATCAACAGGATCTGGGCGCACTAGCGGGGGACGCACGCGAATCTGCATCTACTGCTTCACGGCAAGTCTATGTGGACACGAAGGAAGTTCCAATACACATTGGTCCTTTCGGGCAGATTACGCTGTGGAAAATCTAACGTCATCACGTTGATCGCGAATGCTTTGAATTTGATCCGTAGCCATTTTGGCTCAAGGATGAGAGATTATCCTTCGTTATCGAATTCTTTCTGCCTCCTACTCTCCGGAGGAAGCAAGAATCTATTTCATCGTGGGGGGGGAGAGAGAAAGAAGAAGGGCTTTTTCTTTTCTGTTTTTCCCTTTTTCCTTCCCTGCCTGGGGACGGAAGTATGAGAGCTGCCCGCCCAGAGAGACTCTTCATGCTATCGGCTCTCCGCTCTCACGGTGTTTTTCGCAGCAAAATTATTTTATAAGTTTCAAATTCAAATCATGACCGACGATCACCGAAGAGACAGGCTCTACGCCGTCGCCCGAGATTTCATCAAAGGAGAGGGGAAGTACAAGGACACGCGCATCACAGACCAGCAGGTGATTTCTTTCCTGGACGAATGGGCAGGGGGCAACGCGACGCTCTGGAATAAAACATCCACCCCCATCCAAGACCAGTCGCCCGAGGAAGAAGAAGTGGACCAGTTCCTAAGCGGTTTCCAGACGCAAACACCGACGATCCAGTACACCTACCAAAACCTCCCCCCATTGCTACCGAACGCGATGATGGGGCCGGACATGCAGGCGAACATGATGGCGCCAAACATGTTCGGGAACCAGTTGATGATGCACAACAAGATGGCGAACAGTATGATGCAGCACCAGTTCCTCGGGATGCTACCAATTTCCTCGTAGATCTGGCGGATGCAGTCAACAAGGGCAGCATATTCTGGCGCGACGGCCTGCCCTTCGCCATCTCGAGGACCACCAAAGGAGGCTGGTGGCAACAGCACCATGACGTAGTAACCACCATCAGCGACGAGGAGAAACTACAGATACGCACCCGCTTCGAGGAGATGGATTCGAAATCATCCAGCCAGAAGATTACGGAACAGTTAGACCAGCGCTGCATCCAGCCGCCGCTCATAGAGGTCAAAAGCGATGAGAAGAGGTTCCCTCTCACCCTCTTCGTCCTGAATACCAGGGGCTTCCGATCCGGAAAACCTGGCAAAGACTACCGCCCGGAACTGCTAGCGGCAGCAGAAGAGCTGTATGGCGCCCGTGCCATGCTGTTTCGCTGTTCTGATTTTGGGCGCGTTTTTTTCGCGTCCCTTTTTGGGCGCCCCAAACCGCCAGAAACCAAGGCGGTGGGCGCCTCAGAAGGGCGCCCCTTTTGCCGGCTCCCCTGCGTCGTTTTACCCAGCGGCGATCGATAGAATCCGCTGGCGATTCGGTGCCGACACAGCCAAAGCCGCTTGATAATTGAAAATATTTTTTGTCAAAAAAGACTTCCGCCCGCTTGAAAACTGCCGGTCGTTTTGCGCGATGCATGGCAAGAAAACTCCCTGGTTAGAGCCGCTCGGTGACCTCAAGGCCGGGGCCGGCAAGAAAACGCCCACGCCCCGGCGGAAAATCTAACGTCATCACGTTGATCGCGAATGCTTTGAATTTGATCTGCAAGAGAGCGAACATGCAGGCAAAAACGAAATTCTTGAAAGTCGTGCATGATTTATTTTCTATTTTTCGTCCTGCAGCTGCAACATAATTTGATGCTTTGATACGATTGTCAGTATGAGTTGTAAGTAGATGAAGTAGTAGTAAGCAGGTATGCCTGCCGTGATGCGAAGATCGGCCTTTGGAAGAATAGATTTTCTAGTACAGGATGCCAGTCACGCTTCAGTGGCGCCGAGACGATAGCGTCGACAACGCCGCAATTTGGTCCTCGAAAAGCTGCGAGGGCGCCGGCCGCTTTGCCCTGGGCCTAGCGTGCGGGCGCGCCAGCTTGAATGTGGTTGACGGGGACTTGGGGCTCACCGCCTGCGCCCCAGACGCCGAGCAGTCAGGGGATAAAGGGAAGTACACCGTTGGCCGCGTCGCCAGCGCAAACGACAAGGACGCGATGGACTTTATGTTCGGGGCCGGTTATCGCGAGAAAAAAATGTTTCAGTCTCAACTTGTAATGCGCACATTCACATTCTTTCTCTTCCGCGACCGGCGAGACTCTTTCTGTCATCATTCTCGACGACATGTTGCAAGAAATGCAAATGCGCATCTCATATGTGTTTTCTACTTGTGCGTCTGATAAGACAAAGGTTTTGTGCGAAGTAGGGTTGAGACCGCCGCGACAGCCTTTTTTCGTGATGTTGGCGTGTGTGTGGCGGACGCGGTGAAAGATGGTGGCAAAATGACTTCCCCTTCCTCCTACCGAAAAACTTCGCAAACCGCACTCAGCGTCGAAATGAACTGCCCGACGGGCACGGAGGTGGTCGGCGGCGGCTGCTACATCTCGAGTTCCTCCAACTGTTATCTGAAGGAGACGCGGCCGAAAGTAGAAGGGTGGAAATGCCAACAGATATGTCCTTCTTCTATCGATACCATGACGGCCGTGGCTATTTGCGTCCGGTCCGATTTTGGACGGTACGTTTTCAAGGAAGAGTTAACAACCAGTAACCCCCCAGGTCATCCGGCAGGCGACGACACGTCATGGTGGACCAGGACCGTTAGTTGTCCCAGGCACACCTACATTATCGGCGGCGGCTGCGCTATTCTTCCGAACAATAACGATCCAGACAATTTCCTCGCCGCGTCATATTTTGTCAATGTGGATTCGACATCTTCGTCTTCGACTCCTGGTTTCAAGTGCACATCCAAGAAGGTGACGTGGGAGGACGGGACGAACAACGCCTATGCCCTCTGCGCCACCCCGATCGCGACCTGCAGCGAGTGGCACGATTCTACGATATTGGCGACGAAACTGCAGTGCGAGGCGGGGCAGACCTACGATGTTTCGAAGGCCCTCACCCTCTGTATGGCGTTCTCAACTGTTACATTCTCATACCGTTACATGATTTGTCATGCAAAATGAGCACCAACGTCCACACAGTGAAGCTGCCTCGCATGACAAATTTTGGAAGCGCTAAAGAGCATGGGAATCTGTGTCGAATTTGTAATGCAAGAGTTGCAATTTCCGGCCTTTTCGTGTTGCTATTCTTGCATCACAAATTCTCCGCGACCCGGTGGCCTGACCATCTGCGGAAAGGTGCCCTATGGGTTGCGTTTGTGGTTTCGGTCGGTTTAGCATCACAAATTCATGTAACAGTTGAGAATGTAACAATTGAGAACCCCATACTCTGCTCGGCGGCCGGAAAAACCTGCACCGCCGCGGACCGCCCCAGTATCAAATGTAAAAATGTCTGGGTCTGAAAGAATGCAACTTGTCACGCCAAATCTGCAGCATGCAAAAATCTGTGTTGCATGATTACCAAAAGTCGTCCAGTTTTGACCAAGTCGGGAGGTAGTTTCTCATGCAGGATAGGCATTGGAAAGCAAGGTCTCGCAGAATCTGTCATGCTAGGTCCTGCATTCCAGACCTCATGAGTCATGGAAAAGCAGCATGACAAATCGCGCACTCTTCCAGACCCAGACATTTTTACAGTTGATACTCAGATGCTGCAAGCAAGTCGAGTGCGTCTGCGACCACGGGACGCCGGTCGCCCTCGGGCACACGTCGTGTCCGGGCGACGGCCAGTCGCGCTGCACCGACTGCGCGGACGGGTACCATCTGAACGAGGACATGGTCTGCGTGGCCAACCAGTGCATCTGCATCCATGGTCACGCGGTCGCGGCCGGCGCGGTAGCTTGTGACCAGGACGGCGCGGAGCGATGCACCGAGGATTGCAACGCGGGCTTTGAGCTGAACCCAGACTCCAAAGCGTGCGAGAAGAAGACGTGCACCTGCCCGCGCGGAACGGGCGCGGAGGGGGAAAAGTGTCCGGCCCAGGGCGCGCACGCCTGCAAGACGTGTGAGGACGGATATCTACTCCGAAACAACGACGCAGACATACCAATCTGTAAGAAGAAGTGCAGTTCGCTGGGTAGCAGTGCATTGTCAACAGGAGCTGCGTCAGCCTCTGTCCTTTCCGCGGCAAGTTCATTTTATCACAAAGAAGGCAGGACGAGCCACATGGCAAGAACACGGGGCACAGCACGACGGCCAGCTGCGTCAAGGCCACCTTCTCCAACGAGGCTAGAGGTCTTCGAGCGAGAGCGAGATGAACGGCGCCCAGATGATGTATTGCAACAAGCGGAGCAACATGACTACATTTTGACTCTTGGTCCACCTCCTGCAGACGACAAAGCTGCGGCCGGAGGCTCTGTTACCCCGTCTGCCCCCACCTCTGCTTCGGTTTCGGAGCGTCGGCTCCGGCGGGTGAGTCCCGCGATAGGCCACGGGAACGAAGGACGATATGGTTTTGATGCAGATGATGTGGTAGAAGTAGGCGAGGACACAAGCAGGAGCAAAAATATTCCCGATACTCGCATCAGCGCAGCGTCGTCCTTGACCACGTCGACGCCGACGGCCGATGGTGCCAGTAGTACAAGCACTGCCACGAGAGTAGGAGATGATGATGGTGCTGATGTTGATGTTGATCCTGCTCATAGTATTCATCTCACATCGACGACACCCGGAGTTGTAGCACAAACTGAGACCACAAGCAATAGATCTTCCGGTCCGTCTTCGTTGTCCCGACTCGCCTCGTCCAGCAGCAACGCGATGTTGACCTCCGCGAAGACCCAAACAGAGGCAGACATATGCGTGAACCGAACCGCCGAGCAAGTGAAAGAAGAGGAAGAGAGCGCGGGAGCGGACGAAACAACACTCACAGGCACCCAAGCCACGCAAGTTCTCCGTGAGTATGACGAGGTGAATGGGTATCTCAGGGAAATTCAATACCGCTGTACTGTTGCGCTTAATTTGTTTACTACAACACAGAAACTTAATAAAAGTTAAACTACAGGTTGGTTTCGCATGCAGCCCAGGCTTGTCTTCTGACACAGTTCGCTTTTTTTAATGGAAGTTAATGTCTAGTATTTTGGAGCAACTTGTTGGGTTGCCAGCACTGCAGCCAAACAGATTGTACTTCCGCCTCCGCGCCCTGGTAGGTACAAGCTAAGCACAGCGTCAGCGGAATTTGTATTGCATAAAGGTCCCGAGGCGGATATTCCCACGTGCGCGTCGCATGAGTGTGTGCCAGAGTATCCATTGCAAAAGATTTGGATGAGGCTAGAGGCGTATTGTTTTGCATATAAAACAGATCATCAGACACGAAATGCGAATTAAGTTGTTATCGTTCTACTTCGACGTCCCAGGTCATGTACAGGTTGAGAGGCGACGGGGAATAGATTTGTCATGCAGTATTGTACGACTGCTCTCGCTGGCACGACGATGCAACTTTTGCACGGGACACACAAAAGGATGCGATAACTTGCTGCATGCTCTTGTGCGAGTCCCTGCTTCCGGTCGTGGAGAACTATTGCTCGGTGGACGAAGAACTTCTTCTAGACCAGCCCTGCGAGCCGCACCGCGAATGCACGAAGGAAATCTGCTGCCTTCTCAAGCCGGTCGTGGCGGGAAAGAGTACAAGTGTATGGATGGCGGGAGAATTTGTCCTCCGGAGGTTGAGTCATTTGGACGATTTTGGTCTGTCCAATTTCTCGGGTACGATATAATTCACCATGTATAGTAAATGCTGTTGTAAGAACGCCACCAGCGTCACGTTCACGAAGAACAAGAAATATTTATTCCACTTTCAAGATGACCTTACTTGACTCAACTTGAAAAAAGACTCCGTTTCCGCTTGCATACCGTTTGAACACGGCGGACGAGGGCATGGCTAGTTTTGCTGGCTATCAAAAGGAAAAATCCCCCCTCCCCATATCGAAACGAAGTTTCTGATGCTGGATTTCCATACACAAGTCAGATTTGTCTTGCAGTAGAGGAATGCTGGCATATGTCAAGCCTCAGTCGAGAGGTTTAGACGTAGGCGCCTAGCATGACACACGTGTATGCTCTAAGCCAAACAGCATCACAAACCGCCTGCAAAATGCGGAACGCTTTCTGGACTTGCCTTCTTGCAAGACAGACAGGATTTGAGGTCACAAATGCGCATCACAAATTTTCAGACGGATACGTTTTCGATATGGGGAGGGGGGATTTTTCTTCTTGATACTGGCGTAGACACAACCAACAGCATTCGCCTCCTCCTGGGGGTAATCGCTCTGGGGGTAATGGGTGTGTACTTTTACGGGGACGTTGTAGGAGGCGGCGGAGATGGAGATGGAGAACCGCCTCCCTAGAGCAGGATTCTGTGGTGCCTGATGGACTAGTGGTTCATCTGTGCTCACGGCGAGGTACTAGATGCGGCTGGTGGACAGCAATCTCTCGAGCACAGGTTCGATGATTTGTCACATCGTTGTGGTAGTACAACCACCGCCGTAGATTTCGACAACTACTGCTGCAGAGTCCTCTAGCTAATCGATTTTAGAAGTAGAAACGATGTACGTACGGAAGGGGCTTGTTTTCGATGCTCTGATACATTGACCAATGTTGATACAGGTGAGTCAGAATCCATGGCGTGCTACGGAACAAGCATGATTTCCATTTGCATTTCATTATCATTCACATCCGTGTCTCTAGGAGATAAAAAACACTTTGGCAAACAGTACCAATTGGCAATGAAACTTTCGGTCGTTGTTCGTGCGCATCCCGTCGCAGCAAAGCCCAAGAACGTTCACATGATGTTCCAAATCATCGCTCAACAGCCAATCAAAAGATCCGCGGCTCGTAGCAATCGGTAGAAAAATTTCTTTCTTCCTTGATCTTCTGTCCTGCGTGACTTCGACTTCTTGCACCGGGGCTTGAGTGTCGCTCCTTTGCGAAAAGAGACGAGAGACTCATGATCAGGAAGTTCAATTTGAACAGGTGATCTACCCGCACGAACGCTGAAGATTTTTCTGAGTGGAAAAGAAACAAAGCACAAGATGGCGATCGTTCCCGCAACCAGTCTGAACGCTTCCGCGTTTTGTTTCTATCCGTGTCGCGGCAACTTCTACCGGGCGCAAGTGTTCCTCAAAGACGCCTAGGTGGTTGCGGTTGCGACAAGCGGGAAACGAGGGAGATCATTGCAAGCGACAAAATCGGAATTCCGCACGGTGGCGCAACGACGGGTCAAACCTCCTAGCAGAATAAAAAAAACAGAATCCAAACCGTTCCACGCAAGAATTGAGCTGTCTATCACAACCTCAGCCACCGCGTCCGTCGCGTCGCCGCCGAAGAATTCGACACCAGCAGTGATCCACCAATATATAAGCAAGGCCCATAAAAAAGATCATCAGCAACAAGATGAAGAGCGAAGCCCAGTGTTGTCTGTGTTGCTGGTTCTCGGTGATCCTAGCTTCCGTGATCCTCTTCGCGTGCTCGTTTACCACGATGGACGTCAACAACCTCGGCTTAGAGTTCAACAGCATTAACCGGCAGTACAACAAGGGGAAAATCTACGGCCCCGGGCGCTACATGCTCGGCCTCGCCCGACAGCTCGAAGCTTTTCCGACCACCTGGACGGAGCTGTCGTTTTGCCCGGGGTGCCCCAACGGAAACGCGATCACGGGCCGGGTGGGGGTAGGGAGCAGTGCGGTCTCGGTGCACGTGTCACTCACGTGTTACTACAAGTTAAGGGTGGAGTATTTGCCGGAGGTACCTATTGCCATTGGATTGAGTTTATAGTGTACGGGAACAAGAAACAGTATGCAAGGAAGTAGAAAATCAAAATGAAAAAAAGAAAATAACCAACCAGTACTACTCCATTCTCGTGGTTTTCCTTTTCCTTTTCCGGAGATGTTGCATGAGTAGACCACAATCGAACAAAAATGCTTCTCCAAAATAAACATCGTCAGATCATCAGCTTCTTTCCGCAGAAGAACTGGGAGGCACGGTATATCACCATCATCAAAAACGCGGTGGCCGTGGTTATCGGGTCGGGCACCCTCCAAATGGAGCAGTTTCTGACCGACCGGGATTACGTCGCCAAGGTGATCGGGTGGGAAATCTATCCACAGTAAATTTATTCCCGTACTATTACACGACGTGCAAATGCGGTTTCTGCATGACAAACTTTTCGTTTTCCTTGAATCCTCTTCAGCATGACAAGTTTGACACTCAAAGTTAGCATGCAATTCGTACATGTACGGGAAATTTGTATCGCATAAAATCAACGCGAGACTGCAACCCGTGTACGGCTACGTGACAGCCGTGTACTTAGGAGCGATAGGCTTGGGGAGTACCAGCTTCAGCACGATTGACAACGTGTATCTAAACAAGCAGATTTCCATACGACGCGCGGTCACCAGCGGAGTGGAGGGGGAAACACAGGTGAGTTGTGGGGTGCTGTGCTTCCTCGATTCTTTTGTGGAGTTCTCGGGGTAGAGCTCTTATCGTGAAATGATGAAAGAACCGCAAGAAAGCGACCAATCAGGAGCCACTCTCATTCATACTTACCACAGGTAATCGAAGCCCAGGCTAACCAAAACGTGTCGAAGATATATGCTGAAGAGAGGCAGATCCTGGACGACACCTATAGGCAAACGAACTTCACCGTTGCGGAGTATGCGGCAAGGGGGCAGGGTAAGCGTATGTGTAATGCGTTAAAATGCGCTTTTTGCTGCATGAGAAAAAAAACAAGATTAGATAAACCGCTTCCAAGAACATCATAAGAAAACTCTATCTCCCCGACCACAGGTATCCTCCTTGACGCCCAGGGTAGCGGTTACCTGTACGTGCAGTCGCGACTAAACTTCTCCCAGACGGACTTGATCAAGTTCATTTACTTCGACAAGATGCGGTCAACCGTCAATGAGCTGGTCGGCGGCTTCCCCGTGGCCAAGTACGACTCGTTGGTCAGCACGGTATGATCGGCAGAATCGATTGCTGCGCGCTGTGCAACCCATTGTAAAAGCGAAGTCGATAATTCCAGAGTAGAACAAGCGTGGCCTCGGCGCACGCACGTTGGCACTCAGCCTGCCCGTCAAGCAAGATGGCAGGCAGTGCTGCTCACGTGCTTGGTGCCTGCCCCGTAGTAGCGAAACCGCAGCTAGCTATAGATTGTCTTAGCATGTTGCTGAGCATGAGCTCCTCATAGAAATTGAAAAGGCGCAATATAACGAGATATCTGTGCTTGACGACTCGCGGTCACCTTTTCCGTGCTTCATGTTGTTCATCATGGGCACACTCTTGATTCTCATCGCTGTTCAAAGGTGAATGCGAAATGTCAAATACCGTCGCAAATCCAAATGGGCATCTCAAAAACTATCCCGTGAAGAAACAATAGAATGCGAAAACTAACCATATTATATTGCACCTTTATTGATGGAATACTTGCACGTTGTACTAGCGTTTCGTATTTAAGAAATTTGCTCCTGCAGCCGTCGATTCGATCTGAAAGCATCCAAAGGCACGAGAAATAAACAGAGCAGATGATCAGGCTGATGTTTCTTCATGGAAGCAATTTATACAGTACGTAGCTTCGCCTCAAACATTAACATCATCAAGATCTTCGAATCGCAATCGCGTATGAGCGTTGATCGATATACTCGAAAGTTGAATCCCGTTTTGAAAAATCAACGTCGTGATGGGTAGATGTAATTATTACACCAGCGCATCCCAGTGTAAATGTAAATCTACAAATGCAGCCTAGATTTTGTTTGAAAAGTTCAAATGCATGCACGATTGCGTTTTTTCCCCAACCGAGCTGAAAAACAATCAAGTGGTGGATCATTCTTTTGTAGACCACGGGGATCTTGTTTTATTTCACCGTTGCATACGAGCCTCACTGGAAAAAAACAAAAAGTAAAACATGAAGATCACGACCCAGCAAAAATGATTTTTCCAAGCCAGCATTTGTTTACCTTCTCGTACACCTGTAAACAGTGACCCATGCCAAAGAACGCTACGACCAATGAGAACAAAGCTCAATCATTTTCATTGACCGAACTATTTCGCGCAACAATTTCTCGTTTCACCCTTCAGCATCTCGTCTCATCAATTTTCAATCAAAAAAATTGCCTTTAGGGACAAAAGTGTTTTTTTGTTTGTCAAGACCACTACAGTGTGGAGTAATTCACCTACTCTTTCTGTAGGCGACACAGACTAATTTTAGGGCACTCGGAGAACAAATTGTCAGTTTTTTTGTATACAGAGCTACCACAACTTCTGCAGAAAGAACTTTTTTCAAGTTTTCCATACTTTTTGCACCAAACGGTATTGTTGTAGATACGAACAAATAACTCAAACGCCCGCAACAAAATGGGGAAGTTCTTCGACCTTACTTCGATGAAGCTCACCCGAGCGCAGGGTGCCCACGCTTTGGAGTTGTTGAATCAGAACATTAAGCTGCTCGCTTTGACGCCGCGTTCCATCAAGCAGCTGGAACAACTGGCGAAGACACTGTTGAAAGCAGCCGATGGGGAATCTTCCGCCCCGGATGCGGTCCTGGACAACTTTGACCTGACCAGTCTCCGCCTCTCGTCCGCGCAGTGCTTCAAAACCTGTCAACTGTTTCTGGACAACGCCGATGTTCTGGAGTTAGACGTCGATCAGGCCAGTGTGGTGGACGAATTCTCGCAGGAGTTTGCCAACGCGGAATCCGAAATTGAATCGCAGGAGGAAGAGGTAATAAAAGTTGATTTGTGTTGCATAGGGTACAGTTGAAATGGACTTTGTCATGATGCACATTAGCACAAGACTTCCACCGCGCACCATCAGATAACAATCGGCAAATATGATTTGCTCTTTCTAGTGGATGAAAAGAGAAAGACGTACTATCACAAATGAAAACGAAATTCTCAGGAAGAAGTGTTTGAGCGGCACATCGACGATTTGCAATGCGTGGTCTGCAACGACGACCGGAAGAAGCTGTGTCGCTTGTACTTGATCGGCGAGTGCCCCTTCCAGGACCTCTGCCCGCTCCGCCACCCGCCGACGGAAGAACTGGACAAAGTCTACAGCTACTACGCTTCCCTCCCGTGCCGGAACGGGGATCGCTGCAAACTGAAGAACTGCCTGTACCAGCACCCCGGCGGGCCGGTGAAGGGTAGCATTCAAGACCAATACATTCGTCGCGTCGTCAAGGGCGGTCGCTCGACGATTTGCTTCCGTTTTCTCACCGGCTGCTGTGACCAGACCGCGGAACAGTGCGACAAAGTGCACGCGAACGCGGACGAGGCCCTGAAGACGATCCAGAAGTGCCGGGCGTCGACGTGTAAGAACGGCCCGGAGTGCCGGGTGGCGGGCTGTTTGTTCAACCACAGTGGTTATCCGGTTTGGTACGTGCCGAAGTCGAAAGACTCCATCTGGTGGGGGCGGGGCTGGGACGAGGAGTTGGAGAACGAGAAAAAGGAGATCCAGTTTTACTACGAGGGGAAACTCCGCGAGGCCGCGGACTACTACGAGTCGAAGTTGCAAGAACTAGACGATTGGCACGCGGCCAGACGCGTCCGGATGGAGAACGACATCATGGCTTTGGAGCAGCAGAATGCGGAAAAGGACCGGCAGGTCGCGGCCGCCGCCGCAGCGGCCAGTACAGCGGTCGTGCAGCAACAACCGACGAGTGGTTCTAACATGGGACCTCCTGCGGGTTCGGGAACTAAGGTGGTGTACCACGTGGACAAAAACGGGCAGAAGTCTCAGGTGATGTACAGCGGAAACACCTCTGCGCAGAAGGGCGGGAACCCGTATGAACACCGGGACATCGCCTCCGTCAACAAGATTTCCCGCGAGGAGTGGGGCGACACCGGACGGGACGATGACCGGGACAACTACAACCGAGGAGGGAACAACCGTGGTGGAGGTCGTGACGACCGCGGAAGCCGCAACGCGGGCCCACCGGCCGAGTACAACAACACGACCCGCGGAGGGTCGTCCGCAAATCTGAAGCCGAAGGCCGGTGGGCCGCCGAAGGAGTTTTTGAAGCCGCAGCGCGGTGGCAACGACCGGGACCGCAGTCGGGACCGCAGCCGGGGCAGGGACGATCGGGATCGGGGGGACAGGAATCCTCCGCGGGGCGGTGGAGGTGGGAACAACAATAAACGTGGGGATGACAACTACCGAGGGGGCCGGAATGTAAAGTCAACCATCGGAACACGGGAAATTCCCTCAGCGGACGAAGTATCAAATGTAAAAATGTCTGGGTCTGGAAGAATGCGAACTTGTGATGCGTGTTGCGGGTGATACAAAAATCTGTGTTGCATGACTTGCAAAAGGTCCCCATTTCTCGCCATGCTCAGAGGGCATTTCTCATGCATAATGGGCATCAGTAAGGGGCTGCAGAACCTGTGATGCTAGGCCCTGCATTCCAGACTTGGTGGAGCTTGGAAAAACTGCATGACAAATCTCGGAATCTTCCAGACCCAGACATTTTTACATTTGATACGAAGACAGCGAAGACGAAATCGAGTTTGTCGATCGGATATCACATGCAAAAATGTCTGGGTCTGGAAGATTAGGACTTGTCATGCTAAATCTGAATGATGCAAAAATCTGTGTCGCGTGAGTGCCAAAAGCTGTCCGCTTTTGACCAAGTTGAGGGGGAGTTTCTCATGCAGGACAGGCATGGTAGAGACCTCAAAGAATCTGTCATGCTGGGTCTCGCATTCCAGACCTCATGGGTCCTGGAAAACCTACATCACAAATCTTGCACTCTTCCAGACCCAGACATTTTTACATTTGATATCGGAATCAAAAGAAGAGGAGGAACGAAATGCAGTTTCAGTGAGAACAACGTTGAGGTCGAGTGGAAGACACGAAGCTGCTCCAGTGAGAGTAAGGTTCGACAAGTTGTTGATAATTGATTCAGGTTTACCTTTTATCTGAGAATAATTATCAACAAACGAGAATATTGACTTTTTACCTTGTTCAACTTTTTGATTTAAGTACTACTTTTGAACACATGAAATAGAATATGAGAAGCAGCAACCAATGTAGTCAACATCATGAGACTTTCTTTTCTAGGTGTAGATTTACGAATAGGATACTAGGACTTTACACTGTATACCGACGACAGCTAAGTTCGAAGAAGCGATCGCTTTTTTGGAACAAACAGCATGCGACTTACAAGTACGGTGACCATTTCACCTGACAGAAGAGCTAAATATCAAGGGGAGATCCTCTTGACTGTCTTGGAGTGGTTTAAGTTGGCAGCAAGCTGGTGCTGGGGGGTGATTTTTTTCTGGACGCTCTCACCCGCTCTATCGGCCACTCCCTTTCAGAATAAAAATACGCGGGCTTGCTCCTCGCAGATTGCTACTTCGAGTGGTATCGAGCGTGGGCAAAAGCAGTACAGCCTCGATATGGAGATGTACTGCTTAAGGTTATATATAGTGCAACAAGATGACGGCCATGCCATGGCCCGATGAAAGTTGGATATAGCTACTTGATGGCAGCTGCGGTGTAGGATCACCTGATAGAACAACATTAGTACATTTTCTGCAAGATGAGCAGGGAGATACAACATCATAACAACGACGGAGTGGTGGTGATTGCGACCAGACCACGAACCAGAATCGACTTTGAATGTATACCAACCTGCAGTTGCTTCCTTCTAGGCCACTGATTTGTATGCTTGGCATTGACCACAATTTGGCAGATGAGCAACCGTTTGCAGCATCCATACCATGCGGTTCGAGTAGCAGCCACAGAAAACTTCAAAGTGCCTCTGCGATAATTTGAATACCAAACTAAACTGGGTTTGCACTTCCAGCAATCGAAAAGGTAACTAAGGCCACCGAGGACTACAGGATCTTCTAGTACTTTCACAGATCGAGCTTCATCTTTAAAGCAAACTTTCGCATTAGTACCCCCTCCCCCGCCCAAGAAAGTTTTGTTCAGCTAGAGCCGCGTTTTGTTGATGCTTCCGCCTACTACGGCTAGGAAAATAAACCTCAGAAGCCACTTTCTAGTGGTGCCCCTGATGGTTCCATTCTTCTCGATGTTTTACCAGCTGCAAGGTGGGCGCAGCTTAGCTTTGTCTATACCGACAAAAACGAATCTTCTGGACTTGAAAACTGCTTCATTTTTACAAGATTGAAAAGTCAAAAAAAGGAAAAAAATAGCCAACGAGAGGACGAATATGTCCCTTTTTTCAATATTATAGTACTTGCAGATACTGAGCTGTTCTGTCTTCGGTGTGAGAATCGAATTTTTCGAGGAATCGAAAACAGAAAAACATAAAAGATCACTGATAATATTGAGAAGGCAACACATGCGCAAAGGAACCGTTAGATCGAGACAGGCACAAGAACGTGAATGATTTTTCCTCGATCTAATGTTGAGCAGTTGAGCATGACTACAACGTCGCGCTCGCGATTGATCCCGCAATAAAAAAGCAGAGTGAAGCCGTAAAAATCTCAGCTTTTCTCAAGAACAGCGACCGACGATCGCGATCCGACAACAATTTTTGCTAGTATAATAACGAGCGTGCCGTTCCTGCTTCGATGGACCACACGAAATTAGCATTTTTGCGAAAGTGAGTTTGTTTTGTTGATTCCTAGAATGACATTTAGTACAACCCATTCCAGACGATAATTGAGTTAACTAAGCAACCAACGAAAAAGACTTCTGGTTGGACGAAATTTGTTCTACATTTCAGACTAGTAATATGTTGGCTGCCAACACGACCAGTCGCTCGCTCGTTTGCTCGGGTTGGCGACGCTAAAGAGGACCACGACCTAAATCGCCAGCGCTTCATCTTCGTCGGGCCGCTCCTGCCACGAACTGGTCAAGATCGGGGCGGAACAAAGTCAAATGTTCACCAGCGCGACACAGGCACGAGAATAGACAAAGCAGAATAGCACCAGCACAAGCACTCCACATTTTACGGGTCCTGTCATCAAAATAAGTGGCGAGGTACGACGAGAACACCCGATCACGTCCATTTTTATTCACGCGCTTCTTGATGAGCAGGCGGTATCCTTCCTCATCTTCGTAGAGAGAAAGAAGTGGCAGCACAGGAGTAGAACCTGTACCAGCAGCGCTGGAGGAATCATACCAACAAGGAACTACGACGCGAAGACGGGTAGAGAAAGAAGCGAGCTGGTTGCTAGGACAACGGCTGAAGAACTATCAGTAGCAAGGGCAGTCTCCTGCGAGGACCTATTATTGAAGACGGCACAAGAACTGTTAGTTCGGGCTGTGGTCTTCCAGGATTGAACCAGGCACCAGAATCGATTTGCTGCGCTCGATACTCGCGCCGGTCTGGTAGAAGATTGAACAGGTGCAGCTTACGTTCGCCACGGAGTAAGTACTAGAACAGAACAAGGAAAAATAAGACTTGCCGTGGGCGACGGAAGCCGCAGCGGAGGACAACACGCGGTGAGAAAACCCTTCGCATTCGCGTCGCAGGACCGGAGGTAGACAGAAGTCTTCCGGTCAATAAGTATTTTGGAGCCGATACTATCAATCTCCCGAGTCCAACAGTTCCGTGGACTTCCAGTTCCACAGCGACAGGCTTTTTGGAGTTGTAAAGATACACAAGAACTCCAGCCAAGAACATCCCCATCGCGACAACACACCATGGAGCTACCCCGGCCAGGCGAGGGTGCCACGAGCACACCACCGGCACAGAAGGCGTGGCTGAAATACAAGAGAATAGCACAGACGCAGCTCGACAGAACAGTCATTTTTCCCACGCAGAGATGGGCTTTCTTCGCCATTTCACTCCTACTGTATATAAAACTGGTTAATGTAGTTTTTTTTTGGTGCTTTCGGTTTCGTTTTTGTTTGAAGAGTGATGATATATTCATAGTAAAAAAATTCATCTTCCCCTACTACTGTTGTTCAAGTTGCAGTTCATGCATGCATCAACGGGACCAGGACCACCGTGAGCACATAGTAAAAGTGAATCAAATTCTAATTCAACAGGTACTGCATACGGGTGTACTTCCTTCACGGTTTCTACATCGTGACCTACATGCTCGGGATCTACCTTCTCAATCTCTTCATCGGCTTCCTCTCACCAGCAGTATTTGGTTTTTATTGTTTCACTATAATCTCTCTTTTGATGTGCCATCGTGATACGGAACGATTGCGCTTTGTAGTAGCTAATTTGGAATTTTCAACTAAGTCATGCGTAAAAGCAAAAGTTGTGTCAGTGTCTCTCCTCTTTTTTGATACACAAACGCAAACCATTGCAACTGCTCTCAGTTCGACCCCGACGAAATGGACGACGATGGGCCCATCCTCCCCACCGGTGCGTCCTCCGTAACGGAAGAGCGGTCGGACGGCGAGTTCCGCCCCTTTAGCAGAAAACTGCCCGAATTCAAATTCTGGTATGCATTGCAAATATGTCTGGGTCTGGAAGGTCCGAAGTTGTCATGCTAAATCTGAATCATGTAAAAATCTGTGTTGCATGATTTATTACCAAAAGCTGTCCACTTGTGACCTAATCGAGATGCAGTTTCTCATGCAGAATAGGCATCATACAACTATCACAGATTCTGTCATGCTATGTCCTACATACCAGACCCCATGGGTCATGGAAAACCTGCATGACAAGTCTGGCACTCTTCCAGACCCAGACATATTTGCGGTTGATATCTGGGTCGCCGGGACGAGGATGGTGTGGATCTCGATCTTCATGACCTTCTTCAGCGTCTTCGACCTCCCCGTGTTCTGGCCGATACTACTCATGTACTTCATCCTCCTGGTGTTCATCACCATGAAGGACCGAGTGGCGCACATGATCAAATACAAGTACTGTTTGTCTACTAGTTATTTCCGCGTGCACTCCTGTAGTCTACTTTATGCCGCCGGAAGTCGAAGTGGAGCTTGAACTAGTCGTACTTGCATGAGTCTCTACTTTTTGATGTAGTAGTTTATTTTTGTACAGATGCAGCTATACCTATATGTTCTTGTCACGTTGAAATGCAAAATTTTCAGATACGTGCCCTTTTCCTGGGGAAAGCAGACCTATCGAGACATCGCAAAAGTATCGGCAACGGGAGTGCCACCAGGTGGCGCCGGGGGTGGAGGTGGCAAGGATAATAAGTAACCGCTCAGATGTACTACGAGCTGCAGATCATGTTGAGGACAACGCATCCGCAGCGGCGCCTGTGTCCACCCTTTTCACGACCACCTCACAAGTACTTCGGAGCGCCGCGCTTTCCTACTTACGAAGTAATACCATCCCGACCCTCAATTCATTCGTGTTCTTTGTGTCTTCCCCAAGACGAGAACACCACTTAAGTATTACCCCGCAGTGTCGCAAGCAAAGGAGTCGAAGATGATCATAGTCTCAAAGTTAAGACTTCTCACCAACTCCCCCCCGCCCCCGGAGTAGATTATTTTCTGACCGTGTACCTAAGTTTTACGCCAGCGAAGTTGTGTTGTATATGTATTTTCCGTGAACAAACGTAGGATTTGTCGTGCGGAGGGCGGACGCTTGAGCATTTTGAAGCGCGCGCTATGTTGTTCGGCTCCCTGCTAGTCTGATGAAATCGATGCCGTTCATCCCTCGTCCCGGGCTCATCGATCGACTCGCATTGGTGATCTAAAGAAAGCACTTATTCGTGGTCTCGTCGTAGAGGAGAGAGAGAGGTGACTGTTGTCACGTTACACTTAAAGAGTAAATCTTCATAAGTCTTGCTGAGATGATGTTGAAGATGAAAATTGAGTGGATCTTCTACTCGGAGTGGTGAATCAGCCTCGAGCCTGTGAGTTGCTCGTTGCCTCCTAGAAAGAATACCGGTAGTGTGTGTCAAAAATTCTTGTAGTGAATTAAGTAAGCACTCCACTAATTCTGCTTCATGATTGCCTACAGCGGACTTACTGGACTACGCATTGTATGTAGTGAGGTCACCGAACGGTTCTAACCGGGGAGTTTTTTTGCCATATACCCTGAAAAACGACCGGCAGTTTTTAAGCGGCGGGAAGCGTTTTTGGACATAAAAAATTTTCAATTATCAAGCAGCTTTGGCTGTGTCGGCACCGAATCGCCAGCGGATTCTATCGATCGCCGCTGGGTAAAACGACGCAGACAAGCCAGCAAAGGGGACGCCCTTCTGAGGCGCCCACCGCCTTAGTTTCTGGCGGTTTGGGGCGCCCAAAAAGGGGCGCGAAAAAAACGCGCCCAAAATCAGAACAGCGAAACAGCACGGCACGGCCGCGATTTCGGAGCATTTTGGGCGGCCGCGAAAGCGGCCGAATTTTCGCCGGTTTCAGAGCCTGGGAAGCTTTGCAAAAAGCGCCGGCGCGAAAAGTAAAAACGCAAAAAAGCAAAAGCGCGCCAGACGCGCAAAGCCAACCCGCATGCTGAGGGCCCGACTTCCCTTCGCTTTTTGGGCGCCCCCTGTGGCACCCGGATCGGCCCCATAGCATGGGGGCTGGCTTTCGGAAAGGAATATCGGGAATTTGCCAAAATTTGCGACGTTTATAAAGCGGCCGCCATACCGTGCGGCCTAACGTTACTCACGACGGTATGGCGAACCCAGGAAAAGCACAGCCGCGGCCAAAGCGACGGCCGGCAAGAAAACGCCCACGACCTCACTACCTCCGCCCCGGCGGCTATATTTGGTAGTTCTAGGAACATTTTGTATTTCACGCCCGATTTTGAGAGCTCAGTATCTCTATCCAATTATTTGGTGTTCTGAGACAATGAGTAGACGACGCAGCCTGCTGGCGTCATGCAGGACATCAAGTCGATATATCGATTTTCTGAGGAAAGTCGTCGTCTCTTGCAAGTAGTACCACTTATGTTCTCCAATCTGCTCCCCCCTTCAACATCCGCCGCATTGATAAACTGTTGCGCCTCGTCCTCTGCATTGCTAAAAGAATTATGCTCTTTTTAAACCAAGACAAAAGGGCGGAAAAACAGGAAGAAGAGTTTTTTTCACTGCAGTCGAATAAAATTGAAGATCTGGACAAGGAGCATTTTTGTCCATTAGTTTTAGTGGAGATGAGCTATGAGCTGTAACGAAGTGAGGTAACACGAAGGACCAAATAAAGCACAAAAATGCAGCCTTCCTCTTCTTCCACCGGTGGTAATAACAACCAGCGTGGTCCCGGCGGCAACGCAAGCTCCCCCGGGACAACAAACAACCTGTACCCCGAGCGAGACGAGAATGGCCAGTGGATGGGGTATCCCGGATTTAGCCCGGACCCCCCGCCCCGGCCCCCGCAACCGAAGTCCTCGTCCCCCCCACTTCCCGCGCGATTGTCCATCAATCCGCCGGCCGATGCAACCTACGTCCCCAACGCGAACCCGCAATTCCGTCCACGGGATTGGACCACCGATGCGCAGGGTAATCCGGTGCCGCAAGTGTTCCCCGACACGCTCACGCCAGGCGGCCAGCACCGCATGAACATGATATGCACGATGGATGCAAAATTAGGGTATCGCACTACTTCCATAAATTTGTGCATCTAATATCTTTGCTGCAGCATCTATCATCCCAGAAAAAAAATCAAAATCTTCTGCTACCGCAGCTGAGTGTAGTACTAATTGTGCATGATTTTATAGTTTAGATGTTCATCATTCATCTACTGCACGAATGAAATTGATGTCATGCCATTTATCCTACTGAAGATGCGATATAAGTATTTTTTGCAATGCATACCTTATGCGCATCGACGAAGTCACCCCCGCGGAGGGGCAGCCGCGACTTCACGGCAATCCCGGGTTTTCGTCCGCGGATCGGATCAATATCCGGCAAGGGGCTCCCTCGAACCAGCCCCAGCGTGCACTGTTTGACCCAATGTACGGTGGGCCCGGGTCGCCACCGCTGAATGTGAGCGTGATGAGTCCCGACCAGGTATTGATAGGCAAAATCCCCCCTCCCCATATTGAAAAGATATGTCTCCGGAAATTTGTATTCAATACAATGCTGATTTGAGGATACAAATCACATTTGTCTTGCAAGAAGACAAGGGCAGCAGCTTCCTCTATATTTTTGGAGGCGATTTGTCATGCCGTTGGGCCTGAAGGGGGGCCGTTTGCCATGCTGAGCAACTAGACCCATACACCCCCACCTAGCCTGGGGATCTGGCCGCAATGCCTTTCTGCAACACAAATCTGATTTGTGTATCCAAATCCAGCATCAGAAATTTCGTTTGGATATGGGGAGGGGGGATTTTTTCCTTTTGGTTTTGATACAAGGTGAGGCAGATCGGGACCGTACAAGACGCGGACCCGGACTGGCGGCGGGGGCAGACGCTTCGGAATGAAGACGCGCTGCTATGAGAGTGCACAACTCGTCGTCGTTCCCCTCTTCCTCATTTGTCATGCAAGATTCCAAATCCAAGACCAAGCGCAAGCGCTGCTGGGTCATACTGTTTGAAGCCCAAACAGTATGTAGCTGTATTTTTAAGCGCGTGCGCGTGAACTTATGGTCATGCGGGGTTTTGTATTGCTGTCCATGCGATAGAGGGGAAGTTGTGCACTGTCATAGCAGCTGAAGGCGAAGGACATGGATAAGACTGAAGGATTGCTCGGCGGGGGCGACTATGCAGTGCAACTTATACGTCTGGGTCGTCTACTAGAAAAGTGTCAGGTTGTTCGTTTGTGAAAATGCACCAGCCCTCGTTTGTGAAAATGCACCAGGAGCCCTATAATTGTGAAGCCTCCTCCTCCTCGATGCCTATAATTCTGCATGAGAAAGAACTTCGTCTTCAGGTGACACAAAGTGGGTAGCTTTTATTGCCACTCCTGCAAAAGTACAGATTTTCGTGTCGTCTTCAACCTCGTGATGGAGCATCACAGACTCAGCCTCTCCCAGAGGACCCAGACATATTTGCAATGCATAACGACCCGAATCTAAAAAAGCGCCCGGAGTTGATCGAAAAAGAAGCGCAGGTATCCACAGAAGCACTAGAGTCTTTCGATCCCTACACGTACAGATTCTGTCTTGTTTGTGTCTATTCTCCACCAAGACCTAGACCATGACCGAATCCATCGAAAAGAAAAATCTGCTTCACCGGTTGTTCAAGTCCACTCCTATTCAGCATCAAAAGCGGCATGTATGTTGTAGGTTGGTGCTGCTGTCGTGGTCGAGGATTACAATTATAATTTGACATCGCATTTTTAGTGGTACGTGAGCGGAATCGGAAAATTTGTCTTGCATAGCAGGCTGGAATGCTCCCGGCGATTGTTATGGGAGTGCCAGGTTTCAGATGCAGCTCTAATATAAGATGAAGATTAAACCCTAAACGCATGACAGGCAGTTCCTTGCTGTGTCTGGCGTTTCATGCGTCAACAGCTTTTGCCATTTTGATTTTGTTAATTCTGCAACCTGACGCTTCTATAGTCGTGACGGACCCGACCCAGAGCGGCGCGAACTACTCCAGCGCCGACGACCTGAGGAGACTATGCATTGCAAAATCATGAGAATCAGTATCGCTCTCGTAGTAAACAAGTACGATGGTTGTATGCTCGTCCATCAATTTGCATTCGCAAGTAGACACAAAATATAAAAGTGTCACTGTCCACAGACACGGAATATGTACAAATAGAACGAGACCGCATGGAGATCTTTTGGACAAAAACGGTCTTACCTCTGTCTTCAGCAACATATATCACTATTGCAAGGCGTACAACGAGGGTCGCTGTGACGATACAGATGTTTTTGCAGAGGATAGAAACAGGTAAAAGGGCATCACAACCGGCAAAAATGGGACGGTGCGGACGACCCATACACCGAGAAAAAGCCAAAGTCCGTCGACTTACCCGACAAAATGTACTAGATTTTTATTTTGTTTTCATATTGCACATACGCAGACGTATAGACGAAGCATCGAAATTATCGAGTCGGGTGTGATGTCAGGAGTAGTTCCTTGTCCACATGACCAAATTATACTACATGACTTTCTACTAGAGAACAAATTATGTCGCTTATCTTTCTTTACTTGTTTAATAGGGCGAAGGGATTTAATTCGGAGGACGAGGACGAGCCACAGGCGAAGTATAAGAACAAGAGAAGTAATAAACGGGGTCGGATCTATTCCGACCAAGGTGGCACACCCTCGTCGGGGTCGGGGAGTGCGAAGAGAATAAACATGGGAGGGGATGGCAACGCTTCGGATGGAGCTTCGGACGGATCTTACCGCGGGAACTTACTCGGTATCATAATGGTGTAGTTTTGAATACTTTAGCTCGTTTATACGATTGCTGGTCGTTCTTCAACTACAGGAAAGATGTGAGGGTGCCCTCACATCCGGCCACCGCCACGGCCACCTCTCTCACCAAGACGTGACTGAAGATGCCGATTGTGCACGACAGTGACAACGATGCAAAGAAAATCTGATTCAGATCATGTGAGATTTTTGTAATGAGTTTAGATTTATTAGCACACGCCTTGAATGTTAATACAAAAGGTGGCGGCAACATGCCCCCGGGGAGTTTTCTGTCCAGCGGCGGCGCGGACTCCGACGGGACGCCCGGCTCGGAGTACAGTGCGCAACGATACAAGATTATCCACAGTAAGTTTATTTCCGGACGACTAGCTACACGACGTGCAGATGCGGTTTCTGCATCTTAAAACTGGCTTTCAAAAATCCTATTTTGATGACAAGTGCAAGTGTTCTTGCATACAGCACTTTTTTAAACCACAAGTTCTTCGTAAAATCAAACTTTAAACCACAAGCTCCTGGGGGGAGCCAGGTTCTGCTTCAGGTGGGGGCGGCCGACTACCTCGTAGTCCTCTGTTGCTGTTGTCTCAGGCTGTGGTGGATAAGACAATCCCTATCGGCAGGGTGCTGCCGCCGACACCTCGCCGCCAATTGCCGCTGTGTTTGCGGGACATGCTTTCCTAGATGTGGAAATAGGAGGTCCCGGGAGGGGACTGGTGCGTAGGGCCGCATCTATACTCAGGGCCGGGGGATGGTGACGCTTTGCCGCCACACTGGACTAAGTCTTGCTACCCAGCGGACTGCTTTTTCTTTTGCTTTTTCTCTCAAAGGGGGCTAGTAGGGGACGACGTTTCCGGGTTTCGGGCTTGTTCGGGGGGATGCTCTTTGGGGCCACAACGCTGTCACTGCGACCTTTGGTTTTGACTTTCTCTGGTGATAGGTGGCGCTTGGTGATTTTTGACCCGGATGGTCGTGCCGGAACTTGCTATGGGGGTGCTTGTGCCTCCGGGGTCGAACAGGGGTTTTCACTGGCGCACTTTTCTTGTCTACTGCGGATTTGGTGCTGAAGCGTAAGGGTCTACTTCCGTGTATACGTTTTCGCTTCCTCGCGCGCTCACACTTTTCCTGGTCGGCTTTTCTCGCTCCTGCCGCCCGTTTGTAGGCAGTGCTGCTTCTCCAAACGACGTGTCGGGAATCACAGCCCGCGACGGGGACTGCTGTGGCCGCTGTTGATATCAAGTTTTGGCGTCAGCGGGGCGCGTCCTGCTACGCATACCGCTTCGCTTGTTTCTGTCTTCCCCGTGGGGGCAAGTGGGGCTGGGGCTGGCGCGGTTCCCCCCATTCAACCACCGGTGGTGGGGTTCTGGGGGGTCTTGCCCTGGGGGCCAGGTGGTGGTGGAGTGGGCCGTTCCCCGCTACGGAAGCTAGGCACGGCCTGCTTGACCCAGCCCCAATAGGCGCGGTCCAATGGGCCGCTTGGGTGTGTGCTCTGGATAACACTCGGAAGGAACGCAACGAAAATTTGCTAGAGCAAATTGCAATCCGCGTTTCCGTGAGTTTAAGCATTCGAGTGCTTAAATTGCGACTTCTTAGTTTAGGCATTTTAATGCTTAAACCTAATGAACGCGATTTCCTAGATTAGGCATTCGAAGGCTTAAAACAAGGAATGTGCTGCGCGATTAAAAGTTTCACAGAAGCTGCGGGCCTTACCCAAGTAAAGCATGACAAGTGCAAGCGTTCTTGCAGACAGCACTGTAAACCACAAGTTCTTCGCAAAATCAATCGTCATGATGTAGTTCTCTGTACGTCGGCGCGTGGTCGTGTAGTATGTGTACAGGAGTAAATTTGTATTGCATAAGGATGAAGCCCGGCGGCCAGCACATGCCCAATACGCCGTCCGAGGTTTCCTCCGCCGAGGCCATGTTCCACAACCAACACCGGGGCGGGCAGTACTACCCCGGTATGACGGGCGGCGCCACGGGGAGTAGTCACAACATATCGAGTGGGGCGTCTTCGGGTTCTTCGTTCAACAAGTTTAACACCCCCACGCCGGGCAACACGGCGTTTGGCGACCCCTACAGCATGTATGGTGGCGGGAGTTACAAGATGGACTACGCACAGAAGAAGGCCGTCGCGAAGGGCGCGAAGATGCCCGCCGGCGGCACGCCGTTCGGCATCGCCGGGCCGCTGATACACCCGGTAGAGCGGTATCCGAACCCCGGGTTCCTCAAGGCGAAGTATCCAACTGGAAATATTTCGATTTATATACAGTGCTGCTCCTCTTTGTTTCCTACCTACCCCTCGTACGAGGCTTGATGCCCATCAAGCTGTCGTAGCTAGCTCGGTGCATTTTTGAATTACAGCTCAACGAACCGGGAGTATGAAGAACGAGGTGAAAGAAATTTGCAACAAACGTCGAAAACACAATGTTGCTGTTAGAGGATGACAGGAACAAGTTGTAGCGCCAACTCGGCGCAGATGACGTCGCTGTCTGGCATTATTGGCAATTACTGCAGTGCACAATACAACGACACAGAATACGGCGCGACAAAGGCACGAAAAGGGAAGGCGAGAACAACACTGTATCTGTAGCTTTTGCATTGCATAGAAGAACTAAGTTGGAGTTTACCCAGTCAACGATGCCAGGGGATCCCAGGAAGGTTTCTAGTGCTTCTTCGAGATGAGATGACGTAGTTCAATGGAACAATATCCAGATAGAATAGGACATTCAAAGACTTGGAAGCTACAACTTATAGAGAAGCAATAGCAGGAGCATTTACAGTGTAGTAATGTTTGTTCCACCATGTTCTTGAGTACCAAGAACACGGCGCCGCAAAGGCAGTAGAACTGGCACGGAACTAGAACGAAGCGGAAGTAGACCAGACACGGTGGTAACGAAAAGAAACCGACAATGTTCTTGCAGAGCGGAACTATAATCTAATATTTCGATTTTGATTTCAAATTCAATTCTCAAAAAACGCCACAGCTTGGTTTCGTGGAGGAGCCGCAGCCTACAGAGGAGCTGAAGCCGTACTGTACCAGAATCGCCACTATGTGAAGAAGAAACTTCTAGCGCCCTTGCATCCAGTACTTCACTCGAACAACTGCCTGCACGCGACGACTTGTTTCGCAAACAAGATTATTGCCCTTTGGTAAAAAATAGAAGCAGTGCAAGCAGTCGCGCAGACTCCAACTCCGAGCAGCGTGAAAATTTCCGGTGCCTAGTTGATGCTTGTAGATCATTTTTCGTGGGGAAGGAGATGAAGGTCCCAACGCCAAACGTCTTGTCATGCATGTGACTCAGTGAAGAGGGATGCCTGTTCGTGTCCGTGTTTTTCCTCACTATAAACCCATCGGGGATCTTGGTGATTCGCGTAACTGCCTACGAGCTATCCAACAGAAAATCTGCGCCATCGCCGGATGAAGCCCTCAATTGAATACAATGATGTAAGTGAGTAAGCAGAAGAACAAGCAGTTCGTTGCACTACAAAATAAAGTTATAATTTTACATCTAGTACTTGTTTATTCATGATCATGAAGGCTTCGTCGGCTTGGGCGAGTTTCCAAAGGATACGAGTCGTTGCAATTCTACACCTCGGAGACGTGGAAGAGGGTAAAGTTGGTGTACATTATTATACGGATCATCTACTTCATCGTCAATACTTTTGCTTTTGTTGCCGCTCTGCCTGCATAGTATCCTGTAACTCAGCACTACAATGTTTGCGCTCGTCGTCCCTCGAAACAAAAATAATCAAAACAGACCCAAGCGCAAACTTTTGGATCGTGCACCCAATATGCGATTGGATGTTTTTCACCATCCGAGAACTACATTACGTTGCATTTTTGAGAACAAAGGAATCATCTTCAACCATGAAGATATTGAACCATCTTCCTCGTCTAAATGCATCAAGCCAACAACTTTCTTCAAGAGCAGAAACCTACCTAAGTACATGGACGATACCTTTTCTTTCAGAAAGTTTCGAAACAAAACTTCTGTAATGGTGAAAAGGACATCCAAAAGCATACCGGAATCCATGAGTTTAGTTACCGGATGTGGTGGCTGGCGACGTTTTCGAAAATGCTGGAGATCAAGTACAAGAACGAGTTTGTAATCCAGTTACGCATTGCAAACGTAATATTGCGCTAGTACTGATTTTTTGCATCACAAATTTTTACAGAGAGAAAAATGGCATTTGTGTCTCACGCGAGGTAGTAGAAGAAGATGATTTGTCATGCAGTAACATTGCAAAAACAAAGTACGAGCACGATAGTACACTTTTGCGCTGCATACCAGTTCGACGCCTACAACAACGAGATTCGAAGGCAGAAAAACAGAAACGGACCGGTCGAATCTTTGTGGGAGAAAAAATCAAAAATGAAGTACGAAGCAGACTTGTGCGACCCAACGGGACAGGCCATCACGAAGGAGCAGTGGAAGGTACTTCAAAAGCCTCAATTTACGCACGGGGTCACAATTCTACTTTTTGACGCGGGTTCCAGCGCAAAAACCAAAGGGCAAAGCGGGGCCGCAAGTAGGTCGTGGCAGTTGCTTCGGTTTGAAAAATCACAAACAGAAAAACTAGGGCGCGAAACAAGGCGAAAAAGCGGCATCACATGGAGAAGTAAAATGCTGGATAAAGCCGCTCGTGGTGAGGGAACAGAAAAGCACTTTTCCGGTTGTATCTAGGGGGCCAAAAATTCCTGCATGCGTGTCCTCCACGCGGGCGGCCCCTGGGTGCGTCGCTGTGGTTGTCAATCCGCGTGAGGGGTGAAAAGGGATTGGGCGTAGCAACTCACGCCATTGCACCTTGAGCCAAAGTGCCGACATCGCAAGCTTTGACACATTGATCTTGTAGTCCACAAGTCTCAATTAAGTGTGTGCAGATCTGGCGCGACAGGTTTTCGGCATTCAGTGCACTGATGTCAACCTGAAGCGTCGCTTATTGAGACTTGTGGATTATGAAATCGATGTCAAGCGTGTTGCAGTGGGAGGCTTTTGGCTCAAGGTATTGTGTCGTGACTTGTTATGCCCAGTCCCATTTCACCCTTCGCGCGGCATGGCGGGTGCGAAATTCGCATTGTAGCCCTTTAGTTTTCCGTCGGGAGTAGGGCTCTGCAGCATGGCCTGGTGCGCGATATTAATCCGCGCCCCATACCATGGTGGCATATTTTATTCTGGGTGGTACGCTGCAGATCTGTTCTGTAGTTGATGTCTTTGGAGGCTCGCCGACCCTGATCGCCGGAGCCCACCCGGCGATGTGAAGCGCCATGATTTGGATCCGACGAACAAGGGTGGGTTAGGTTGTCTGTTTTCCAAAAAGTTCTAACCCCCGCTAGTTGGTTCTCCACACTCCTTTCCTGAAAATTTGAAGTTTCTCTGTGCTTTATTTTGGTCTCTTCCAGTACATAAACCCCCGCTAGTGGGTGGGCACTAGCGGGGGTTAGGGTCAGACGAATGTAACCCACCTTTGTTCATCCTAGACCCAACGGGACAGGCCATCACGAAGGAGCAGTGGAAGGTAAATGAATGTATACAGATTCAAGCCCCTCTTGCTTCCGATTTTACCGCCCTATTGTTTATTTCTGTGCTAGTGGGCATGGTAGAAACAAAACGCGTGAACGAGAAAGTCAGTGAACTTGTTTTTGCTGTTTTTGTACATCGATTCTTATACTTCTTGTTGGTGAGAAGTCTGAGTAGCAGTAGCAGACACAGGTGGTGCAGCAGGAAGCGAAAACTCACTACTGTGTCTCCAACTTTTATACTTTTTAAACTTCTATAACCCTTCTTGCAACATCCATCCTTTCAGGAAATCAAGATGTACCTGAAGAAGTGGAAGCTTGAGAACGACAGTTACCGTGCGGGGAATCATTTTCTGCAGAAAGTTATGATAGCAAAATTTTCGATTTTTGTATGCATGTCCTGATCGTGATCCTTAAGTAGTTCTTGCGCCCTGATGTCTCTATGCTCCCTACCTCTGCACGAATAGTGCGAAACTAAATCCAGATAGAAGAATGCTCCTTTCCTTATGGTGAGCGTGTTATTGGGCTTTGCTGCAAAGTAGATGTCGAAGTCAATGTCTCGCTCCTTTATTCTCTCAAAAATGACTCGCGTAGTACTAGTAGTTCCTGCGACGTTTTTTACGCATCGCGGCCTCGCAAAGCAGCAAATGCCGTCATGACCTTTAGTACTCTGGTGTTGATCTGTTGGTCGTGGTAGATAAGGTTGAGATTTCGAGAAATTTTTGCTACCATACGTACCCTGGTCGCCGGGGAGGATTTGAACCAGCTGAACTTGGAAACGGGGAGGTATCCTGAGTAAAAACGTACCCACGCCAGGGTTGTAATGCAGATTTGCAAAGACAGGAAGACTTGTAATGCGCATACCCATGAGAGCCATTTCCAATCGTGCTTTGGAATTTGTGATGCTGTGAACAGGATGAGCAGATGAATCTGTGACGCGGCTGCACTCGCTAACCTGCACTACACTGCAGAGTGCAACTTGTCACGCGTGACTCACAAGACTCCTAGGTTTGTGTTGCAAAATCCCCATCCTGACTCTGGTGTGGGTACGTTTTTACTCATGATAGGAGGAAAAAGCGGCCCGATGACGTTGGTGTCCAAGAAGTTGTCCATGACAATCTCTGCAAGGTAGGGTTTATTTTTCCTGTTGCTCTATCCTGCACATAGGTTTTTTCTCACGATATTGCGGTAAGTACGAGCATGAGGTAGTCAGAATAGGACGCGTTAACGTTTACTCAAGAACTGGAACTACACTGTAAAACAACATCAGTGTTGCAAGCACAGCGCCACAAACCCAGGGGAAATTATCCTATCCAAAAACGACTCACAGTCCGCCATCCGTCGGTTGGCAAGACGGGGCGGCGTCCGACGCGTGAGTGCGAAGATCTACCAGCCCATCCGCTTGGCGTTCCAGCAGTGGTTGGAAAAAGTGACGGAGCAGACCTACATTCTGACCAGTCACCAAGGCCGAGCGACCGTGAGGACCAACGAGGTGATTAACGCACTGAAACTGCAGGGCAAGAACATCTACGGCTACGGAACCACGCGGTAAAAAGCTGTGGTGACACCTACCTGGAAAAGAATATGAGGTCTGACTACTTCATCTTTTATAACAAATTTCTGTTTTTAGGATAGTGCTACTGGTAGATGCTGTTGGAGGTTGGAGGTACCTGTGCCTTGCTCGTTGTACAGGTTCCACCACCACAAAACCGCTTTTCAGCTGAGTAGCTGCTAGCAACAAAAACTGCAACTTAGCAAAATTGTCTCAAGTCTATCGTTCATCTGACCTGATCTTTAAACGTATCTTCAACGCAATCGTAGTGATTTACAGACCTTGACTTATTATCAATTTACTTCATTTTCCACCGGCGCGCCATCGCCGGTAGGAAATCGAAAGAAAAAGAATCTTCAATAGCAGAATGTAATATGGCTAGCACTAGAGCTCGTCCTTTAAAAACATTACGTCATCAGGACAGTGAATAACAAAACTGAATCTTCTACGACACACCGTAGATTCAAAAACTCAGAGCTTGCTTCACGCCATGAGCAAGAACTGCAGGTGGATCAGCGAATCCAACAAAATCCAAACTGTTTTATAACACAACTCGTAGTCTTCGTCGTTAGTTTACACTCTATTACAACAGCAATAGCCAGTACTTCTACAACAGTATACCTACGTGGAAACTCATTTCCCGCGCCGAGGGAAAGACGAACTGATATTTGACAAAATTAGCAGAAAATGCAGCACACCAATTCTACTGATATGAAATGTGGAACCTATGGTCTGAGCGTCCGGTTTTCAGCACCGCGCTCGCTCTCGCGCTAGAGTACTCGAATAGAAGATGAGAGGTTACTTCTTGTCCTCCTTCAGTAGAGTTTGGGCAGCGGTGAAGCGCTCGACTACTTTCAAATAACCCTTACAACCTGTATAGTTGAATTTTGGTGTCGCCCGTTTTCTCTGTAAGCATCTCGCAAAGGTGCTTACGAGAAAGCGGGAGATGAAGAAGGAATAAAGACGATAGAAGTGAAACTATTTTTATACGGTCGGCAGCGCTCGGGTGTTGCTTGAGGACGCGGCCCTGTCGCCAGACTCACGACTCCAGCCAGCTCTGTTCACCGCTGCCGGCTCGTCTGAGTAGCTTTGTCTTTGTGTAGGCGCTATTTTGTACTTGGCACCGAAATTTCGTGTCACTGCTGCAGCTTCTGCTTTTCTAGACCGTCTTTTTGACGAAACAATTTGATAGATTTCCCCGAACTCTCGAGCGATCGAAACGTAGCAAGCGCGACACGAGACGGAGAGAGCCGAACAGCATTTTTTCAAATAAGTGCAGGTTGGGCCGCCGCGGCCGCCCCCGCAACCGATGCCGATGGGGCTGGAAATTATAAGCACCAAACTCATAGCAATAGCTAGTAACTACGTACAGACTTGCGCCAGGTCTTTCTAATCGTACGCTTGCACCACAAGAAGATGAAGGTTCTTTTTAGCGGCTGAACCACAGCAGCACATCAAATTGTTTACCTTGCTAAGGCTTGTTCACGAAAATGACAGCGCCGTTTCTATTTCCGAGATCACAGCCTCGTTCGGCCGTAGCTATATTCGCCTCGATTGTTGTCTTTACGGTGACCATCACACCACGACCCGCTGGTGCAAGTGCAGTAAGCGTTGATCCAGAGAGGGACAGGTCGTCAGCAGATACAGGTATTGGAGCTCGTCTCCCGTTTTTCTTGTCACAGAACAAGCGACCGGTCGGCTCAGCAGAAAGAATTGGAAGAACGGCGAGCACAAAGGGACAAGCGGAGCAGAGTGTCCGCGCGGTCGTGAAACCCTCCACGGTTGACGTCGCAGCATCACCGTCAAAACCCACCGCAGCTGGTGCCTGCACAAATACCGCTTTGGTGCCCACAACCTGGTCCACCTTCTTGCTTCACACACTGCAACTGGACTGGCTTTTCGATCTCGACTTGAAGTACAAAGAAGCACAAGAGGCGGCTACACAGTCTGTGAGCGGACCTTCCTTGAAGACCCTCTCGTCTTCAGGTGCACCTCCAGCAGAAGGAGATCCGACTTCCGCCGCACTGAAAATTTCGTCTGCCATCCTCGAGAAACTGGAGCCCGAGGCCAATGATATTCCCGACGCGCATCGGAACGCGTCGGAGCTGATTTTGACCAAGGGATACCCCTTGGAATTTCACAAGGTTACCACGAGCGACGGGTACATCCTGACACTGTTTCGGATTCCGCACGGAAGGGTTGAGCAGCAGCAGAAAGAGGAGGAATACAAGCGCAAAATAAACAGCGAGGAACTTCTGCGTCAGAGAAGCGCAAGCTCACCTGTAGCAGCAGCACAGCACCAGCTATTACATGACCGAAATACGACCTCCACATCATCTACTCCTTCACAAAAAAACGGGGTCCCTACTACGACAAGCAGGACGACGAGGACCACGGGCGCTACTACTTCAACAGACACGACGATCTTCTCTGCATCCAGAACAGCCACCCCTAAGCCCCCAATCCTGCTCCAGCACGGGCTGCTTGACAGTTGCGCAACGTGGTTGGTTATCAACGGCAAATTTGTCTGGGTCTGGAAGCTTGCGAGACTTGTCATGCTTGTCTGGCATGACCAAAAAGTTTGTGATGCGTGTCCAAAGAGAGACCCTTTTGCCTGTCATGCAAAGACGCAGTTTGTCATGCGAGAAACGCAACACAAAGAAGCGCAGATATTTCTCATGGTTGGCTGTGCATTACAGGGCATTTACTATTCCCAACGCAGCATTGCAAGTTTCCAGACCCAGATATTTTTGCATTTCATATTGGTCAACGAACCGGATGAGTCGCTCGCGTTTATCTTGGCAGATCAGGGTATGGAGAGAAAAAAGTTTGTCACTGTCACTAACTTGCGGGCTTTGCATTACAAATTTTTTTAGCATCACAACTTTCCTCTGTGTTGCAGAAACACTAGGGAAATCCCTAAGGAAGTTTGGCTGTGATGCATTTTTACGCATGACAGAAAGTTTTGTATTGCAAAAATGCGCATGAGTGATCGTGACGAACTTTTTTTGTTTGATACAGGGCTTTGATGTCTGGCTCGGCAACACCCGCGGCAGCACCTGGAGTCTCGAGCACGTGAATTTGACCACCCAAGACTCGAAGTTCTGGGACTTCTCCTTTGACGACATTGCGCTATCCGACACCCCCGCAGTTGTAGATTACATAATTGCGAACACCCGGCGGGGCGGGCGCAGTAACGAACATGATTTGATGACTTCCGGCTCCGCCTCCGAAGAAGAGGAAGACCACGATCCTAAGGAGCTTGAAGATGATCACAAGCTTGGCTACGTCGGGCACTCGCAGGGCACTCTGCAGATGTTCGTCGCCCTGTCGCAACTTGGCCCGGCGTTCGCGAAGAAAATCCAGCACTACTCTATGACCTGCTCAAACGTTACAATGTCAAACGTTACAATAGAGTGTCGAAATCTGTGATGCAAGAGCGCATGATCTACCCAACTCTCATAGGATTGCGCATGACAAGTTCCGGAGCCCCAAACTCCACTACAATCTGGCGAAATTTGTGTTGCAGAAAGTGGAATGGTCTGCGAGTCTTTCATGCTCATTATGCAAGACAAATCCCAGGCTTTATTGTAACGTTTGAGATTGTAACACCTGAGCGGGTTATATACTCCGCCTTGGCGCCGGTCGCTTCCGCGGCCAACCAGGCGTCGCTGCTGGTCGGTTCTCTGATCGCGCTGCACATTGACCAGCTGTTCGTATCAAGTGTAAAAATGTCTGGGTCTGGAAGAATGCGCGACTTGTCATGCTGCTCTTCCATGACCCATGAGGTCTGGAATGCCGGAGCTAGCATGACAGATTCTGCGAGAACTTTCTAATGCCTATCCTGCATGAGAAACCACCTCCCGACTTGGTCAAAATTGGGCGACTTTTGGTAAGCATGCAACACAGATTTTTGCATGCTGCAGATTTAGCATGACAAGTTGCAATCTTCCAGACCCAGACGTTTTTATATTTGATAGTTCGAGCTGTTCGGCGACCGGGCGTTCCTCCCGAATCAACCCTTGTTGCACTGGATAGCCGGGTATGCAGTGTGAATGTGTAATTTGGGAGGTCTTGAAGTTTGATTCTAGATTTGTCATGCTTGTTTGGCGTATGCATACCTTTCAGCTTCGTCACTCACGTCCACGAGGACGGGCAGCTTGTTTTCCACCCTGTGATGCAGGAAATAACGCAGAAGTGCTGTCGCATGCTCAAAAAGTTGGCATACTTGGTAGTGCGCGTATCATAATGATTCACAAACCAGCAATGCAAGCTTCTCGACGGTAGACCAAAACATAATTTTCTGTGGATACTGGGCCGGTGTGCGAAAGCTATCCCGCGGTGTGCGAGGACTTGCTGTTCCTCATCGTGTACCCACCGCAAATAGGTCTGGGTCTGGAAAAGTGGAATCTGTATTGCTTGGCTTGCATGCCTCTGAAAGTGTTGCATGACTACTGCCAAAAGCGCGACCTTGTCTGTCATGTAAAAGCGCAGCTTCTATTGCGCGCTACCCAGGGTGACAAGGCGGCGCAGAGATTTGTCATGCGTGGCTGCGCTTGAGAGCAGGGTGCTCAAGCATTACAATCGAGCATCACCAGACACATTTGCAATGGACATCGTCGGCATGGATTCGGACCCGACCGCAAACATGAACAAGACTCGTGTCCCAGTATGTATTGCAAAAGCATCGAACGTAGAACAAATTACATTGCGTCGCACGTAGAAGAAAAAATGGAATTTGTACATTCTGAGAAGATCATTTGTGATGCAATACTAGCCTTATCCCGCTTCCCGTGTCCAGTAACCTGCTGACTTAATAGTATTCCGCTAGATGAATAGTAGCACTCAGCGTCTCTTTGTGGAGAATCGTTGTCGGCGCTTCAGCACAGGGAGGCCCATCCGCCGGCGATTTTCAAAGCGGGAGAACGGCTTTGGCACGATCCGGCACCGGCCGGCGCGGCGGGCAGGTTGGCCTTTGCCGTCATCTTGCATGCTGGCACCGGCGGGGCCGCGATCTGGCGGCGGGGGGCGGGCATGGTCGGGCACCGGCTCGGCGAGGGCCCGACACCGGCGTGGCTAGGGTCCGGCACCGGCTTGGGCATGATCGGGCACCGGCACGGCCATGACCCGGCACCGGCGTGGCCACGACCTGGCACCGCCTTGGCCATGATTTGGCACCGACTTGGCCGCGGCCGGGCACTTGCAGGCATGGCCATGATCCCGCACCGGTTTGGCTATGCTCGGGCACAGGCAGGCAGGCTTGGCCATGATTCACCTGGCACCGGCTTGGCCACGACCTGGCACCGCACCGGCTTGGCCATGATCTGGCACCGGCTTGGCTTTGTCATGAGATGATCTGGCCCCGGCTTGGCCATGATTTGGCGCCGGCTTCGGCTTGGCCACGACCCGGGGCCGGCTTGGCTTTGCCGTGATCTGGCACCGACCGGCCTGCTTCGAGGCTTCGCTGCTTCGGGGCTTCGCTCCCTCGAGGCTGCGCCGCTTCGGGGCTTCGCTGCTTCGGGGCCTCGAGGCTTCGCTGCTTCGAGGCTTCGAGGCTCTCCTGCTTCGCTGCGTCGAGGCTTCGCTGCTTCGAGGCTTCGCTGCTTCGAGGCTTCGCCGCTTCGATGGTTCGCTGCTTCGAGGGTTCGCTGCTTCGAGGGTTCGCTGCTTTGGGGCTTCGCTGCTTCCTTCGGGGCTTCGTTGCTTGTTCGAGGCTTCGTTGCTTGTTCGAGGCTTCGCTGCTTGTTCGCGGCTTCGCTGCTCGTTCGAGGTTCGCTGCTTGTTCGAGGCTTCGCTGCTTGTTCGAGGCTTCGCTGCTTGTTTGAGGCTTGGCTGCTTGTTCGAGGCCTCGTTGCTTGTTCGCGGCTTTGCTGCTTGTTCGAGCGAGGCTTCGCTGCTTGTTCGGTGCTTCGAGGCTTCGCTGCTTCGAGGCTTCGCTGCTTCGAGGCTTCGCTGCTTCATCGAGGCTTCGCTGTTTCGAGGCTTCGCTGCTTCGAGGCTTCGCTGCTTCGAGGCTTCGCGGCTTCGCGGCTTCGAGGCCTCGCTGCTCCGAGGCCTCGCTGCTCCGAGGCTGCGCTGCTTCGAGGCTGAGCGGCTTCGAGGCTTCGCTGCTTCGAGGCTTTGCTGCTTCGAGGCTTTGCGGCTTCGAGGCTTTGCGGCTTCGAGGCTTCGCTGCTTCGAGGGTTCGCTGCTTCGAGGGTTCGCTTCTTCGGGGCTTCGCTGTTTCGGGGCTTCGCTGCTTTGGGGCTTGGCTTCGCTGCTTCGGGGCTTCGTTGCTTGCGTCGGGGCTCCGCTGCTTCGAGGCCTCGCTGCTTCGAGGCTTCGCTGTTTCGAGGCTTCGCTGTTTCGAGGCTTCGCTGCTTCGAGGTTTCGCTGCTTCGAGGTTTCGCTGCTTCGAGGCTTCGCTGCTTCGAGGCTTCGCTGTTTCGAGGCTTCGCTGCTTCGAGGCTTCGCTGCTTCCTTCGGCGTTTCGAGGCCTCATCGTTTCGAGGCGTCGCCGCTTAGAAGCTTGGGCACTTTGTCTGCATTCCATTGTTGTTGTTTTTCGTTTCTATTCTTTGTTTTCGTTTTTTGTTTTCATTCTTTGTTTTCGTTTTTCGTTTCCATTCTTTGTTTTCGTTTTTCGTTTCCATTCTTTGTTTTCGTTATTCGTTTTCATTGTTCGTTTTCGTTATTCGTTTTCATTGTTCGTTTTTATTGCGGGATACTATTAAATAATGGGTTTTCTGACTTATAACTAGTCATGGTAGAGATTGCAATAATTACCACGAGCAGTGCGTCGATACTTGCGCAGTCCATAGTCGGTAATGGTGTACAACTCGCCTGGTGGAACCTCGGTGAAAAACATGGTCCACTGGGCGGATCTGGTCCGATCCGGAGAACTGCGGAAGTTTGACTACGGGCCAATCTCGAATTTGTACCACTACGGCTCGCTTTCGCCGCCGTCCTATGACGTGGAAGGAAGCTTGAAGATATCCTGTGCAAAAGTATCGTACTCGTACAAGAAATGCAAGTCTTGCATTACAAATCTTGTTTCCAAGGCAAATCTGCAGTACAAATTTTATTTCTCATGCTGAGGAAATTTGTAGTGCATTTATACGAGTACGATACTTTTGCAATGCATAGAAGAAGCTTCTTGACGAAAATCCGGAGGTCAAATATGAATTGCAATCGCAAAAGCGTCGGTTTTTTGTTTTTCAACTACGATTAAATGATTAGCATTGCCCATGAAAATTGCCATGCTCTTTTAGCCTGGAAAATTGTATTTGTCGTGCATGACAGCGATCTTTTAGTACGAGGAGCACGAAGATGCTTTTCCTTTTGCAATGCATATAGAGCGAGACTTGACGATTTCCCTTTATTCCGGGGGTAAGGACGCGCTTGCCGATCCGAAGGACGTGGACAAATTGAAGAAAATGCTGAAATCTGTGGACGCGAACGTGACCAGAACCGATTTTCAACCCAGCTACCAACACCTGGATTTCACCTGGGGCATGAGCTGCAAGGAAACCATTTACCCGATGGTGGTCGAGGATATGAGGAGGGCGTTTGGTTTGACGTCTATAATCAAGAAGGACTACCAGCATGCGGATGAGTATGAACGACATGCACGTGCAGGACGAATAAAAATAGAGACTCCACCCACTCAACAAGATGAAGATGATGATTGTGCCACATCAGACCGCAAGCACACTCCCGCTTCCGACATGAAGAGAGACCGGGAAACTATGAAACTCCAGAATATGAATAGCACTCCTCACCATGCAGATGTAGATGATGCACCGTCGCCGGAAGCTGTTTTAGATGCTCCCGCTGTGGAGGAGCTTGTAGAGTAAAAGTTGAGGAATTTTTTAGGAGTGTAGTCGGTGAAAAAAAACTACGTGCCGCCAAGAAAGACTCCGCACGAAGTTGTTGAAAGCAGTTTGCGCAACACCTACGGTTTCGTGTGGTGAACATTTTTGCTCGATGACAAGACGCAGCACAATGTCGACATGCTCAAACGACAAATCAAGATCATTTCTTGCGTTCTTCGTCGATTCGAATTCGTTTTCGGCGATGTCATTCCGCCGGGAAATGACACTTGTGTTTCGCGCACAAATACTCAATCACTAAAGCTGGAAGATAGACGAGCGTCTGTTAGAAGGTGTTGTGTGAGTGACTTGTCTGTGTTGATATAGGGGAGTTTGGGAACAAGAGAGCGGTGTCATCACCTGCGTGAAGTGTGTCCCATTTTTCCCTCCGGTGTAAGACAGTGAAAAATGAGTTTGGTTGTTATCGTACTCGATGTCGATTGCAAGTTGTGATAATGCAACTTTATTCAATTCATTTCTCCGTCATGACGATGTTTCTAAACTACGAAATAAACGCCTAAAGTCCACCAGCAGGCCTGTTCTTTGCAAGCAGCCCCATTGTGTCGACAAGATGAGCAGCATGATGCGGCCGCTCATCATCTTTTCTCTGCTGCTTGCTGGGGTCGTCGACGCCGTGCAGCAGTCTGTGGCGATCGAAAACGACGCGGAAATGTACAGTGCGGAGCCCTCGCCCTCGGATCCCTTTTTCGAGGGCGGGGCGGTGAACGCCGAAAAAGAACGTACTTCGACTTTACCCTGCTGGTCTTGAATTTTGCAAAAACAAAAAAAGTTCCTTCTGGTTTGGCTTTTGCGAGTCCCACCTACCACATAGGAATTTTGATGTCACCTGGATTTGATATCGAAGATCCGTTTTCCACCATAACGAGATCGAGCCGCACACAAACCATCAACCTACCTAGGTACACCAGCGGCAGCCTCAGGGAAAACCTCCCGGCCGTCTGCGTTCACGGAAACCTCCGCCATGGCTCGTCTGCAGAAATTGTTCACTTCAGCCAAGAGTCGCGTCCACCAGGTAAAGGAGGCGCAGAAGATCGCAAGCGTATGCAGTGCAAAACAACAAGTATCGTGCTCGTTCTCGTACCAACTATTGCAGGAATGCATGACGAACAAGACAAAATGTTTTGCGAAGCTGAGTCAGCATTTAATGCTGACTCAGCTTCGCAAAGCGCTTTTCCTTGTCGAGTTGGCAAAATTTGTCATGCGGTTTTAACCAGTAGCCCTGCCTAAGTTACATTCGTCTTGTTGCTTGGCAATGCATAAACCGCTTCCCAGCAGCATTTCAAAACGCTCGTACTCGACCTCGCACTGGACTACAACGTCAAGCCGATGACGGTTTTGAACGCCGCGCGCTTTCTATGTGCTGCAATCATGGTCCCGCTCCCACCCACTCCACATACATACAAATTTGTCGTGCAAAGCAACACCAACGACACTTGATGAGCAACATTGTCATTCGATGTTCCACCACTTGCAGCACAACTCTGGTTTCCTTTCGCTTTCGATGAACCAGAACAACTCTTGTATAATGTCTCGCATGACAAGCTGGAGCAGGTAGCGGCACCACCATGTTTCTATTGCATACTTCAGCTCCTTGGACACGGACGGCAACGACGTCCTCGAAGGCGCGGAACTCTGCACGTGCCCGCTGTCCGCGGACCTGAATGAGGATAAGAAATTGGACTTCCCCGAGTACAACCTGCATTGCAGCAGTCAGCAAGAGCAGGCGGGCGACGGTGACGGTGTTTCGAAAATTGGCGGAGTAAATCTACCTGCTGGTCCGGGAACCGCAGCCCCGGAAAAGAACCCCACAGAAATGGCATTTCTCCAGATGAGTTCATCTTGTTGGCCTTGGTGGTTGTCGAGCTGCTGCGATGGGGCAAGCGCTTTCCAAGAGCCGGAAATGCTAATTGCACGCAGCCGAAGGGGACGAAGGTACGCACATCCAGAATTTTTCATTTTGCTGATACGCTCCTGTTGGCCACATCATCTCGCCAAAAGTGCTGCTGTCCTCTTTCTCATCACTTTGACGATAGCCAGACCATAGCTACATTTTTTCTACGTCACGACATCAAAGCAACGCTCCTTCGCAACCGACCAGCGACGTTCCAAGTGCAGCAGATGCCCCCCCCGCCTGGCGAGGCCCGTCGGCCGCTGCGTCTCAGTCGCAGGGGGCAACGGGGATCCCATTTCAAGAGGAGGAGTCTATCGCTGCAAAGAGGGCCCGGCTCCTGCGGGACGGAAGTTAGAAGGACTCCATTGACCGGTTCTGGTAGTTCAGGCATGGCTGCAAAAACTGTTCGCTTTGGAACGAGTATGTACTTAAATGCATACGAGAGAAAAAAATGATTTCGAATGTTTCATTTCAAAAAAAATGATTTCGAATGTACGAGTGACTAGGTGCAACTACCGGATAAGCGGTAGATGCTCCCAATGTGGAGGAGCTGATAGTGTAGCCGAGAAAAAAGAACAACAGCGGGGAAAAAAAAACAAACCATCAAAAAAAAACTTATCGCGAAAGCTGTGACAACTTCGTGCTGTATTGTTCATGGCGCGGGGAAGTGACACGGACACAGCACAGCGACAGTACGCAGTTCTTAGAGTCCGACTCTCTCCTCGTCGTGCCGCGCTCTTGGTTGTCGATTCGATTCTGTGTTTTCGTCGTCAGAAGTTTTTGTTGCGACAGGAAGACCCGTTTCCTCGCAGTCGCAAGATTATCATCGTGCCTGTATGATAAGCGCAGGTACAAATTACATTCAAGTGTGAAGAAATAGGTCGACGTAAAAGCAAAAAGGTTCCGGAGCTTGAAAAGCTGCCAATAATTTTGTTGATCCGACGTTGTACGCTGTTTATAGGATGGCCAGAGGGAGGTACTTAGTTACATACTTACCACAAGAGCATCAACGTGATCATGAAGAAGAACATTTTTTCGGTCTTTGATTTTAAAGATTTGTACGGTTTTAGTTTACCGCTCGCCCGACCATGCCGGTGTTTTCAAGCGCGAATAATTGTCTCGCTTTTTGTCACTGTCTTTGATGATGCAAAAAGGAGGATTTTTTCGATTTACCTTGTTATATCATTTTGCTTCGCATCATATGATGAATTTTTAGAAGATCAAGATGCTCGGCGACGTTTTTCTGCACATCTACCATGTTACCAACCGCAAAGAGGTGAAACAGTTCAACGACCTGATTGGTAAGCTAACCACGGAAACTATTGGGGCCTACCACATCGGTGTTGAGGTGTACGGCCGCGAGTGGAGGATATGAGGAAGGAAACCATTTACCCTATGGTGGTCGAGGATATGAGGAGGGCGTTTGGTTTGACGTCTATCACGAAGGACTTCTACCAGCATGCGGAGGAGTATGAACGACAAGCAGGTGCAGGACGAGTAAAAATAGAAGAGAGTCCACTCTCTCAAGATGATGATGGTGCCACATCAGACCGGAAGCACAGTCCCGCTTCCGACATGAGAGACCGGGAAACTATGAAACTCCAGAATATGAATAGCACTCCTCACCATGCAGATGTAGATGATGCACCGTCGCCGGAAGCTGTTTTAGATGCTCCCGCTGTGGAGGAGCTTGTAGAGTAAAAGTTGAGGAATTTTTTAGGAGTGTAGTCGGTGAAAAAAAACTACGTGCCGCCAAGAAAGACTCCGCACGAAGTTGTTGAAAGCAGTTTGCGCAACACCTACGGTTTCGTGTGGTGAACATTTTTGCTCGATGACAAGACGCAGCACAATGTCGACATGCTCAAACGACAAATCAAGATCATTTCTTGCGTTCTTCGTCGATTCGAATTCGTTTTCGGCGATGTCATTCCGCCGGGAAATGACACTTGTGTTTCGCGCACAAATACTCAATCACTAAAGCTGGAAGATAGACGAGCGTCTGTTAGAAGGTGTTGTGTGAGTGACTTGTCTGTGTTGATATAGGGGAGTTTGGGAACAAGAGAGCGGTGTCATCACCTGCGTGAAGTGTGTCCCATTTTTCCCTCCGGTGTAAGACAGTGAAAAATGAGTTTGGTTGTTATCGTACTCGATGTCGATTGCAAGTTGTGATAATGCAACTTTATTCAATTCATTTCTCCGTCATGACGATGTTTCTAAACTACGAAATAAACGCCTAAAGTCCACCAGCAGGCCTGTTCTTTGCAAGCAGCCCCATTGTGTCGACAAGATGAGCAGCATGATGCGGCCGCTCATCATCTTTTCTCTGCTGCTTGCTGGGGTCGTCGACGCCGTGCAGCAGTCTGTGGCGATCGAAAACGACGCGGAAATGTACAGTGCGGAGCCCTCGCCCTCGGATCCCTTTTTCGAGGGCGGGGCGGTGAACGCCGAAAAAGAACGTACTTCGACTTTACCCTGCTGGTCTTGAATTTTGCAAAAACAAAAAAAGTTCCTTCTGGTTTGGCTTTTGCGAGTCCCACCTACCACATAGGAATTTTGATGTCACCTGGATTTGATATCGAAGATCCGTTTTCCACCATAACGAGATCGAGCCGCACACAAACCATCAACCTACCTAGGTACACCAGCGGCAGCCTCAGGGAAAACCTCCCGGCCGTCTGCGTTCACGGAAACCTCCGCCATGGCTCGTCTGCAGAAATTGTTCACTTCAGCCAAGAGTCGCGTCCACCAGGTAAAGGAGGCGCAGAAGATCGCAAGCGTATGCAGTGCAAAACAACAAGTATCGTGCTCGTTCTCGTACCAACTATTGCAGGAATGCATGACGAACAAGACAAAATGTTTTGCGAAGCTGAGTCAGCATTTAATGCTGACTCAGCTTCGCAAAGCGCTTTTCCTTGTCGAGTTGGCAAAATTTGTCATGCGGTTTTAACCAGTAGCCCTGCCTAAGTTACATTCGTCTTGTTGCTTGGCAATGCATAAACCGCTTCCCAGCAGCATTTCAAAACGCTCGTACTCGACCTCGCACTGGACTACAACGTCAGGCCGATGACCGTTTTATACGCCGCGCGGTTTCTATGTGCTGCAATTGTGGTCCCGCTCCCACCCACTCCACATACATACAAACTTGTCGTGCAATAAAGAAACACCAACGACACTTGATGAGCAACAGAGTTATTCGATATTCCACCACTTGCAGCTGCACAACTTTGCTGGTTTCGATGAACCACTATTGAAAGAATGTCTCGCATGACAAGATGGAGCAGGTAGCGGCACAAAAATGTTTCTATTGCATACTTCAGCTCTTTGGACACGGACGGCAATGACGTCCTCGAAGGGGCAGAATTCGGCACGTGCCCGCTGTCCGCGGATCTGAATGAGGACAAGAAATTGGACTTCCCCGAGTACGACCAGCATTGCAGCAGTCAGCAACAGAACGCAGACAGTGCCGCCTCTGCCAGCAGCTCGTCGTTTACCGAAATAACGCATGTCGAAGCTGGCGATATGACAAGTGGCAGAGCAGGAGCGTCCCCGACACCGGTGACAGAAGTGGAAGCCACGGATGTTCTTGACGAGGCGGCCTTTCTGGAGAAGAGCAGGGGGAGCGAGTCGCGGTCGTCGTTTTGTTGTAGCAGCAGCGAAGCGCCGCGGTCTGCAAGCAGGTACACGATAGAAGCTTGCTCTGGCTTCCTCTATGCTCCTGCACATATTAGTGCCAAGACCGAGATAGAGTCAACTTATTGCGACGATTCATCGCTTTCGAAGCAACTGCTAGATGTCAGGAGTCTTCGTTACGATGACAAGAATAAGAAACATCACGATCACCATCTTCATCAGGCCCGGCCCCGACCCTGGCGCCGAGGAGTTCGTCGTCCTCCCAGGAAGGCAGGAGTACGAGGCGATTTTGAAAGCTAGTAACCCAGAGCAAAAAAAGGAGTACTTTTTTTGGATTCCGAACTATACATAGTTTGCTGCACATATATTATATTTCTTCGTAGGTAGCCGTTCACTTCAGGTTCTTCATCGTGTTTATTAGACCACTAACTTCTAACGTTATGCTTTTGCAGTGCAGTTTATTTTTCTGCGTCTCGGAGGAGATGGAGAAATCTGCGCGAAACGAGCAGGGCTTAGCGAGCCAGTAGTTAATATGAATATCATCGGTCATGTGTATGCATCGCTGCTCGTGCACGTGCAGGAGCACGAAGACGAATTTATTTGCAAGCGGGACCAGCGCCAGCGCAGGACAAATAACGTAATTACAGGCCACCTCTCGTTCGAGACATTATCTCCCTTATCATCACTGCTGTTTGTTGTACTTCTGACATCACAGGGAGGAGAAAAGAAGAAAACAGGCGGACCAGGCGCGGCGCACGAACACTTGGGGCCTGATTAGCCTCTGATCGCGATACCATTTTGCAGCGGGAGGACCTGGCTGGGACGAACATGTAGGACAACCACAATCAGAGTCCCCGGATCCTGGTGTAGGACAACCGCAACCAGAATTACCCGATGGTGGTCGAGGATATGAGGAGGGCGTTTGGTTTGACGTCTATCACGAAGGGCTACCAGCATGCGGAGGACTATGAACGACATGCACGTGCAGGACGAGTAAAAATAGAAGAGAGTCCACTCTCTCAAGATGATGATGGTGCCACATCAGACCGGAAGCACACTCCCGCTTCCGACATGAGAGACCGGAAAACTATGAAACTCCAGAATATGAATAGCACTCCTCAACATGCAGATGTAGACGATGCACCGTCGCCGGAAGCTGTTTTAGATGTTCCCTCTGTGGAGGAGCTTATAGAATAAAAGTTGAGGATTTTTTAGGAGTGTAGTCGGTGAAAAAAAACTACGTGCCGCCAAGAAAGACTCCGCACGAAGTTGTCGAAAGCAGTTTGCGCAACACCTACGGTTTCGTGTGGTGAACATTTTTGCTCGATGACAAGACGCAGCACAATGTCGACATGCTTAAACGACAAATCAAGATCAACTCTTGCGTTCTTGGTCGCTTCGAATCTGTTTTCGGCGATGTCATTCCGCCGGGAAATGAGACTTGTGAGTGAAGCTCGTTTCGATGTGTGTGCATAGTCTTAGATGCAGAAAAGCCAGCACCAGAGATCCTGAGCAACACGATTTGTGTCTTGGAGAGCGACGGAAGCGTGGAGCCTGTGTTTCGCGCACAAATACTCAATCATTAAAGCTGAAAGACGACACTCCGTTAGAAGGTGTTGTGTGAGTGACTTGTCTGTGCTGATAAGGGGAGTTTGGGAACAAGAGAGCGGTGTCATCAGCTGCGTGAAGTGTTGCCCATTTTTCCCTCCGGTGTAAGACAGTGAAAAATGAGTTTGATTGTTATGGTACTCGATGTCGATTGCAAGTTGTCATAATGCAACTTTACTCAATTCATTTCTACGTCATGACGACGCCTCTAAACTACGAAATAAACGCCTAAAGTCCACCACCACCAGACTTATTACTTTGCAAGCAGCCCCATTGCGTCAACAAGATGAGCGCCATGATGCGGCCGCACATCATCTCGTCTCTGCTGCTTGTTGGGGTCGTCGACGCCGTGCAGCAGTCTGTGGCGATCGAAAACGACGCGGAAATGTACAGTGCGGAGCCCTTGGATACCTTTGTCGGGGGGTGGACGAAGGCCGAAAAAGAACGTACTTGATAGATACTTCTCTGTTCTTTTTGAATTTTGCCAGTCGAATCCTCAAAAGTTTACAAATACGAGCTGAAAGAACTTCACCGACATTCATAAGTTTAAGCTTTTTTCAAGATTTCGCTTCGTGATTATGCTTGCACAACAAGATATAAGACCAAGCACGTAAACCATCTTCGACCTAGGTACACCAGCGGCAGCCGCAGGGAAAACTTCCCCGCCGTCTGCGTTCTCGCAAACCTCCGCCATGGCTCGTTTGCAGAAATTGTTCACTTCCGCCAAGAGCCGTGTCAACCAGGTGAAGGAGGCGCAGAAGATCGCAAGCGTATGCAGTGCAAAGCAACAAGCATCGTGCTCGTACCAATTGCAGGATTGCATGACGAAGACAAAGTGCTTTGCGAAGCTGAGTAAGCATTTAATGCTGACTCAACTTCGCAATCGCAAAGCGCTTTTCGACTTGGCAAAATTTGTCATGAGGTTTTAACCAGTAGCCCTGCCTAAGTTACATTCGTCTTGTTGCTTGGAAATGCATAAACCGCTTCCCAGCAGCATTTCAAAACGCTCGTACTCGACCTCGCACTGAACTACGACGTCAAGCCGATGACGGTTTTGAACGCCGCGCGCTTTCTATGTGCTGCAATCATGGTCCCGCTCCCACCCACTCCACATACATACAAATTTGTCGTGCAAAGCAACACCAACGACACTTGATGAGCAACATTGTCATTCGATGTTCCACCACTTGCAGCACAACTCTGGTTTCCTTTCGCTTTCGATGAACCAGAACAACTCTTGTATAATGTCTCGCATGACAAGCTGGAGCAGGTAGCGGCACCACCATGTTTCTATTGCATACTTCAGCTCCTTGGACACGGACGGCAACGACGTCCTCGAAGGCGCGGAACTCTGCACGTGCCCGCTGTCCGCGGACCTGAATGAGGATAAGAAATTGGACTTCCCCGAGTACAACCTGCATTGCAGCAGTCAGCAAGAGCAGGCGGGCGACGGTGACGGTGTTTCGAAAATTGGCGGAGTAAATCTACCTGCTGGTCCGGGAACCGCAGCCCCGGAAAAGAACCCCACAGAAATGGCATTTCTCCAGATGAGTTCATCTTGTTGGCCTTGGTGGTTGTCGAGCTGCTGCGATGGGGCAAGCGCTTTCCAAGAGCCGGAAATGCTAATTGCACGCAGCCGAAGGGGACGAAGGTACGCACATCCAGAATTTTTCATTTTGCTGATACGCTCCTGTTGGCCACATCATCTCGCCAAAAGTGCTGCTGTCCTCTTTCTCATCACTTTGACGATAGCCAGACCATAGCTACATTTTTTCTACGTCACGACATCAAAGCAACGCTCCTTCGCAACCGACCAGCGACGTTCCAAGTGCAGCAGATGCCCCCCCCGCCTGGCGAGGCCCGTCGGCCGCTGCGTCTCAGTCGCAGGGGGCAACGGGGATCCCATTTCAAGAGGAGGAGTCTATCGCTGCAAAGAGGGCCCGGCTCCTGCGGGACGGAAGTTAGAAGGACTCCATTGACCGGTTCTGGTAGTTCAGGCATGGCTGCAAAAACTGTTCGCTTTGGAACGAGTATGTACTTAAATGCATACGAGAGAAAAAAATGATTTCGAATGTTTCATTTCAAAAAAAATGATTTCGAATGTACGAGTGACTAGGTGCAACTACCGGATAAGCGGTAGATGCTCCCAATGTGGAGGAGCTGATAGTGTAGCCGAGAAAAAAGAACAACAGCGGGGAAAAAAAAACAAACCATCAAAAAAAAACTTATCGCGAAAGCTGTGACAACTTCGTGCTGTATTGTTCATGGCGCGGGGAAGTGACACGGACACAGCACAGCGACAGTACGCAGTTCTTAGAGTCCGACTCTCTCCTCGTCGTGCCGCGCTCTTGGTTGTCGATTCGATTCTGTGTTTTCGTCGTCAGAAGTTTTTGTTGCGACAGGAAGACCCGTTTCCTCGCAGTCGCAAGATTATCATCGTGCCTGTATGATAAGCGCAGGTACAAATTACATTCAAGTGTGAAGAAATAGGTCGACGTAAAAGCAAAAAGGTTCCGGAGCTTGAAAAGCTGCCAATAATTTTGTTGATCCGACGTTGTACGCTGTTTATAGGATGGCCAGAGGGAGGTACTTAGTTACATACTTACCACAAGAGCATCAACGTGATCATGAAGAAGAACATTTTTTCGGTCTTTGATTTTAAAGATTTGTACGGTTTTAGTTTACCGCTCGCCCGACCATGCCGGTGTTTTCAAGCGCGAATAATTGTCTCGCTTTTTGTCACTGTCTTTGATGATGCAAAAAGGAGGATTTTTTCGATTTACCTTGTTATATCATTTTGCTTCGCATCATATGATGAATTTTTAGAAGATCAAGATGCTCGGCGACGTTTTTCTGCACATCTACCATGTTACCAACCGCAAAGAGGTGAAACAGTTCAACGACCTGATTGGTAAGCTAACCACGGAAACTATTGGGGCCTACCACATCGGTGTTGAGGTGTACGGCCGCGAGTGGAGGATATGAGGAAGGAAACCATTTACCCTATGGTGGTCGAGGATATGAGGAGGGCGTTTGGTTTGACGTCTATCACGAAGGACTTCTACCAGCATGCGGAGGAGTATGAACGACAAGCAGGTGCAGGACGAGTAAAAATAGAAGAGAGTCCACTCTCTCAAGATGATGATGGTGCCACATCAGACCGGAAGCACAGTCCCGCTTCCGACATGAGAGACCGGAAGACTATGAAACTCCAGAATATGAATAGCACTCCTCAACATGCAGAAGCAGATGTAGATGATGCACCGTCGCCGGAAGCGGTTTTAGATGCTCCCGCTGTGGAGGAGCTTGTAGAGTAGAATTTGAGAATTTTTAGAAGTGTAGTCGCTGAAAGAAAACTATGTGCCGCCAAGAAAGACTCCTCACGAGGGTGTTGAAAGTAGTTCGCGCGACACCTACGGTTTCGTGTGGTGAGCATTTTTGCTCGATGACAAGACGCAGCACAATGTCGACATGCTTAAACGACAAATCAAGATCATTTCTTGCGTTCTTCGTCGCTTCGAATCTGTTTTCGGCGATGTCATTCCGCCGGGAAATGAGACTTGTGAGTGAAGTTCGTTTCGATGTGTGTGCATAGTCTTAGATGCAGAAAAGCCAGCTGCAGAGATCCCGAGCAACACGATTTGTGTCTTGGAGAGCGACGGAAGCGTGGAGCATGTGTTTCGCGCACAAATACTCAATCACTAAAGCTGAAAGGCGAGACTCCGTTAGAAGATGTTGTGTGAGTGACTTGTCTGTGTTGATAAGGTGAGTGCGGGAACAAGAGATGGGTGTCATCAGCTGCGTGAAGTGCTGTTGCCCATTTTTCCTTTCGGTGTAAGACAGTGAAAAATGAGTCTCATCGTTATCGTACTCGATGTCGATTTCAAGTGATAATACGACTTTATTTGATTCACTTCTACGCGATGACGATACCTCTAAACTACGTAATAACGCCTTAGGTCCAGCGCCAGCAGGTTTACCTCGCAAGCAGCCCCATTGCTTCAACAAGATGACCAGCATCATGATGCGGCCGCTCATCATCTTTTCTCCGCTGCTTGTTGGGATCGTCGACGCCGTCCAGCAGTCTGTGGCGATCGAAAATGATGCGGAAATGTACAATGCGGAGCCCCCGTCTCTGGATCCCTTTGTCGAGGGCGGGGCGGTGAAGGCCGAAAAAGAACGTACTTCAACTTTACCCTGCTGGTCTTGAATTTTGCAAAAACAAAAAAGGTTTCTTCTGGTTTTGCTTTTGCAGCAAGTCGCACCTACCACATGCGAATTTTGATGTCACCTGGATTTTGATATCGAAGATCCGTTTTCCACCATAAAAAGATCAAGCAGCACGCAAACCATCAACCTACTCAGGTACACCAGCGGCAGCCGCAGGGAAAACCTCCCCGCCGTCTGCGTTCTCGGAAACCTCTGCCATGGCTCGTTTGCAGAAATTGTTCACTTCCGCCAAGAGCCGTCTCCACCAGGTAAAGGAGGCGGAGAAGATCGCACGGGTATGCAGTGCAAAGCAACAAGTATCGTGCTCGTACCAATTGCAGGATTGCATGACGAAGACAAGGCGCTTTGCGAAGCTGAGTCAACATTTGATGCTGAGTCAGCTTCGCAATCGCAAAGCGCTTTTCGACTTGGCAAAATTTGTCATGCGGTTTTAGCCAGTAGCCCTGCCTAGGATACATTGATTCGTCTTGTTGCTTGGCAATGCATAAACTGCTTCCCAGCAGCATTTTAAAACGCTCGTACTCGACCTCGCACTGTACTACAATGTCAAGCCAATGACGGTTTTGAACGCCGCGCGCTTTCTATGTACTGCAATCATGGTCCCGCTCCCACCCACTCCACACAGATACAAAAAATTTGTCGTGCGAAGGGACGCTTGATGAGCAACAGAGTCATTCGATATTCCACCACTTGCAGCTGCACAACTCTGGTTTCCTTTCGCTTTCGATGAACCACTATTGTATGTCTCGCATGACAACCTGGAGCAGGTAGCGGCACCACCATGTTTCTATTGCATACTTCAGCTCCTTGGACACGGATGGCAATGGCGTCCTCGAAGGGGCAGAATTCGGCACTTGCCCGCTGTCCGCGGACCTGAACCAGGACAAGAAACTCGACTTCCCCGAGTACGACCAGCATTGCAGCAGCCAGTCAGCAGCAAAACGCAGAGGCAGCTCGTCGTTCACCGAAATGACGCATGTCGAACCTGGCGATTTGACAAGTGGCAGAGCAGGAGCGTCCCCGCCAGCGTTGACAGAAGGTCCCGAAAGCGAAGGG